CAGCACATACGACCACAGGGTGTGGAAAACAGGGCTTCCCGTCCGCTCAGCCGTACTTAAGCCACACGCCGGGAGGTTAGTAGTTGGGTGGGTGACCACCAGCGAATCCCTTCTGTTGTATGTTTTTTCTTTTTTGTTTCATGTTCCATGACGATTCAAATGAAAGACCTGGTCGGGGCTTGAACAGGGCAAAAGAGGAATGTCAAGTCTAGAATTTGTCTGACACCAACAACCTGGGAGATCTTGCTCCAGCAACTATAATAGGGGTTTCCCGCTACTTTGAATATTCGCCAATAATTCGACGGACCCGTGCCCAGTAAGCTTTGTTCAGTTGCATGTGTAGATGGCAGCTGGTATGGTGGATTATGAATATAAATTTCTGCAGATCTAGTAGCAGTCGCGATAGACATCTAAGGCATAAATCCTAAGCTAGTGCTGATATGATTGGACAGCTCGCCTGGATAAGTGGGCCAGGGGAAAAACGGCCCAATCATAGACAAGTATCGAACACGGCATACCTGCTGCTGCAGTGCAGTGGCCGCGGCAGTGAGGCGGAGCCTCAAAGCATTGTTGTACACAAGCTATATAAAGACCCTTGATTCTGCCAGCAGGCCCCAGAACCAAGATCCCTAAGCTCACTCTTCTCGACCTCTCTTCCTGGAATATCAGAGCCCGTCCGCGCGAGCCATCACAATGATCGAAACTCAGATCGAGATCGCCGCTCCACCGTCTAGAGTGCGCGCCGTGGTATGTACATACACTCCATCCTACCACGCAATACGCCCTTGCTAAAGAAGAGCAGCTATTAGACTCTGCAAAATATCCCGAATGGCACACCTCCATAATCCACCTCCTCGAGCCCGAAGACAACACCAAAACCCTGGCCACGCTGCAACAAGGCGACGTGGTACGATGTGACATCGAGGGAATGAAATTCGACGCGAAGATCACGGTATGCTTGACTTGACATTCTGCCCATCCCGTTCATGCTTGAGTGCTTGCTGACATCCTTAAGGAGAATTCCGAGAGGCTCCTGCAATGGCAGGGCCCGCCAGTCTTCGGATTGATCGCTGGGTTGCATGGCTTTCATATGGAGCCTACACAGGATGGGTCGGGGACGGTGTTCAGGCAGACAGAGGTGTTTACCGGTCCTATTTCGTTTCTGATGAGGCCTTCTTTGTTGGGGAGGAGGGTAATGGGACAGTTTGGGAGGTTTAATGCGGATTTGAAGAGGAGGGCCGAGGAGCTTGAGTAGGCTGTCTGGTAGGAATGTGAAGTAGGGACACGACTGATACATAATTTGAATTTTGATCTCTTACTTATTCAGAGATGGCATACTTCCGCAGCTCAGAATGATGTTATCGTAGTGTCCCACTACCTAGAATCGCGGAAATGAATAGTGAGCTCTGTGTAGCTGCTCCCTTTCACCGTCTTTATCTCATCTGGAGGGTACAACTCTGGCTCACGGAGAGATCTGTTGTCACTCACGCGTATCTTCCCTAGCTGTGTTTCTGACGCCGCGTGTAAGGCAATAGCCTCTGCCTCAAGATCCGTGCCGCCCGAGCGAGAAAGCGAATCAACAAAATTCCGACAAGCATGCTGGTATAATGGGATGACAGTCGGCAGACAAGCCGAAATAACTCCCGCCGCAGTCTCCACCACGCACCATGTTTCCGCATCGGCAAGGGTCCACGCGATGTCCTGCGCCTCAAAGGACAAAATGAGGCTGAACCGCTAGCACCACACTAATTGATCGGTCATATTAGCCTCAACCCTCGCAGTACATCATCTAGTTCGAAGCTGCGAAATATGGCGACAAGGTCGACTGAGATGACCCAGGCGACGGTTATGGAGGCGAGGACCATGCCTCCGATGCGGATGAGGCGGACGGGGAAAATTCGGTAATACATCAGGAGGACGGATAGCTTGATGATGCCGACTGTTGTGATGTACAGCGGCTCGAAAGCGTATACTAGCTTGATGTGCGGGTCAGCGATCGTATGGGATAGGCACCTCGGAACCTGGAGCGGGTGCCATCATACCCGTTAGAAAACAACTAAATCCGACGCTGGGACAGTGGACGTATGGCGCCCCATTCCATGGTGAAATGAATGCCTGAGCAGGCATCGTCAGTTGTGCCCCAATCATTGCCAATCCCAAGAGAATAGACAAGCAAGATTAATTCCTGCGATTATAGTCACGAATGACTATTTCCCCGCCAGTGACGACCGCAATTTAAGGAAAGTGACGGCTACCAAACCCACGACCAGAGTGTAGTCATCAACGCCCAGAAGCACATGCTTTCTGCTCCGAGCTAGAAGTCTCAAGAAGACGAACAGGATGGCGAGAGCAAGCACTTTGACGGTGGTCACCCTCTGTTTCGCCTGCGTCGATTGTTGTGGGTGGGCATTCTCCATGGCGATGACGATGGCGTCGAGGCCACCCGGACATAGAGAAACACGCGCTTTCTATGTGAGCCCTCGGAAAATTCCACATACTGTAGATGGACGGAAGGGAGACGCGGCTGGGCAGACAAAGACAGTATGATAGCACGGCTCTAGATTGAAGCTAATGAGAACGAACTCTCGCCGGCGCCGCAAGTGGATCAACTGCACTCAACAGCAAACCAATCAATCCAACGAAATCAGCCAGATCCCCACCTGTCAAAGTGTCAAATTAATGCCGGGATATTAAGCTGACAAACGGGCTTTGGGGCTCTCTTAAACGAGTCATGCGCGAAATGGTCCGTCCCACCAGGACCGAGCTTCTGCTCTTACTGACTCGCTCGCCGGCCGCTGGCTATAATGGATCCCGGCCCCTAATTTCCCTCGATCACGCATCGTCTGCCATTTATCCAGATTAGCACTTCGTGAAAACCCCAGGATGACCTCCCCCACATTTGTCTTCTCCCTCGGAGCATGGATCACCCCTCCGTTCTTTCATGCCGTTCGCGCACAGCTCCACGAGCTCGGATATCCGTCCAAATGCCCGGCTCACCCTTCCATCGGCGCCGAGCCGCCCTCAAAGACCCTGGCCGACGATGTCGCCTCTCTCCGCGAGGTTCTAAAGACCCTCGCCGACACCGAGAACGAAATCGTTGTGGTGGCACACTCCTACGGCGGAGTGGTCGCTTCCAATGCAGTCGAAGGTCTGAGTAAAGCTGAGCGCGCACAGAGAGGCCAGACAGGCGGAGTCATCCAGGTGATCTACCTGGCAGCCTTCGCACTGGATCAGGGGCAGAGTCTGCTGGAGATGCTCGGGGAGAATTACCTGCCGTGGATGCAGGTTGATGTATGCTTTCGCCCTTCCCTTTGCTCAAAACTCACGGTAGAGATGAAATGGCCTGACTGAGCACCGACAGGGCGACTATGTCACCGTCGACGCGGCCAGCAATGTCGGCTGGCACGACCTCCCTCCCGACGAGCAGTATCAATGGGAACTCTTCACGCACCACACCTCTCGCGCTGTCTTTGCAGGTAAAGTGGTCTATGAGCCCTGGACTAGCAGGATTCCCTGTTCCTACATCGTCTGTGAGCAAGACCAGGCCCTGCCGCCGCCATTTCAGGAGGCGTTCGCGGCGAAGATCGCGGAGCCCGAGAACAGATTTCGGCTCCCGGCTTCGCACTCGCCGTTTCTCAGCATGCCAGCCCGGGTGGTTGATGTGTTGATGCAGGCGATTGGAGCGAAGTCGGAGCAGACTGTGGCTAGTCGGTTATAGAGGTAGACGTTTATGGTGCATTGTTCAAGGAGTCATCCTTCGATGTTAGTGTAGAATAACATCAATTCAGTTGACAGCAAACGACTACAATACCTTATAGCATAATCCCCTCAGCTGAAGTAGCTGGAGCATAGGATAAACCGGCGGGTTGAGCTTCTACATTGGAAGCTGCCTTATGTTAATGTTGGCTTAGCACCCCGCCTGTTCCTTCCCAGTTCAACTATACACCCCCTTCCCTCTACCCCCTCATCCTCTTCCCCCTTCACCCATCCTCCCCCCCACAGACTCATACCGCACACTCCACTGATCCGTCCGCTGAATCGCCAACGCCCGCGAGGTCCTCGTACTCATCGACCCAGATTCCTCACCCTCAGCATCCTCAAGAAGCTGCACCCTCACGGGCTCCGTCCCCGCAAACGCAGCCGCCGACGTGCCCAATCCCTCAACCTCCGCCTCATCCCCGCCAACAAGCCTTGACCGACGCCCGCTCGTCTCCTTCGGCCGCGACAGATTCCCCAGCGCGTACGCGGAGCTGCCGTCGTGTTTATGTAACGCGACGTGCAACATGCCCGTGTCGAAGGCGTCGAGGAAGGGTTTCAGGCAGGGGATACAGGCGCTGAGCACACTGGTGCATAGGACGCATTGGGTTGTGATTGTTGGGGCGAAGATTGTGGGAATGGGGTTGTGGTCTTGGGACGAGAAGGTTCGTCGGAGGTAGTGGAGGCGGGTTATTGTGGTGATTATTACGCTGGGGTTTTGGGTTAGTATTGGTTTTGGGAAAGGTGTGAGGGCGAGACGGCCTGGATTGAGATTGAGGCTGGTATTGAGGGTAGGGTAGGGGAGGAGAGCTGCATACAACAAGCGGAAGATGAACGCTGCTACTACGGCGGCCTTCTTCCCTATCCTCACTTGCACGGGCTTGACGATGAAGATCGGGAGGGCGCAGAGTGTGAGCTCTGAGATGATATCCAGCGGGGCGATGGCGGCCCAGAAGATGAACTGCGTTGGTTGCAACGCGCACGTTGCTGGAGTTAGATATGCGCACAGAACTCGATGCGAGGGACGTACGGTGTTGATGCAGTGGCTGCTGCTGAGTCGCCAGGGCTGGGAGGCGCCGCATCGGAAACACAGCACCAAGAACACGGACACCGTCCATATCATCACCGCCAGCGCTGACCATTGCGCGAGCCGTCTCTGCCACGTCCGCACTGTTAATCGGCCGAGTAACTGGAACACTGAGATCTTGGCCAGGCTCAGAGCCACTACATACAGCAGGTCGGAGACGTACAGCACCTGAACACGAGGGAACAGCTGGTTAGCACTGTTCTCGGTTGTCTCGGTCGGGTCATACCTTCTCGACATGCATCATCTCATGCTCGGTTAATGGAGGGACTGTGTTTCCCATTCCGTATTTAGTTCCGATTAGAATGGTGGCACTTTGACCGATGGCGAAGAACTGTCGTTTGGTGAATCAGTGGCCTACTTCGACGAGATGTTCTTTCCATGGGCAGCAGAGGAACAGTGAAAAGGAACTCTACCAGAGCAATCAGCACAGTCCCATCGTCCCATTGCAGTGTCCGGACCATCCATAACCGAAAGGCCAGCCGCATCACTACGGCCAGAATCATGATCACTAGCATGTACAACGTGGCGATGGCGATCCCATCAGCGTGGCTTGGGGGCTCCCGGTCGTTGGGATACATCGCATGCGTGCCAACGTTATTTCGGAGCATTCCAAGAGCAAGGGGAGAGAGAAACGAGTTCGAGGACGAACTGGAACGTACATTGCTTATGGCACCGTGGAATCAGCGGTCTCAAGGAACAGGATCGGTAAGGATGGTAACTTCCCTGCAGCTGACGGTTTCTTGAGACGACCCGCGCAGCTTGAGTCTGTCACACATTGTTCCTGTTTGCTGCTTCGCATGGCACAGGTCCCTTACACCGTCAATTTGCTTCTAGCATCCAAGCCCTGTCTGGTCAGGGGTTTCAAAGTCAAATTTGGAAGGTTTCTACCAAAAAGGATCAGGCAAAAAGGATTAAAATCATGCGGCCCTAATTTCCCGCACTAGGGGTAAGTTTGATTACCATGTTCAACCTGGAATCCCTCTGAGGGTCATTGGAGGGACAACGGACGTGGCTGATGGCATCTCATGGTCCAGATCTTCTTTCCACCTCTGATGTTCAAATGTCTGGCAATAGCTGACAACACTCCGACTCCGACCCCAAATGGCCAGTTCATTGCCTCTCAGGGTTCTAGATCCTTATGATTGGATCGTTTAGAGAGTGGCAGAAATCGACTCATGTGCATTGCCCCACCGACGACAGGGGTCTCCGCTCTAAGGAAGAAAGGATAATCTGGGTGGGAGAAGGAGTCCACGACAATGTCAATCACATGCCTTTGAGCCGATTCTGGGGACAAAGACAATCCCCGATCATGGTCTCCTGGACACAAATTAAATCATCATGATCATCCACCTCCGGTGCCACGGAGAAGCGGAATCAGATCTGACAGGCGAGCCAAGGCCTTTAAGCAATGGGCGGTAAGCCCTAAGATCGTTCCCTTGCGAAAGGGGGGCCGCGTCATCCGACGGAGGACCGATAAGCAGGGTGCGACCCAGCGTTCATTTGCTATTTGCTAATAACCACCATCTACCTGAGACCTTCGTTATTGCTTGAGGCCCTACGTGGTATTGACCCCGCGCTAAGTGAATCTTCCCGCCTTTTATTGGGTTTCTTCCTTATCTATCTCCACGCCCCATGCTATAAGATTTCGGTAATCGTGTGCCGGATGCTCTCCCGGTCGGCCGCTGTCAGAGGGATCTGGAAGTACGTCTCGAGCGCGGCCACCCGTTCCTCCTCCGACGTGAACGAGGCCACCAGCTCCGAGGTGGCCCCGATACGCCGCTTAAGCTTGTCGTTGAACAATGTCAGATCGCCGACGAGGCGTTCCCCTGCCTCGTCGAGAATCATCCGCACACACACCACATGAAAGGTGAACCAGCTCGCGCGATGAGTACTCATGTAGTAATTGATCATCGCAAAATCCTCGGGGAGAAACTCCTCCTCGGTGAAACAGTAAGCCGGAATCCAGGGGGCTTCGCCGTTGCTGAACTCGTACTGCCAGATCGATTGGCCGGCTCGCGTGTATTGGGCGATGGGCCCATGGACGAGTCGGCCGCGTTGATCGCCCACGTTGTGGAACTGGTACCCCTCTGTCAGGGGCACGGGCTGATGCGGTCCATTGGAGCCAAATCCGACGTCAACCAGATATTCCTGGGTGCCGATGGTCACAATGTTGACCAGGTGGTTCCTGTACCGTCCGTTAGTACCGATACGCGGGTGCAGGTGAGGTATTTCTTACCAGCCGTCGAACTTAGGACCCTTCCAGTTCTTGGAGGCTGACATGGGCTGCGCCGCCTCGTTGACTCTCCCTCCGACTGGATAGACCTGATAACCCAGGCTCCGCAGAACTGTTCCAAACAGGCTGCTGTTCTCCATGCAGTAGCCCCCACGCGCGGCCTTGGAGTCCACGACCTTCTCGAAGATCTTGAATGGGTCTACTGAGATATCCCGATGGACTGAATAATGGAGGTTCAAATTCTCGAACGGAACGGCTGCAACTTGATAACACAGCAAGACACGCAAAAAGCCCAAGGCGGCCTCTTCATCCGTTGGGATAGACGACCGACGGTATTTGCGGGGCAAACCGATGCGGTCGTAGTATCTCTCCACTTGGTCGGGAGAGTATATCGGCCGCTGCGACCAGTCCATGTGTGAACCCATCTTGCAGTGTTGATGTTCTTTCGCTGTTGTGAAATGAAAGGCCACTTAGACTTGTATTTCGGGAAATGAAATGGCTGGCTTGGTTCGAACTGATGAGACGGGCATTAACAGATAGGAGAATAACTAGGATGCTCACCGGCAGTTGCCTGGAGGTTTATTCCCGCACAAGGTGATTTGGCTTGAGCATCGGATGTCGACCTACTCTGAGAGCAGGGATCACGAGAGGGGTAGCCTGTGGAGTCTGACCCTTTCTTGCTACGTTATTAGTGCTGGCACCGTTGAGTGCGTGGGTTTAATCGTTCTCAACATTCCGCCTTCGCATGTTAGCGCAGTGCTAAGTATGCAAGACCATCCGCTACTGCATCGGGCCTGTAGGATTGATGCTTAGCGTCAAGAGGGAGATTGCTCTGGCGTTCCAGTGGTCGGATCTCAGTCCCCAATATGTTTGCCCGCATCGGAGCTGCATCCTGAATTGTATTGTAGCTGTCGAGGCAAGCTTCTTGTAGTGGTTGCTTGTATGAATGGGTCGACCGGCATTCCGTTCTTGGTCTGAGGACCACGCAATGCTAACCCGCGAGCAGTTTGAGTGCTTGTCTCTTCCTCTTCCGAAATACCTTGCCCCACGTGCTCAGGCCAACAGTCTGGGCCCTGTCCAGAAGTGATCAATGATTCGGTCTTTATCCAGGGTGTCTGCCAGGGTGTCTGCCAGGCTATCTCCCACGGGTCTTTCATGAAAAACATTGGTGCATGTTTGAACCGGAACATTATACTAATACGCCTTGCTTTGAGAAATCTTTCTATTGGCAAGATGCTGTCTTGATATATTGCGATAGCTCAGCAGACCTGGCTAGCGCGACTTGAAGAAATAAACAAAAGGAGAGGGATTGTCGGTAGTCAAGGGATCCTGCCTGAGACTCCTCGTTACTCCTCCTCATCGACTATTCTCTTTCTCGAGCCCTGACCGTTGTTACTAACTCTGTTTAACTTTTGACTTTTTTTGTGGTCTGAAGGTATCGCCTTGCTAGGATGCCGTTCAAGCATGGCGAGCTCGCGGTACAGGAGCTCAGCTCTGCGCGACACCAAGCCCGCGATGCTGCGGACCTGGCAAGGCATGGTAAGAAGCAGCGCTTCGAGGTACGCATACATATCGAGCCACGGTGCAAATAGAGCTTACGGAAACAGAGAAACTTCGGGTTCTTGTCGATGCTAGGATTTACCACAACGATGATGTGTACCTGGGAGGCCGTGCTTTTGTAGGTGCCGATGACTGCTAGAATCAGGTTGATTGCTGACCCATACCCCAGCGCGAACCCTACCGCAATGCTCGACGGAGGCCCGGCGACCCTCGTCTATGGGTACCTCTTCTGTTGGTTTGGAGCTCTAGTGACCGCCATGTCCTTGGCGGAATTGGCCTCAATGTAGAACAAACACTTTTCGACTCGGGAGATCATGCTGACTAGTGGCAGGGCGCCGACTTCCTCCGGACAGTATCACTGGGTCGCAATGCTTGCTCCTAAGAGTCATGCCGTGTTCCTCAGCTGGGTGACGGGCTGGGTGGATATGATCGGGTGGTGGGCCAACACAGCGACGGGGGTCTATTTCGGTGCCACCCTGACTCAGGGCCTCTTGGTGCTGAACTACCCGGGCTACAACTATCAGCGGTGGCATGGCACCCTTCTCATGTTTGCAGAGCTCGGGATTTGTGTGCTGGTGAACTCGATCGGTGCACGGCTTCTGCCCAAGGTGGAGGGATTGATCCTGATTATTCATACGATGGGCTTCTTCGCTGTGCTGATCCCACTAGTCTACTTGGCGCCACATCAAGATGCGAGCTTTGTCTTTGGCAGCTTCATCAACAACTCCGGCTGGAGCAGTGCCGGTCTTACTTGGTTGATTGGGTTGATGGGAACAAATCTGCCCTTTATCGGTAGGTTCCCCCTTCTGTGTTGCGTGTAAGCGCTGACCTGGGTTGGGTCTAGGCTATGATGGTCCATGCCACATGGGTGAGTTTGTCTCAAGAGTACTGGGAAGGATTATCGCTAATCGTACGAAGCCGAGGAGGTTGTGAACGCCTCTGTTGTTGTGCCCTGGTGCATGATCGGCACCATTCTCCTCAACGGCAGCCTCGGATTTGCCATTGTGTTGGCATTTCTCTTCTGCATCGGCGACATGGAGAAAGCGCTGGACAGTGCTACGGGCTACGATTTCATCGAGGTCTTCTTCAACGCGACCCGGTCGCACGCCGGGACCTCGGTCATGACCGCCATCCCGACGGCCTTGGTGATCTGTGCCTCTTTCGGCTTTCTGGCTTCAACCTCGCGTTTGACCTGGGCGTTTGCCCGCGACAAGGGGGTTCCTTTCGCGGACTACTTTTCCCACGTAAGCTTCAAGCCCATCTTGTTAAGCGTTAAGTCCCATGGTTGATATAAAGTAGGTCAGCACCACGAACGCCGTCCCCCTCCGCGCCGTCGGCCTAGCCGCCCTCATCACCGCGTGCATCTGCGTGATCAACGTCGGTTCCAGCGCGGCCTTCAGTGCCTTCGTCTCCCTCACCACTGCCGGGCTCTTCCTCTCATACATGATTCCCATCACCCTCCTGGTGATCCGGCGCGTAAGGCGCCAGCCCATCCCGTTCGGGCCCTGGACCCTCGGCCGCGGCGGCATCGTGGTCAATCTCGCATCGATCGCGTTTCTGACTATCACCATCTTCTTCTCCTTTTTCCCCTCCGAGTTGCCCGTCACGGCGGTGAATATGAATTGGTCGGTCGTGGTGTTCTTCGGTGAGCTGTTTATCGGGTTGGCGTGGTATGTGGTGCGAGGGCGACATGTTTATCATGGGCCGATTGTTGAGACTGGGGGAGACGAGGACTCGCATTCGGGGTTGGCTGTCGGTTTGTGATCGGTTGCATTGTCTGGTCAAGTGCTGGTTACTTGATGATTGTTGGTCACGTTGACTACGATTGCCTTTAGATATATTGTGAGGACGAGGCCCCAGCCTGCCCGCTCACTGCCTCAGGCCCATGTGTAGATAGCTTCACCTCTGAGCCATGAATCAACCACCGTTCACGCCTCCATCAGATATGTAACGGGCAGGGGTGCGGCAATAGGACGAAATTGAGCCTGTATCCAAGCGAACCAAAGGTAAAGAACCAATGAAACGAGGCTGAGAGATTGTTAATCAGATTTCCAAGTTGTATACTTACTACATTATCCTGGTTCTCAAATCACCAACACTTGATGCAAGTCATGACGGAGGCAGTCTGCCATATCATGCGTCCTGCTTGCCGACATGCGTTATAGTCCGCCTGGGTCCGAATTTGCTCCGACGAGTCAATATGAGGAGCTTTTGATTTGCACACTCATAACCACTTGAGAAAATAGCAATAGGTTTCACATGTCATGCCTCCTTCCTTCCAGCTCCGATCGGGATTCAGCGACCTGTCGCTAACTTTAGCACTACCTCGAGCATCTTAGCAGCTACCACAAATCCCGTGCAAACACAAAGAGCGCCGTGGACAAAGGGAGAGACATGCTGCCTGCGTCGAGCGTCAGGGGGTGGCTCAAGCCTTGGGTTCGGACCGCACGTACAAACGAGTATCGCTCCGGGTATGTTCGATGGAGATGAATTAGAGAACAATCAATATCACAATCTATGCTCAGGAACAATCAGGGAACAACCCCGCTACTCTTGCGCCCCTCTATGCCCAGGGGTAATTTACTTACAGCATCCCTAGTCCATGCATGTTTATTGCACGCGCCTACTAGCGCACTCTCAGCCAATGGGTTATGGCCTTTATGTAACCGGCTCGATCCATCCGGTCCCTGTCTCGCGCTATAGATCGGCGTCTTCGGTCATCTCGGTTAATTCGCCTCGGTAGACCAGGGAGGCAATGGGCTGGAGCCCGGGGGTTTTAATCGAGGAATAACCTAGAAGTCTGAGGGCGTTTTGTGAATGGGGACTGAGCCAATCATCTGGAGAGTACGAATCACCGAGGATGTTTAATTGGGCCTCAAGCCAATCGTTATCGAAGGCAAATGACGTGGTTCCATCTGTCAAAGCCTTCATTTGCGATTGGGGGATTGTGGCATGTTTTCGCGCTGGCGATGGACCCGCCAAGGCTTATCGGTGGATTCCCTCGGGAGAGACAAACTGGCAGATTAGACTAGGGCAAGACATGGATGGATCGAATGTCGGATTGTGGACATGGAGGAATCAAAAACCAGGTCCTCGACCGGACACTGCGACCAGTCCAGCAGCCAAGAGCGATCGAACCACCCAGGTTGCCCTTGCGGAGATTGCCTCCGACAGCCTCGGGTTCCAGAGTAAGACCAGGCCTCCTGTCTCGGATGAGGCCAAGCCGCCGCTGCCACAACTGGGCTTGGCAGGGTGCTTGCCTCGGCGGATCAGAGCGAGCCAGACTAGCCAGACGTTGTCGAGTGGAGGCGGAAAGCATTTAAGATGAAACGTCGCGGCTTGGCAGGCTCCGCTCTGTGATAGCGGGACGATGATAGATTGAGTCTTGACCCTGAGCCCTGAGTTGGTTGTCCTGATATAAGACCCCCTCACTGCAGTTCCTGTCTGAACTCTTTCTTCTCCAATTCATTCTTTTTCTCTCCTCTGCAGGTCACATTCCTTCATTCACTCTCTTTACCTTCATTTCAGTCCTTCTTTACCACCCTTCTCCAAAATGAAGCCCTCTACTTTCGGATTGCTCGCTCTGGCAGCAGCAGCCAAGATGGTCGACGCCCACACCACCGTCTTCGCCGTCTGGATCAACGGCGAGGACCAGGGCCAGGGCAACAGCGCCAGCGGATACATTCGCTCGCCCCCTAACAACAGCCCCGTCAAGGACGTGACCTCGACCGACATGACCTGCAACGTCAACGGCGACCAGGCGACGGCCAAGACGCTGTCCGTCAAGGGCGGCGACGTGATCACCTTCGAGTGGCACCACGACAGCCGCGACGCCTCGGACGACATCATCGCCTCGTCGCACAAGGGCCCCGTCATGGTCTACATGGCGCCCACCGCGGCCGGCAGCAGCGGCAAGAACTGGGTCAAGCTCGCCGAGGAAGGATACTCGGACGGCACCTGGGCCGTGGACACGCTGATCGCCAACAGGGGCAAGCACAACGTCACCGTGCCTGACGTACCCGCCGGCGACTACCTATTCCGCCCGGAGATCATCGGCCTGCACGAGGCCAACACCAAGGGCGGCGCCCAGTTCTACATGGAGTGCGTGCAGGTCAAGGTCACCTCCGACGGCGCCAACACCCTGCCCGAGGGCGTCAGCCTGCCCGGCGCCTACTCCGCCACTGACCCCGGTATCCTGTTCAACATGTACGGCTCCTTCGACAGCTACCCGATCCCCGGTCCCGCTGTCTGGGACGGCACCAGCTCCGGCTCCTCCTCCTCTTCTTCCTCCAGTGAGGCTGTGACCACCAAGGCCGCCGTCGCCGTCGAGCCCACCACCACCGCCGCGCCCACCACCTTCGCCACCGCCGTCGCCTCCACAAAGAAGTCCAAGGCCACCGCCTGTAAGAGCAAGACCTCCTCCATCTCCGCTGCCGCTGAGACTGAGCCCACCACCGCCGCCGCTGAGATTGAGCCCACCACCGCTGCCGCTGAGACTGAGCCCACCACCGCCCCTGCCCCCGCCCCCGCCCCCGCCTCTTCCTCTTCTACCTCCGGCTCCGCCGGCAAGTACGAGCAGTGCGGCGGCATGACCTGGACGGGCGCCACCACCTGCGTCGACGGCTGGACCTGCAAGCAGTGGAACCCCTACTACTCCCAGTGTGTTGCCTCCGCTTAAACGCCTCCGCCTCCGCCTCCAACCCGGAACGGAAACATAGCGTGATATACAGTTGAACCGGGGTGTTGAATGTGTAGTCGCTTGGCCGTCTGCCTGTTGTTAGATCTATATAAATCACATAGATTACATATACATATAAAGTAATTGATTGCCCCGCCTTTCTTCACCCTCCAACTACATAAACAGTAATGCGTTCCGGGGGGGAACCCCCGGACCCCCCTTTCTTTTCAGCTTCCTGGCCTAACGCGGTTTGTAGTGCTGGTTGCAGGGTGTGTACAGTTCCGTATGCTTGGGAGGGGTTAGGGTTCCAGGAAGCTGAAAGAAAAGGGGGGTCCGGGGGTTCTCCCCCGGCTACTTACCCTACTAGTATAATAGGAATGAGGTTCCCAGGAAGTTGAAAGAAAAAGGGGGGCCCCGGGGTTCTCACCCGGAACGCATTACTGTGTGTATAGTCGGTGAATGAGCGGGGGGAAGGGGGGCGGGGGCCAAAAAGGATTGACAAGGGTGGGATTCGAACCCACGCCATCTGACGATGATCAGGAAGCTGTGAAGCTGTATGTTAAGGTGACCTTAACCTGACGCCTTAGACCGCTCGGCCACCTTGCCGGTGATGTAATCTTGGGATTATCTTGACAATATGTTCGGGAGTGAAGGTTGTGGGTGGGGTCCGGAGGGTGTTGTTTGTAGTGGGTGTAGATTGGGGTTACTTGCTGGATTTATTCTAGGGAACTTGTTGGGTGGTTTGTTGGAGGGGTTGAGTATTCGGGGGTGTGATGTATGCGCATTTGTGCAAGTTTGGGCTGGGATGTCATGTGAGTCTGATGTGTCGTTGGGGATATATATCCGTTCAGTTCAGTCAACTGTCCTCGACTATCTATACATTATATATAAGTACAGGTACACAAATGGGCAAAGCAACAGGGTATACAGCGCTGCGTCTAATCTACTCGGTCGTCGTGCCCCGCTTCCGCCGCCCCCTCCTTCACCAGCTCGTTCCAACGCCGGATCACCTCCGCCCGCTGCTGCGCCGTCGCGGCGCTCATCTCCTCGATGCCCTGCCGGATGCGCGAGGTGAGGATCTCCTTCGTCTTGCTCTTCGCCAGCGAGTTGCGCAGGCTCTTATGGATCCCGTCCAGCGGGTAGCCCGCGAGGCCCCAGACACCTGCGCCGTGTCAGCACCAAGCCGCAAACAACCCCGGGAAACACTCACCAGCAGTGGGCTTGAAAAAGACCCCGCCCACGCCCTTTCCGATCCCCTTGACGAAGCCCTTCCCGCCGGACTTCTCCATGCCCAGCATCGGCTGCGTGATCAGGCCGGTCACGCCGTGGTAGAGACCGTGCGTGAATTCCTGGTGAGCGTTAGCTACTGATCCCGATTCCCGAAGGAAAGAACGTACCGTGCCTGCAGCGCGGAACCCGCTGCGCACCCCTAGTACCTTGGGCGTCTTCTCTACGGTGAGGTCGTGGTAGAGCTTCGGGGCGTTGTGGAACCCCTTCGATAGACTCAGCGTCACGTCTGTCGGGATCATGATCGCCCAGTTGAGAATGTGCTTGCCCATCTTGCCCGCGTGGTACGTCGCCTCCGCGAAGAACTCCTTGGTGCCGGATTCCTCGCGCGTGCGCAGTCGCGTGACCGTGCGCTCCAGGTCCAGCTCCTCGCCGATCATGGGATCGGTGTCTGGATCGAACGTCGGCTGCGAGCTGCTGGAGCTCGTCCGCGGGCTTGTCTCCTGGTCTTGCGCTGAGTCGTTCGACTCGCTGTCGCTGTCGCTGAGGTGGCATTCCGACGGATGACTCTGGTCCCGGTTTAGTGCGAGGAGTAAGTTGAGAATTGTGTCGATCACCCCAGTCCTATACACTGACTTACATACGAGTGGTAGATGGCCATTCAGGAAGTCCACAGGCGACTTAAGAATGGCAACCCGAACACCAAAAGAGACCTGCTCGATCGTTTCTTGGAATACAAAGATGCCCATGGTGCGGGAATCCCCTTGAAGCAGCTCGAGGTGGATGCATTCACCCCTATGTAAGTGAGGATCAAACCATGACACCTTCACAATATCGGCATGAACTAGGCTAACGACTCGCAGTATTGCTGGACCTGAGTCCGTGGCCACGCTGCTCAGAGTCGCCCTGCTCTATATCATCACCAACCCGAGAGTGCATCAGAAACTCACCGCCGAGATTGACCAGATGGACCTCGCCGGGTCTCTGTCCACTCCCGTATCATTCAAAGAGACGAAGCAGCTCCCTTATCTAGGTGCCGTGGTGAGAGAGGTGTTTCGATTCCATCCTCCTATTGGGTATGTAGTATGTTCGAGGTTATGCACTATTCCTCATACTTCCTCAAAGTCGATGGCACGAAGTAACCGTCCTTGCTAGAACTCCATTCCCTCGCGTCGCCCCGCCTGGAGGCACCACGATATGTGGACATTTTATTCCTGGAGGTTGCGATGTTGGTGAGTACCTCTACGATATGTAACATAGTCCTCGTCAATCACCATCTGACAATTTCTTCTCACTCCCAGGCTTCAGCATGTGGGCCTTAGGCCGCAACAAGAAGGTCTACGGCGAGGACGTGGAACGCTTCCGTCCGGAGCGGTATCTGGAGGCAACCCCCGAGCAGCTTCTACTTTTTCAAAAAGCAGACATGAGTTTCGGGGCTGGTATGACTACTTGTCTGGGAAAGTGCGTCTCGCAAATCCGCCACTTAGTGATCTCAAGTGGAGTTCTGACTGACTTTGTTGTTCACACAGACATATCGCGATGTTTGAGATCTACAAGACCATAGTTGAGGTAAAGATAATCTCCCATTGTCTTAACGTTCCTTTCTTGCGATTCACGCCGCTACGAGACTCCATTTGACAAGGAGATGAACTGACGAATGTAGCTCTTCCGAAACTTTGAGATCGAATTGGCAGACCCGTTTCACCCTTGTAAGATCGAGAACATCTTCGCTTTCTTTATCGATGACATGAACGTCTTCATCAAGCCGCGATCCAAGAAGGCTTCTGCTTGATGTTTGGCTGAATTGCGCGCTGTTGACTAAGATTGATTATCTGTCTTGCTCTGCGTCACAGAAAGGGGTGGGTTTCTGGGGGTTTGGAAGCCAGTAAAGGTTTGCTGCTACTGAGCGGCGGTTGTGCCTCAGGCTGTCTCAGGCTTCCTTTGCGTGCCTCGGGGGTCGATGCCTACAGCTTATTGTCGGAGCCATTGAGTCTGAGTAGATATCTCCTAAAAATAGTAACAGGGGAACCTGAATCAAGCAATCTACTTCAGCCAGATTTTGACTGACTCATCCTATGTTATCTCGTGTCCTAACCTTAAAGCAAAGCCATGCGACTCGATTCAAATTTTCGTAAAAAGCAGTTAGAAGGCTCCGACCGCTGATGCGTGATGACGCAAACATAGTTGAGAGAAAGTATTCAACATTCTACAAGCGAAGCCTCGCCAGTGGCTTCTGTATTCTTATCCTTTGATGTAGAAATTTTTGTTCCGTTGACATGCAATTCACGCTTGCTGAGGCGTGCGGTCGTTTCTAGCAATCCCTGCTTTGATGTGTTAACAGAGCGCACAATCGACCAAAGCACAACTTCATAGGCTAGCTACCAAATCCATACAATGAACAAGACCAAGAACCTGGAAGGAATCTGAAAACAACTTGTGAATTATATGACCTGGTGTCTCGCAACATACAGCGACTAGCACCTATCGGTGGTGTTTTGTCATGATAAGTCCCAGCATCTTTACGGGGATACTAATTCCCACAAACCAGATAGGTGAATTTGCTGTCCGTCTCCTACCCTTCGGCATCCCATGAACTTCAAGCATGAACATAGGAATGGAAATAGAGAACACTAGAACGGTGTGATAGATGCTCTCAACCTAGAGCTCCCAACCAACCAAAGGACCGTCGTCGAAGTTATGATCTGGGAAACCCCTCTCCCCTCTTGGGGGCCTTGCGAGTTTGTACGCTGCCCAAAGGTACGGAGAGAAACGACGATTTGATTCAGCACGCGATAGACCCAGGCACTCGAAGAAACCAACGAAGTATCAGTGTAAAATAGATGAGTAGTGTTTTCAGAAGCAGGGAAGTCCAGGGACTAACAATTTCCGATTTGCTGAATCCCAAAGGAGTCTCCGGCACGAACTAGGAAACGGCAGGTATCCCGACCGATAAAGCAACCTTTTTTCGGGCGAGTCAGTCAACAAAGTGATATGGTAGATCATGGTTCAAGACATCGGAAACGAACATAATGTTTGTCCGGAATTCAGCCCGGATCAAGTCTCTCTCCTCGCGTGGCATAGACCAGAAGGTGTCAGGGCCGAATACGTCCCCGAGCCTGATCCCGGGGAGAGTGCTCCAGACAATGGTGGTGTGATATTCGCCCGGAACATAGCCGCTCTGATCCTGGCGGTCTAGCTTTCTGTCCAAGAGAGCAGGGGTGCACTTCAAACGGCGATTCGTAGATTTCTCGAGCGCGGCAGGCTCAACGTGGTCGTCCGATATGGCCTGCCGGGCACGTTGCGCCGGGCTGTCGTTCTCGGTTCCCGCAATGGGGATTTGGCGGTAGACTCTCATAAAAGCCTTGGTATCATTATCAGTCCTGCGCACACGAAACCTCGCACACGTAAAGGGGCGCGTCTCCAATCTGGCTGCTTCGGCTCGACTACAGGGGAATTCGCAGTGATTGATCGTTTCCATGATTGTCCATTCCGATCTTTCAAGACGGACTGTCGCTCCTACCCAAACGCCGGGAATTGGTATGTGTGCCATCGGGGAAAAAAGAACTAAGTAAGTTGCGAGATGGTAGGAGTGGAGAGACCGTGGTGAGAGAGCTCGCAGAGGTGATGATATAACACTGAAGTTCAATGGAGCGGAACTGGCCTCCGGCCATCATCCAGTGGTTATTCACTTTCGGATCAAGTATCTTACGGCCTTGAAAAGCTGGCATCAATATCAAACATCCACATTTCCTACTGCATACTTTGGACAATACACAACTCTGGCCACGGAGTACAACACCTCCAATATGGGTCAGCTGCAAGCTGAGTCGGAATACACTTCTCACTCTCTCGAATACATACTGCTTTTTTTGTTATCGCAAAGCACATGATCTGGGCACGTCATGCTCGCCTAGCTGGGAGTGTTCTCTACATGCGTAGCCGCAGGCCATGTATATCAAAAGAGCCACGCCAGTATCGAACTTACGTAGTCATATCACTTTGTAAACTCTCTCTATTGAATAAGCTCCACTCACTTCAGGCGAGTTCTGCCGTTTACAGAGCCCATACACAATCAGCTAAATGAGTGCAGGCTCATCAGTCAGGCTAGAAGTGAATTGGGTTGCATCAAATTGAATAATCCACATTTGTATGTTATTTGAACAATATCCACCACAAAGAAAGTATGATATTTGTAGAGTGTGTTGACATCTAGGGGTGTGACCGCTGGGTCATATAACCTGATGGAACATAAACACCATAAAATTATATAAATAGTTCCTTACTTAACCAAATTAATAATTATTAAAGACTTTATATCTTTTTCTTATATAACTACTTACTTCTATAGATTATAAGTCTAGCTTAGATTTAAAATTTTTTTTTAATCTTTTTTTTCTTTTTTTTTTTAGTATAAAAAATATATTATATACTATTTAATATACCTACTAATCAGAATTCTTATTTATTATTAAAAATAGTTCTCTTTTAAATATTAAATATATTAACTATCTTAATTAACTAATAAAATATATAATTAAAAAATAGAATAAATATAAAAATATTATAAAATAATAGATTATTAATATTATTAAATTATTAATTTTATCAGGCACAGGTAACTATTAGATATAAAATAAAATATTATAAATATATTTTTATTTTTAAAATCTCTAGAAAATTATTTCTAGAATTATTAAAAAATTAATTAAATTAATTTTTTTTATTTTAATATATTAAATATATAATAGTTTATATTAAAAATTCTTAAATAATATTAATATAACTATATTTAATAGAATATATAAATAATTTAAAAAATAATTTAGTATATAAAAGAAAAATAATAAAAAAACTTATAAAATAATTTATATAATTTTAATATTAGAAATTTATTATAAAATAATTAATCTTACTAGTATTAAAAAAATATAGAATAAATTAAAAAAATATTATAATATTATCTTTTTTATATAATTTTTTAAAAATTTTAAATTATTATATCTTTTTACTATAATAATTATAAGAATATAAATAAATATATTATAAAAATATTATAAACTTTAGATAAGTTTTTATATAGTCTAAAAATAGATAAAAAAATTTTTAAATTAATATATATATAGTTTTTATTCTATAAATTAAAAGAATATTAGAATATATTTCTTATTTTTTATATTAACTCTTATTTTAATAAAAAAAAAATATATAAAATAATATTATCTAAGTCTTTATATAAAAAAAGATATATTCCTAATTTAACTCTATAAATATAAATCTTATTAAAATATTAAAAGAAAAAAATAAAATAATAGTAATAATAAGAATAAAAAAAGTAAAAATATTTTATCTAAAAAAAATAACTTTAAAAAAAAATTTTCTAAGAAATTTATAAAAACTAGATTTATAATTATTATAGTAAAATAAGTTATAAATTATTTAATTATTAAAAATTATATCCTAAGCTAAAGATATTAAAAATAATATTAAAAAATATTAAAGTAAATATTATAAAAAATAAACTAAAAATTATAATTTTTATATTTATAATAATAAAAAATAATATAATTAATAATCTTATTAACTTTATATCTTAATAAAAAATTAGTTTTATTAAATATAATATTATAATTATATATCTTAAATATAAAAAAAAATAAATTATTAACTTTAATTTTATTAAATATTTTATTAAAAATATAAATAACTTTATATCTAGTATTATTAAACTATATAAATAAAAAATCAGAATTATTATAAATAAAATAATTTATTTAAAAAATATAAAAAATATAAAATTAAAATTAATATATAAAACTAGAAGATTTTATATTATTATATTTATAAATATATTATATATATCTAATATTAAGATTAACTTACTTAATATAATATATCTTATTAAATATAACTTAATAATATTATTTTTTTCTATTAAAGTAGTTATTTATAAAATTTTTAATAAAAAAATTATTAGCTAAAGTAATATTATTAAAAATTAATATATTTTATATCTTAATTATAATTTATATATAAAGAAGATTACTAGTAATAAAATTATAAATTTATTTATTTTTGTAAATAAAATTAAAATTATAGAAAATATTATTAAATCTAATATTATAATTTTATTAATAGAAATAATTATTTAAATAATTATTTATTATTTATATATATATAAAGATCTCTATAAAAAATATATTATAAATATAAATAAAAGTTATATTAATTTATTTATCTAATATTATTATCTAGTCTACTTTTTTATTATAAATTATATATATTTTTTAAAAATAATAAATAGAATAGATATTAAGAATCTTATTATACTAAAATACTTATATTAAATATATTATTTTATTAATATTATAGTATACTAAAAATATACTTAAATAACTCTTTTAAAATAATATAAATAATATATATTCTTTAATATTAAAAAAATATATTAATATATTTATAAATAAAAAATCTAATATATATTACTAGATATTTTTTATTAATATATATAATAACTAGATTAATATTTATTTTTTAAAATAAAAAAAAAATATTATATTAAAATTAAAATTATTTATTAAGAAAATAGACTATATATCTTATAAAATTAAGACTTTATATTCTAATAATATATTTAAATTCTAAAAAAAGAAAATTCTTGTTTAAATATACTATAAAAATATTAAATAAAAATTTATAATCTTATATATATATAATTAAAATATATTAATAAAATATATTAATCTTATTATTTTAATTTATATTTATATAATTTTTTATAATTAAGGCCTTAATTAAAATCTCTAGAATAAAATTATAAAAAAAATAATATTTTTTAAAAACTTATTACTAATTTATAATAAAATAATTACTATATAAAAATTATATAATAAAAAATACTTAAATTTATTAAGTTTTTATATTTTTAATTATTATAATATTATAACAATTCTTAAAAAAATCAGAAATAAAAATAAGATTTTAAAAATATAATTATATAATTTATTAATATATCTTTTTAACTATATAAATTTTATAAAATAATATAGAATTTTAGATATTAAAAATAATAAGATTCTTATTATTAGAAATATATATTTTAATAAAAAAACTAATTTAGAATTATATAGATTATTAAATAATAATTATAATTAATATTATATTTCTATTCTAGTTATTCTATTAATTTATAATTTAAATAAATATATTTTAAATAATAACTTTAGTAATAAGAAAGCTGTTTAAATACTAGAATATTAATATAATTTAATAACTTTAAAATATTATCTAATTAATAAAAATAATTTATTTATATTTTTTATTTATATTAATAATTACAGGATAGAATATAATAACTTAATTATTTTTTTTATAAAAAATCTTTTAAAATAAAAAAAATTTTATATTTTATATTTTTTAAAATAAATCCTCACAGCTAGTAATATTAAAAAAATAATAATTATAATTATATTATTAAATTAATTATATATAAATAAATTATAAAATTACTAAAAATCTTATAATAATATATAATAATAATAAAGAAATTTTCTATATTAATAATAAAAAATATCTAGAAATTTATTAATTTATTTTATAAATATAAAATAATCTCTAGGTATTAGATATATAAAATTAAATTTAATATAAATAATAAAATCTATTATTTTAAGATTTATTATATAATATATAATTTTATATTTATTTTAATAATTAAAATAATAATAATAAAAATATTTTTTATTTTTATAATAACTCTTAATTTTATTTATAAATAAAAAAATATTAAATAAGTCTTTTTCTACAGAAAATTTTATAATAATAAAAAGATTTATATAATTTAATTAACTAGTTTTAATAATAATATAGTTAAGATATATAAATTATTTTTATTTATTTATAATTTAAAATAATTTACTAGAGACTAGTTTTATAAATTTTTTAAAATAATTATAAATATTAGAATAATTTTTTTCTAAGTAAATAAATATCTTTTTATTAGAAAATATAAAGAATTAATAATTCTATATATAAATAATATCTAAATTATTATTTTTATTAAATATTTTATTAATATAGTTTATAAAAATTTTTCTAAATATTTTATAATTATTAATTTTAGTAAAGTAGTATAATATCTTAATATAAAATTAAATATAATAATAATATAATCTATTTTTTTAAAATATATTTTTTTATTAAATTATTATAATAGCAGATTTTAATAGTAAGAAAATCTATAAAATATTAATTAATAAAAATATTAAACTTATAAAAAACTAGAAATAAATAATTTAGAATAATATTAAAAATTATTAAATTAATATTAAAAATTATATATATTTAATAATTTAAATATATTTTAATATAGTCTTTATTATTAGAAAACTTTTTTATTATATAAATAATTTAATTAAATAATATATAAATAATTTCCTTTTTTTATACTATTATTTATATAAAATTAATAAATATAAAATTATTTATATAATCTATAAATTCTCTAAACTACTTAATTAACTTAATATAATAATTAATTATAATAATATTAATTATACTAGATATTTTAATATATATTATTTAATAACTAGATATATTTTTATATAAATTAATAAATTAATTTTATAAATTTTATATTTATAGTTTTATATTATAGTATCTATTTATAAAATAAAATATATAATTTTATATATAATAATAAAAAAGATATACTAAATTATATATATACTAGAAAATATAGATTTTAGTAGTATATATCTAATAATAATTTATATTAATAATAAAAATATTATTATATTTATTTAAAATAATTAATTTTACTAGAAAATTAAATATATTAATATAATATTTTATTAGATTTATAAAATTATTTAATATAATAATATATATTTTATTTATATTAATTTTTTAAAAAATTTTATAGATTTATTTACTAAGCTATTTAGAAATATTAAATTTATTAATCTTATTAAAAAACTAGAAATTATATTTTAATTTAAAAAATATAATAGAATTTATCTTTAATTTAATAAATTACTATACTAGTAGCCTATATTAATTTATAAATTATTATTTTTTATTATCTATTTATTTTTAATACTATAAAAAATCTATATATTACCTATTTAGAAAATTAAGAAAAAATTAATTAGAATTATTATAAGTCTATTAAGAGGATATATTAATATCTAGAGATATAATTACTGAATTATATAATCTGATAAAATATAAATACTATAAAATTATATAAATAATTCTTTACTCAACTAAATCAATGATTATTAAAGGCTTTATACCTTTTTCCCGTGTAACCGCTTACTTCCACAGAGTGGTCAGGTAGCTCTACCACCACAACAACTCGTCTTATTCATTGTCTGCCTTCCTTCTCAACAATCGTAATCAACAAGCTCTTCTCTTCTCGCACAGAGTTCAGATCTTCGCCTATTATGATTTTTGTGGGAGGTCCTAATATCAACACTCCAGTTCTAACCTTCTCCCTTCCGATATATATGCTTAATTTTCCTTTCTGTGAAGCACAGACACAGTAAAAATAGCAAATCCTGCACCGAAAACCGCCAGGGACATCGTCTTGGAGATACCTCCACCTCTCTTGGGTGGTCCCAACAGGACTGAAAGCAACGCCATTCATCCAATTTACCTCAAAGGCGACTTGTACCCTTGGTCTGGATTCAGGCAGGAGGTTATCAATCATTGGCAAAGCTACCCTTGGAGAGCAATGCCTGCAGCTCTGGCAGCTCAAACATTTCCCCCGACTACAGCGACTACAAACACGGAGTTTGTTTATGCTGCGGACGAAAATGGTCTGCAGGATCGGTGGAACCAGAATATTGGCCAGATAATGGGAGTCGTGTTTGACTCTCAGCGTATGGACATGCGGCTTGCGGACTTCAAAGCCAACCTGAGCGACTGCACCGAAGTTCTCGACTCGGTGATCTGCACGACCGGGGGGCAAGCGATTGCGGTGGGGGAGTTTACGGTCTTTTGGGTAGATAGCCACGAGTTCCAGGTGGCCATCAACCAAGAGTAATTAGTCCTACGTCGCGTGCTGGGTAGGTATTCTGGGCCATTTTCGACCGACAAAGCTAATATGTAAAAGGCCAGATAGCTGAGTATATGGCCGCCCTCGGGCTCAAGCACGGCTACCTATCCATCTATAACCAAACCATCTTCCTTAAGGTGGAGGTTCCTGCGGGTAAGCGATACACCGGGCTCTTCTACTCCGATGTAATTAATCGGTCGGATACGTCTGTCACCCTTCGGCAAGCTTTCTTCTACTTCGCCATCAAGACACGCAGCGATATCTATCATACTGTCCAGATCTCGAGGAACGCCCAGTGGACTGTAACGGGCAAGAAATTTGTGAATACCTAATCGCCTAATGCACTTGTGTTGCAACTTCCACATACCATCAGCCGCCGGGGGGTGACAGCTGAGGGGGGCAGCTGATAAATACTTGGTCGTAAATAGCCGGGATAAGAACGGAGGAGAGAAAACAGTTCAGATAGTCCTTTGCCTTGCACTTCAATCTCTCTTCTTAGCCTAGCCTCAATAACGTAATTTGAATATCTCAGACCAGATCTAATTGCATCTATAGGGTTACTGGATTGTTTTGTTTGCATAATCTAATAATCGCCAGACCTACTTGCCAGTACTACCCATGGCAATCGGCTCCGGTGACGGCACACATCGAGGGTGGCTGATGGCTGCATTATTTTGATACGTCAAGGTGCTTAACCTTCCATGTCTAGTCTCCCATTCCAGCCAAATGATATCATCGCAGAGGCAAGTCTCAATTCTGCTCCCGAGAACAGGGCCGCCATCGTTTGTGGCTGAATAACTGCCAAGCCCCTTGCGCACCAGCTGCGATGATAATTCCGCACCTCGCAACACCTTCCCTCGTCCACTCATTCCCGATGATGCCAGTACGACGGACCGATGGAGATGATCTACGTCAAGTGACCGGCCGGCCTCAGGGTAATGAATTCAAGCCGTTGGAAGAACGGCTGGAGAACATGCGCGTCGAAGCGGTATTGCGTACTGGATACTGTCGCACGACGCGACTTCAGATACCTGGACGGTTTCATGGTCTGATCATTGGCTGTCTCCAGCGTGCGTCATAAGTAGCTAGAGTGCTTGGAGGAGACGGGGAAGTTGCCGCGCTCCTTGCATTCCACCTTGAAACACGGTGGGAAGGGTTGTTGTGAACAGCGGTAGCCGATGATGAGATTTCGAGCGAGGGCCACCACATAAGGCCAGGCCTGTCTGGTTCCGAGTGGTGATGTCAATGTTTGGGCTCAAAGATCAGACCTGCTGCTGCTGCTGCTCGAAACCACCAATCTGGACTGATTAGGGGCTCACATGGTGACAGGAAGAAAGGGCCGGCGCCAAGGCGGCCTCCCGAAAAAAAAGGTTGGGCCCACCCAGCCCTGAAAGTCTGCGATTTTTGAGATGTTTCATGCAATATCAACGAAGATCATCCGGAAGTTAATACAATTACGCGGCCAAGGGATGTCCCCTTGGCAATGTCTTGATCGAGCTTGATTGCAGCTATCGATGTGTCGGATAAAGTAGTGCCGTAGAATCAGTCAGCGATCGGAAAATAGCATAGCATATCCAAGCATCTTCGGCCTCGCTACCACAGTTTGGAACCCTCAGCGTCCGCCTAGTGCTTCGAGAGGATGACTGGAAGAGGACTAACGGCAGCCACACCCAGGATCAGATCCGAACTGTCGGCAAAGAAGTTGAAGAACAGCCTCTGCATGCACGGGCCAGCGTCAAAATGCGCTCCACCGAACCTTGGGCCGCACGTGGATCCCAAGCATTCGACGGGTCCCCTGCCCTGCGATCCTCCAGCGGTTAGAGCGATCCATGGCAATGGGGTTCCTGGTACCTGGTCGATGGCTGGATTAGCAACAGTAGCTTCCTCATTCTAAATAGAAAAATCTCATCTTGATAACTATCATTCCGGAATAATTTTAAGCGGGATCATCCTGAATAGAGCTATAGCTTGCTGCAGGACAAGCTTCATGCCACCCAGTCAGATTGCCCCTCTCCCCCTTGTGACTCCTGCATGAATGCGTGGGGCGGCTTGCTAGGGTCAGTAAGACATGGCCTTAGAGTTAGGTATCAAAACGCACCGTGTAACTGGAAGTGTTCATAGCACCTTATGGACGAAAAAAACAGTATGACTAGTCTTACCAATCCAGTAGTCCTTTCTCAAACTCAGCCCTGGCCCTTGCCACTAATACTGGTAGAATTGACCCATTGCGGTCGCACATATCCAATGAAGGACTCGGTCGGATATGAGTGCATGCAAATCACTGATCACGCAAATGGCACCGCGACGATCATTATTCGCTCAAGAAGGGGAACACATAATCTAGCAACCTGATAGCAAAACAGCCAGGCTCCTGCTACAAATCTAATACTTGGCCGCGCGGCAACCGACCGAGCCCAAGCCTGGATGAGCGGGAAACTCTATGGCGGCACATCGGTCGAGCATACCCACTCTTTTACTTAAGCTGCTCAAGAATCAGATTTTTTTTTCAAATCGGCCCTTATCAAGCTAGCACCTATATCTATTGCCCCGCGAGGAGCGTGCACTCCTCTCTATCTCTTCATCCGAAACACATCATGGCCATTTTCGACCTTGTCTTTCGAAACAGGGACCAGGAGGTCCCGGTTGTGGACGAGGAGGCCAAAGGCCCTCACTTCACTGTCTTCTCGAGTCCCGAGTCCTCACAACCGAACAGTGAATCCTCATCTGGCTTTGCAACGCCCACGGAAGAGAAGAGCCTCGCTCCTCTGGGAAGATGTCCGGAGATCGGTCGGCTGGCCTCCTGGCGAGGCGCGCTGATCCTGCTGGTGACCTCGGGCTCCCAATTCCTCGATAACGTGTACATGACCAGCGCCAACGTCGCTCTCTCCTCGATCCAAAAAGACTTCGGCGTGACCAGCACGAACCTGCAATGGATGATCTCCGCATACACCTTGACGTTTGGCGGCTTCCTGCTTCTTGCCGGCGTGCTCTCCGATCGGTAAGCGTCTCCATGCTTTGGGTGTCAGTACCCTTTAATTAACCTTCGACCAGATACGGCCGGAAGAACATTCTCTGCATCGGCCTGTGCTGGCTGTCTGTCTGGACCCTGGCGATTGGCTTCGGCCAGTCCTTTATCCAGCTCACAGTCTTCCGAGGCCTGCAAGGCATCGGGGCAGCAATGACCGTTCCATCCGCGATTGGGATCATCAGCGCCTACTTCACGGGCGTTGATCGCACGCGCGGACTAGCCATCTACGCCTCATCCGGGACACTGGGGTTCTGCGTAGGCCTGATCTTCGGGGGGTTCCTGACCTCCTCGCTGGGCTGGCGATACATCTACTACTTCATCGTGATCATCACGGGATCGCTGGGCATTCTAGGTGCCGTCGTTCTCCCGAAAGACATCATGGCCAAGAAGAAGCCGAAGATGGACTTCGTGGGCGCGTCGATGTCGACGGTGGGGCTGATTCTGCTGCAGTTCGTCCTGTCGAGCGGGGGGTCCTATGGCTGGAGCCAGCCGTTCATCATCGTGCTGTTGATCCTGGCGGTGGCGCTGCTGGTCGCGTTCACCATGCTGCAGAGGTACATCGCGTATCCGCTGATGCCGCTCTCGCTGTGGAAGATCCCCAACTTTGCGGGACTGTGGATCGCGGGCTTCAGTACGTGCCCCCGGTACCCCTTTCTCTCTGGTCAATAGATACTAATAGTCGCAGCCTGCTACGGCAGCTATCAGAACGTGATCTACTACATTGTGCTGACGGCACAGGAGGTCGACAAGCTGTCGGCGGGCCAGACGGCGCTGCGCTTTCTCCCAATGGGGGCGATCGGGTTCGTGGCCTCGATGGGCACGGGCAAGTTGCTGGAGTTCGTGAACGGGAAGTACACGCTCATCGCGGGGCTGGTGCTAACGGTCGTGGCGCCAATCCCGAGCTCCATCACCACGAGCCCGGAGTCGAGTTTGTACGTTCTCTTCTCGTCCCCCCGGTTTCAATCCCATGTACTAACACCATCCAAGCTGGATCAACGTCTTCCCCACCTCCCTAATCAGCATCACAGCCGTCTCGCTCATCTTCGTAACAACCAGCACCTGCATCCTGACCACCGTGCCGATTAACGTGAAAAGCCTCTGCGGCGGAATGGTACGCCCCCTTCTCCCACCTACCTTACATCACGAGAATGAAACTAAAACTCAAAAGCTAAACACAGCCTTTCAAATCGGCTCCGGTGTCGCTTTGGCCATCTCCGCCGCCGTCACTGAGGCAGTCGACATTGAGAAGGGCCACGATCTCGCCCACCAGTACTCGACGGGTCTGTGGTGCTCCGCCGGCCTGGCTGGGCTGGGGCTAATAGTGGCTTTCTTTGCCGTGCGAAGAAGGGGGATCGGGCCAGAGGACCGGGTGGACTCTGTTTGCGCGATTTGATTTGGCTCCTGTGTCTTTTAGGTGTGGTAAAAGTTGCTTTGGTTTGGTTGTTTTCTCTTGGACTTGGAGTTGGTTGGGCGTGTTTGTTTACGGTTATGCTATGGTTATGCTATATAGAGTTATGGCTATGATAGACGAGAGTGGGTGACGGTCTTATATTCTGGTATATGATAATTAGATTACTTTGACCCGTGATGTGACTGGATAATCGATACGAAATCTACTGAATGAAAAGTCTGTCTACTGTTGCAGTTGCAAGTAGGAAGGAGTAAGAGTATGGAAGGGTTAGATTTTAGCACATAAAAATCAGTTCGCGGGTCCCACTCGCGGGTCCCACTGGACTCTGGTGGAGATCTCAAAATCTCATCCGAGGGTAGGAACCAGAACCAGAGATTTCATGTCCGGGCGTCCGAAGTGTAGTATGCGATAGCATTATCGGTGTCAGATCTAGGTCGTATGCTTTTACTGCGGTGCATTATTGGTTACAGTGATCCTGATTGCTATGTAGACTGTAGCTTGAGACTTGATAAGAGAAAATAGATAGAGGATAGATGAGCACCAAGCTCAGCTAAGCCAAGCTCTTCAGCTAGGTGTAGGGACCAGAGAATCTGAAAGAGCTCGGGTTACCGCATCAGGAAGTCCCGAGAACGGGTCTAGAATCTGCAGCTCGATAATTCCTGCCGGCAAATCAAGAAATTGTGCAGTGGTTCGGGGCGAGTGGGCCGGGAAGGGACCGTGGCTGAGGGTTCAAACTTCGGAGGCTATTCAGGGACTGGACTGGGTGGCGTCGGTTATGTTCCTGGTCCGCGTTCTATCTAAGTATTCAGGTGGTTTATTTTGGTAGTGAGTTATTGCTCTTGCTACCGCCGGTTCACTCTATGATTTGATGCACCTATTCTGAGACTTGGACACGATGGATTGGGCTGGCTTGTTATCGCTAGCCTTGCTATGAGGCCTAGGCTCACCTTGAACCGGTTCAACTGCCATAGCAGATAATTATCCACGAGGTGTGACGCGTACGTGATATTGAATCCATACTTTTATAGGAATTAACCATCGAATAACATTCATACCATCTCAAAACCAATCAATCTCATACAGTCACCGACCTCGCGGTGAACCCACCACAAAAATCCATATCAACCACGTCGTCCTCCACCAAAATTCAACGACACCCGCCTAACCACCTATAGAACCTAGCTAGAAGGCGCCTTATCCATAACACTAGGCGTCAAGTACCCACTAGGGTACAAATTCGAGTAATCATAGTAGAACTGATAGACGCCCGAGACGTTGGTCTCCTTGAGCCGGAAGCTATCGGTCAGCTCGCCGGAGGTCTCCTCCCACATCAGCCAAGAGCCGTAGAAGATAAAGTTGTCGGTCGCGGCGTCGGAGGGCGTGTCGCGCCCGTTGCTGGTGAAGCCCACTTCCGTGATCTCGTTGGCGGTCGGGCGGATGTAGAACAGGGTGTCGGCGTCCAGGGTCACACCATCGGTCGTGGCCGTGGTGGTCAGTTCGGTGTCGGTGATTTCGACTACAGAGGGTCAGCTAGTGGGTTTGTTGGTGGGGGGATGCGGGGTCTATACAGGTGACGTCCGTGGTCACGGAGCCGTAGGGCCAGGCGGTTGAGTCGCCGGCGTAGGCGAGACCTGGGTGTGGTTAGCTTGAGTTTTGGCGGCGTGAGGAGTGGTGGGTACCATCGGAGTAGAAGAGCTTGATGGCTTTGCTGGTCACACCCCAGGCGTACAGGCTAAAGGCGCCACTGGGATTGCGCTTCTCGAGGCTAGCTCCGGCTTCGGCGGTGGAGATTGCCAGGGCAGCAGTGGCCAGGGCCAGGGTAGAGGCAAGAGTGAACTTCATTGTGAGGGATTGTGGGTTGGATCGGTATGCTGACGAGAGAGGACCGGAGATGACGGAGCGGACAACCCTTTATCTATAGATTCTTCACGCGGCTCGGAGTTAGCCGAAGAACCAGAGTCGGGCTCGTACACAATGTTGAGCGAGGCTAACAGAAGGATCAAAGTCTACTACTGATCCTGCAGCAACCAGAAGCCATACAGCAAGACTGCAGAAGCTCGACGGCCCACATAGGAAGTGTATACCCCGGCGAAGACCGCCGGATTCCTCGCCGTGTCCACTGTCGAGACCCTATTTCGCTGAAGAATATTGAGAAGGAAGTTGTCCATCCGAGAACACCGCCCTATTGAGCCTGAGACATACGTATGCTTCGCTGCGCCCAAGCTTTATCTGGGATAGTGCTAAAGACGGCCATGCTTGGCGGCGGTTCCACTCGCAGGTGCCTGGCACTGCCCCTCATCAGAGTCGTCACAACCAGGACAAGTCTCATCGCCCAGCTGCATGGGAGACGTGGCAGCCGAGTCAATGCGGATATTATGTGTAGCTGCTGGGCAGCAGTTCTTCCAAGGTTGATCATGCAACGGGGTGTGGGGTGCGTTGAGGCAATGTTGAGCCGCAACACGAAAGCACGATGCCAGAGGATTTGCGCTATGAAGATGCTAAATCCAACGTAGCTTTCCTGGTGGAGAATGTGTCATGCTGAGGTGATCATTCTTCAGCATTCTAGACAAGGCTACTGTGCTAATCAGATGCGCCAGGGGATAGTATCCCTGGCTTGGAATTGACGGGTTAAAGTTCATTCCAAATCACGCAAGGCTGAATATCCAACGACAGAGGCTAGACGGTCCAGAATCTTATACGAATGCTGACTTTGGCAGTGATCGACACGGCCAATAATGCGATACACTCATCGCACGAGTCATTAACACATTGTGTTGTGCAAGGCTGGTACTATCGCAAGGGACAATGCGATCAGGATGCTCCACCTCTGTGGTTCTTCATCACATGGTCGCGAGCTTATCATCAGGATGCGGTGCTTATTGTTGCCGCTTAGTAAGTTCCTTGGCAGTCGTAAATCCTTTCGATTGTAGCGATGGGTCGTGATTCCTTTCTGTGATGGAAGTAGTGTATCATATCTGGATCCTTCAACGCTTGCATGCTTCCCATAGAAAGTTCTACTAAGCAAATGACTCCTGGGTTGACGCCTGCTCCTGCGGCGTGCACGGTGATCCTTGAATCTGAATCTGGGTTGCACCGTGGTTGGTAGTTGTCTCAAGCCGAAAGTACCTCCAATTCACTGAGATCTAGGCAAACAAAGTGATGTCAAGGCGAAGATGATTCCGACCCAGTCTACAACGCGATGGTGCTCGTTTACATTCTCATTTGTTTTTTGGACTTAGTACCGTTTTAAATGCAGTTTTTCAACAGCTGGCCTGCTGGCCCAATGGTAAGGCGCTTGACTACGAATCAAGAGATTGCAGGTTCGAGCCCTGCGTAGGTCATTCTTTTTGCCCATTGTCCATCCCCTTTTGCGAGAAAGATGGATTCTTCTTATATTCTCATAGACAATCCCTCGTGTCATTTTGACGTCTTGTAGATGCTTGGCTTGGCAATGCGCGTGTCTTGGCCGAGCATTGGCAATTTTGTAGGCTGCAGGTCGGCTGCAGGTGTGCGGGTCCGACTTGAGTCCGAGCGACTTTCGAATATGGCTACTGGCGGGCAGGCCGCAGCTCATGTTTAGCGATTATTGCCTTTCTCTCGCGCTTTGCGAAGGTATTGGTTGGGATGTGATATAATCCTGGCAGTATAGTCTTGTGGAACTGGTTCATGTGATGATCGATGAAGGGGTGTTTGGGGGTTGAATCCTCTGCAGTACGGTTCCTTGGATAATGGCTATATATATATTTGCGGGGACAAAACGAATCATCCCTCAACAAGAGGATTATCATGAGGTGTTAATCCACCAGAGTACACCTTGAAAAGGAAGAAATTGATTTACCATCCAATTATTATTTTTCTGCACTAAGCCGCCCATGCGGATTAATCAGGCGAAATGTACCGACCGCATAATATCAGTATCCTCTTGTTGAGATTTATTCAATGGAGACGGGAAACTCTGGAACATCACCATAGTAGTAGTCTCTATTTGCGACCGCCATGTCTTCAGACTGGAAAGAGCAAACGAGTAAAAGGGTCAAGATCAAATAGCCTAGATGCCGATCAACTGTTTAGATCCACAGCTTAACATACGCCTAGTAGTTGAGCATAAACAACTTGGTGCAAGAAAAGAGTGGCAGAGATAATGATCATACTCTGCTACACTCGAATTCAAGTAATAGTTATCAGAACTAGTCGATTAGGTTGCATGGCTTTAGCTAACTGAAGGGTCATTGCAGTCGCCAGCCAAAAGACCCTGACTATGAACAGAGCACAGGCGCTATATGCCCAGAAGAGGAGATCACCAAACCCCCATGTTCTACTAAAAATGACCACAAACTCGTAGTCACCGACAATTGAGAGAGCGGGTGCAGAGGAGAGAGTTCAGGTGCAAAAAGTAATGACAAGAGTGGGATTCGAACCCACGCCACTTGCGTGACTAGGAATATTGCTCAGAGAGCCAATATGTGTGATCAGATTACCTGACCCTAGCGCCTTAGACCGCTCGGCCATCTTGCCTTGATTGAGTAATAAGCATTCATTAGATATATATGATGCAAACATGCAAGAAGCGACAGTTCTTTACTGCGATGTTGCTCTCTGTCAGGAGTTATGAAGAATATGAGATTGCATTATCGACCGAAATACACTTTGAACTCCTGTTTTCGTATTGGACCCACAAGCACAACTGGTAACTCAGAAGATTGAGACATTGCTTGTCTTTAGCGGCGAAGATCTAGCTTAGCCATCAAGCCAGTGCATGTTGGAATAAAATTCATTATTTACACTAATCGGATACAGTCATACTCCCGTCACTCAATATTATTATTTCATCTACGGAATATTGCTTAGCGGATTGTGTCCAGATAACCGTCGTTAAATTACAGCCCACTGAAGGGAGCAGACCGTGAAAGTCACCGGCACCACTATAAGCGAAAAGAGCTTCACTCGCTGTTCTCCTGCTAATATGGAAACCTGCCGACAAAACAACCCACAAGTCCTTTATTTCCAGGCTGCGCGTTGTGCTGCTCACTTGTTCGCTATCTCCTGATCTCCTCAAACCACCCCAAAGTACCATTATATATAACCCCTATATGACCAACATAGAGATAGTAAGCCCATCAACATACTGACTGTGACACGTGGAACTCATACCAGCTCAACCTCACCAAAACCACTACAGCAGCATTACAGAACTATCGACTGCCACTGCCAAAGCAAGAGCCAGATAACCACTGCTCCAAACCATCAGAGCCAAGCTACCACAGCCACAGCCTGACCACCAGCACAAACACCCGACAAGGCAGCACTCCAGAGCCATCCAACAACTCAAAATGTGCTACCAAGTGTGCCGCCCCTACCCTGCCTGCACGCACCTCTACCGCGTGGGATGGTACAAATGCCGGCAGGCGCGCGCGCGACAGGGCCAAGCATACTGCATGCCGACCTCGCGCAACCCGTTCGACCTGCCGATCTGGGTCCAGCGGTACGTGGACTTCAACAGGCCGCAGTACTGCGATTACTGTCTCGAGGCCATGCGCTCGCAGCAGTCCTTCAACAGACCTCACCAGCAGGCTGTCAGGATGGCCTGACACCTCCTCCTCCTCGATGAGTGGTGCCTCACGACTATTTGAATGCGTTACGACTACTTGCTGGGATACTTTGCGCTGATGCTTTGCGCTTCTTCTCGGTTATTGCGTTTCGGGTTTAGTTTTGCGAGGTGGCGGTCCATATGACCGTTTGTGTTGAGTAGGCGGTCGCAATGACCCGGGGTTATTGTTGTGTTTCTGTTCGATAAGAATGGAATTGAACTTTCAATGATATATATACACTTTGTGATGATTAAAATTCCTTGTATTTGACTAGATACTCCCTGATAATGTAATTTCCTTGAGACTGAGGATATGTATTTGCGTATATGGATGCGTTGTATCGTTATAGTATTCACATCCAAACAATAACTATCCCGAGCACAGCACCACAAACCAGCCCAGTAAAAGAGAAGGAGTTAATGTTAGCCCCACCAGTAAACAACGCCGAAGCAGCGCCTGCAGTGACTGAACCTGATCCAGTGTAAACAGCCGAAGAAACTCCAGCAGAGCTGGAAGAAGTCTCACCAGCCATGCCAACCGTACTACTAGGGACCCCGCTGAGTGTCCAGCTACCAGAAGCTTGACCAGAGGGTCCAGATACACGGCTGTTTTCTGTTGCATCGCTGCCCTGGGGTAACCCCGTGGAGGCACTACCCGCTGCATCTTGGACCGGAGAGACTGATGCAGTCGTGACGGCAACAAGGGTGTAGGTGGTGTATGATGGTGAAGCGGGGTTTTGCGCTGCGGCTGGAGCCGTGGGTTGAGATAGGTCTGGGTGGAGGGTGATTGTGGAGGTCACGGGGTAGATAGTGGTGGCTATGGGTGAGGTCTCTGTTGTTAAGGTGGTCTCTGACTTATGTGTGACGGTGGAAGTGATGGTTGTGTAGATGGTTTGTGTGACAAGAATTGTCGTTTCAGTTGATTTGCCGAGGGGTCTTACGTCGGATGCGGACTTAGTGGAGGTGGAATCAAGAGGAGCAGGCGACTTAGCAGACGAAGATCCAGAAGACGAAGATCCAGAAGACGAAGATTCGAAATACGAAAAGCCAGAAGACGAAGATGCAGCAGAGTCAGCAGAGTCAGCGGAGCCAGCAGAGCCAGCAGAGCCAGAAGAACCTAACGCGACTGTACCAGTTTCACCCGCACGGCTCGCACTACCAGTCGCAGTTGGGGCGCGTTCCGCTGCAGTGATAGGGCAGACAGTGGTCGACACCAAAACAGTTTCTGTGGTGACATGCGTAGTCTTCTGGGAAGCAGGGCAGTTCAAAACAGTCGAGGGGCAGGCTGTGATAGTGGACGTGCGGGTGCTCCAAACAGTCGAAGTGGTCATCTGCGCCTCGGTAAGGTGAGCTTTGTTGGTTTCTGTAGCTCCAGACAACCCGGTCACAGTGGCAGTAGGCCTGACGCCCCCTGCTTCGGTGATGGGGCAGACTGTGGTGGATACCACGATGGTTTCAGTGGTCAGATAAGTGGTTTTCTTGGACGCAGGGCAATCGGTGACGGCCGATGGGCAAGCGGTCACGGTGGCCGTACGCGTGGTCAGAATGGTGGATGTAGTGTACTGATTTCTCTCGGGGAATGCAGTGTCAGTTTCCAATGCTCCAGGGTTTATGGTCGAGCTCGGTGTTTGAGAGCTACCAGGATGAACACTAGATACAGGACGGGCAGGGCGACTGGTTGGACGGTTGCTGTTGGGCGACGCGACGATGATAGACCCGCTTGCTGCGGGCGGAACTCTTGAGCCTGATGGTGTAGGAACGGAAACAGCGATCTGGCTGAAAGACGAGGATGAACGAAAGACAGAGCTTGAAGAAGGAATGAGAGGACGAGAGCTGGATGCCACAACATTTAGACTGCTAGTCGGCGAAGAATGTGCTACTGCTGAGCTGGAGCTGTGAATAGGGGTCGACGAGACGACAACAGACGATGAAGTGGCGGCAGGACAGCTCTCTGCTATCATCTGCACATCATCAAACTGCACAATAAGGTTCTCAAGATTGGACGGTGATTGATAGCATTGCAGCAGCAGAGTCAGTGTTGCTGTCGTTGCAGAGGGCTGCCAGGTCCCCTGAAGGCGACGCCATGGAATCGAGCCGCTGGTTCTTACAGAGGCTCGGTCAATGCTCGCGAAGCTGACGCGACTGTACAGATCGCCGTACAGATAGAATGAACAGATATAATCCGAGCCGGGAGGCACAATCATACGCCAGTAAGCAGAAACCGTATATGGAACACCGACTGCTAAGTTTGACAGGGTTTGCTGGATCTGGAAGGCCGACGTCCAATAGCCCGAAACCTGAGCGTATCCTCCGCTATCCACTCCGTCGCCATCGGTCTCGACAGCCACACCACCTGCAAGCAGCTGGAATGACGCCGCATATGTCCAGCCCTCCACACTTTGGTCGAAGGACGGGTTCGAGAGCACATTGGGACAGGTTGGAGATGCACTGGCAGCAGAAACATTGGCTGTAGAGGAGGCAACAGCGAGAACAGATGTGACAGGTGACGTGGTAGGGATGAGTGCAGCAGAGGACGATGTAATAGCGGTAGTGGTAGCTATGGAATTAATTGTCAAAGCTGCGCCATGCCCTAGAACGAGACATGTGGCAATGAGAAGCTTGTGTGACCCCATGTTGCTTGGCCTTGAAGTTTTTGTAAAGAGTGACTAGGTCCGAACCATGAAGCTGTGGTGATGGGGCGCCTAAAAGAATGAACGAGCCGTGAGGGCTCAAGGTGGCTTTGCAGTCTTCAAATCGCGGGCAAATCCATAATCTTGGGTGGAGGCTAATCCAATATATACCTGATTTTCTCGTGGGGAGCTCACAGCAGCTCCATGGTGGCTCGAGACATAGCTGACCTAAGTTGTCGCCAAAGATTCCCGAATCGATCTACAATCCTCACCATTTAAGCGGTCCCTGACTCTCTAGTGGGTCAAGTGGGGCAAGCAGCATCCACCACCTAGTCTTTTCGCTCGAATGCGGGAGATCGAATTCATGAAATTGGTAGAACGTGGACGTTGGTATCAAGAGCTAAGAATGTCACAAAGAGCTGGAGAGGCTCATGAAACCGTTCAATAGTATACAGGTCTGTCTGCTTGTCCAGGTCATGATTCAACACTGTTCTCTCAAGATGCGCCCCACATATCAGAACAATAGTTCGTGTTAGACTGGTGTGGCTTGACACCTCGCATTGCCGTCTCTCTGGGTTATTTGGGCCGACGAAAAACGTCCCCGGATTGGTTTTAACTGGCTAACTCCAGGTTATCAACCAATCGGTGTCCTAGCACTTGGCATGTCCCTGAGCGTGCCACATGGATAGTGTGCTGATGGCACTGATCTGGGATCGCTCGGATATCGCCGATGGTGGAACCGAGGGTCGATAGTTCCACCCGAAGTTTGGTGGGTAGAGCTTCCCCCTTTTTCAAGGCTGCTTTCATCCAAATATGGTGTGAGGGCACCAGTACAGTAAAGATTCCAGATGCAGTTTACGTGAACCAGTGTTCGCATGAGTTTGTAATTCGAATGGTATTTGCGCATAGTACATGAATGCAACAGACAGCTTCACAGATCTCTGATTCTGCCCGTGGAGTGTCACTGGCAGTCTGAACACCATCATTTAGTACGGTCAGTTGCTACTTCTTTGCCAGCCCCACTTTTCCAATCTCAGCTTCCTCATAGATTATTATTATAAGACGCCACATCCAGATCAGTAGTACGATTAAGGACGAACCAGCAAGCCCTGCGCCAGGGCCAGTCGATCGCGATGCCACTATCCTCACCAGTTAGCCGAGTACTCTAGCTCTAGTAAGACAACACAGAAAACCCACCTGGCCACATGAGATAGGTTTATATAGAGGCGGATGCTCATCATCGACGCAAGACGGCACGACCTGACACACAGATTCCGGATTGAATCCCAAGAAGAACGGCATCGAGTATCGCGACGTGCTCTGCCGGTTATAGACGCGATGCACGGTGGACCGGAAGCGGTTGTTGGAAAGCCGTTGCAAGAAATCGCCGATGTTGACCACTAGGGTGCCTGGGATCGGGCGCGCATCCAACCACTCATCGTTCGTGGAAAGAACCTGCAGGCCACCGGACATGTCCTGCCACAGCAGGGTGACGCATTGAATGTCGGTGTGCGAGCCGATACCCACATCCAGCTCTGCGTCGCTGCGGTTCGCAGCATCCGGGGTCCCGGGATAGTGCACATACAGGCCGTCTGCCCCTGGGTGCGTGACCAGGTCGTCGAAGTAGTCCTCCGGGAGGTTGAGAGCGAGAGCGAAGATCCGGATCATCTTGCGGGCGAGATTCAGACGCGCTTGATAGAAAGCGATGGTGGTCTCGCGGAAGCCGGGGAGATGGGCGGTGCCTTCCCATAGAGCGTTGTCGGGGTCATCGGCGGGTAGTGTTGTCGGGTTGGCTTGGGGATCGCGCAGCGGGTTATAGCGCAGGGAAAATGTCTCCTTCTGGTCTATAGTTGGTTAGTCTTATGGTTCGATGGCGGGTGACGAATTTTGAATAGTCTATCTACCCTTCGACTCTGTCTTGTTGATCTGCGTACTTCCAACTCCATGGAACCCATCCATTTGCTTCATTTTTGCGGACGCGACTTTCTGTTTGCCTTCTTCCGGCTGGTGGAAGAAGGCTTTTGCTTGGGAGAGAGCTTCCTGGATCAAGTCCTCCGGGATGCCATGGTTCTTGACGTAGAAGAAGCCAGTGTTTTCCGCAGCGGCGCGAATCTTGGATGCGAGATCCTTTCGTTCCTGAAAATCGCCGTCGATAGGGTTGAGATCGATGATGGGGATCTCATCTTCGGTGGGCAAACGTGGAGGCGCCGTTGACACGCGACGGTACTCTGGCCCAGTCAACGTCAGCAGTTCGACATGGGTGTATTGAGTCTCTGTCGCCATGCTGACACTAGAGTGAATTGAGTTCAGATCTGCCTCGGTTTCAAGGTAAAAGTTGGATGCAATTTGCCACGCTGAAGGTCGTATGCATGTGCAGGTGGTATGTATTTATCCGTTTCAGACTGACGCGGGGAACCCCGCCACGCCAAGCACCTCTCCGCAAGGCTGCCAGGGCATTTATCTGTGACTTACTGGTCACCGAGAATGCCAATTCTCCTTGGCGACCGATAAACTGATTGCGTCTGCCCTACCTGATAAGACGGATTCACCAATCCGAGCAGTCAGGTGGCCGCCACTTATCAGCGTTACACTGAACAGGGGTTCATCCTGGCCTCTTATCTACCGTCGTATTGTCATCCCTGCGTTACAGCTTGGCAAGGTGGCTATATAATCCTCCATCAAATCTCACCGGTGCGATCACACGCGTCCAAAATATGTCGCCGCTACTCTCGACCTTACATCGGAGGTTACTGGTGAAGAGTGTCGATCAGGATGGGAACGAGCGACCAGTTGAGACCCTTGACAATGACTCCATCCGCCCAACCCGCGCCAAAGATCGGACATGGACTCAATTCACCTATGTGATGTTCTGGTTCTCGGCGGTGGCTAATGTCAGCAATCTCTACGCGGCCTCCACCGGCATGACCATGGGGTTGACGATGTGGGAGAGTATTGCCTGTACTTTCGGCGGGCAATTTATGGCGGGATGTCTCATGGCGCTCAATGGACGCGCAGGCGCTATGTATCGCATTCCGTATCCGGTGCTCTGCCGCTCTAGCTTTGGCGTGTGGGGAGCATTGTGGCCGACCTTCAATCGCGCAGTCATGTCCATTGTGTGGAACGGGGTCAACATGACCCAGGGAGCGCAATGTCTATAGTGAGTTTGGCGAGCATCGTCATATGTGACATTGGCTGATTCGCGCAGTGTGTTTCTCCATGCCATCTTCCCCTCGATCGCCCACATCCCAGACCATATGGGTCCCAAGTCAGCGCTTACTTCGGCGCAAATGATCTGCTTCACCGTATATTGGTAAGTTGGATGCTTTGTGCAGCGACGACGGAATCATTCACTAATCCCAGCCAGGCTTATCAACTGCGCATTTCTGGTCGTACCAGTGCCCAAGATGAAGATGCTGGTCTACATTAAAGTAGTCGTCTACTACGGTGGAGCATTGGCCATGCTGGCATGGGTCGTCTCCCTGGCAGGCGGCTCACCCGCAGCTCTCCGTGCATCTTCGACCGTTCACGGACAGGAGAAGAGCTGGCTGATCTGCAAGTTCCTATGGTTGGGCCTGGCCAGCTGCGGGACCTTTATCTCTAATGCAGCAGACTTGCAGCGATATGCGCGCAAGCCCAGCGATGTGATTTGGGGCCAGCTCATTAGCTTTCCGCTGTCTGGGCTGCTGGTTGCAGTGCTGGGCAATGTGATCGCAGGCTCTAGTGAGAGTATGTTTGGAGAGGTCAGTATCTTGATGGGTTGATTGGCTGTATACTGACTTGCGTAGCTTATCTGGAATCCGATTACCTTCCTTGATAAGCTGATGGACGGCGATCGCTACACCCACGGCAATCGCACAGCCTGCGCTTTTATTTCACTAGCATTCATCTACTCGACCGTATTCTCCGCTATTTTCGAGAACTCGATCCCGTATGCTTCCCTCATGCCTTTTTTTACTCCGATCCTCAGCTAATGTATCCTCAGAGCCGGCAACGACATCGCCGCCCTGTGGCCCCGCTACATTACCGTGAAACGGGGTTTCTTCATCTGCGCCAGTAAGCCTTCCTCCCAAGTCTCAACCTCCTCCTCCAACACAATCCAAACTCCCTCAATCCCCCCAGATCAAACCTACTAACCCTAAGTCAGTCCTCTCCTTCGCAATCTGCCCATGGTACCTTCTCGCCACGGCCTCAATCTTCATAACCTTCCTGTCATCCTACCAAATCTTCCTCTCCGCCATCGCCGGCATCCTCATCTGCGACTACTACCTAATCCGCCGCGGCCACCTCCACATCCCAGCCCTGTACACCGCCGACCCAGCGGGCTTATACCACTTTCTATACGGTTTCAACCTGCGCGGCTTCGGCGCGTACATCATCGCCGTGGCACCGAATTTCTACGGCTTCCTCTCGCAGATGGGTGTTCGCGCGCCGCTGGGCATCGAGCGGTTTTACTTCGTTGCCTACCCCGTTGGTTTGTTGATTGCGTTCGTGGTGTTTGCGGCACTGTGTTATTTGTGGAGGCCGCCTGGATTTGATGCCGGTGTTGGCTGGATGGAGCCGGTGGATTATTGGGATGAGTTTGATGAGGTTGGTGGTGCTGCTGGGAGGGAGGATGGGGGTGGGTTGGAGGTTGTGGATGTGAGAGTTGGTGGAGTTGGTGGGAAGAATGGGGAAAAGGTTTAGGATTGGTCTGGGTTGAGGTGGTAGTGGGGAGGTTAGGCAGTTCAAGGTTGCTGAATTGATATTCCTTATAACAACAGATATCATTATCTTACAACGACTTAGCACAATAAATCTTCATCAAACTCATTGAGTAACACCAACCACCAATTACCACCTGGCCAACTACCAGGTCTCACAGTAAGGCCGAATGTCAATCTCATGGGTGAAGGACGACCTAGGCTGGGTATGTAGGAACCAGTAAGCCTCCGCAATCTGCATGGCATTATTAGTAAAAGAAACCCCGGTATCGCTGAAACAACATAAGAGCACCCACCCAGTCAGGATCAATCTTCGCATCCGGCTTGTCCTCGTTGTAACCCTTCGTTTGCTCCGTCGCGATTATGCCATCAATAATGGCATGAGCAACGTGAACGCCCTTGGGACCGAACTCACGCGCCAGCGATTGCGCCAGCGCCCGGATGGCGAACTTGCTCATAGCAAACGAACCTAGGCCGGAACCGCCCTTCAATGAGGCCGTTGCACCTGCGAGAATTAGCACCTGAGCCCCCCACAGCGTTGAATGTCATCTGATGGGACGTAGAATCCGTCCTTGGACCCTTGGCGACCGGTACAGTACATCACATACCAGTAAAAACGAGGGTGGGCGGGTAGCTCGATTCCGAGCTCTCCGTCGCGCGAAGCAAAAAGGGCAACACTGCTTTCGAGAAGTTCGTAGCCCCTCTGGCGGTCGATTCCAGGTCACTCAGAAACTCGGAGCCCGAGTCTAGAAAAGGAGAGCGGGAGAATTTGCCGGCGACGTTGAAGACGGCCGCTGCCACGGTCAAATTGGCGCCGAATTGGCTCTCGATTTGCTTCATGGTGGAGTCCATTACCCCGACGTTGGTCACGTCGGCTGGAATGCCTATGGCGGATCCTCCAGCTTGATTGATGCCTTGGACGAGGGGATCGAGACTTGATGGACTGCGCGCGAGCAGCACCACTGGATAAGCCTTGGCGAAGCGGCGAGCGATTGAGGCTCCGGTTCCGGGGCCTGCGCCTGCGATAATGGCGATTGATTTGGACAGCTTGGATGCCATCGTTATTGGCTCTCAGAGTTGAGTCTGCGCGAATTGTTGGAGGAGTAATTGACCCTTTGCTTCGAGTGCAGCGTAATGATGCTGTGTTCTGGAGAAAGTTCTTTCCGCTAACTATCTAATCATATTCTTGACGTAATCATCTGGGGGGCTCGCGGAATGTGCTGGATTTCTGACTAACCATCTCGGGCTTGATTTCAACTCCGCGACAAGCGTGATTACTAAGGGCTTTTAAAGCAGCCACAAAATGCAGGCTTGCAGCAATACGAGAGGGATTACCTGATCTCGGCTTTCTGAAGACGCGAGCTGACTCATGAACAACCCCGCAGTGGGCTGTGCCCATTTTCCATTCACAGGGACCATCTTCCCCAGAAAATACGATCTTGGTATAAATAGCCCAGTAGGATTGACTGTAGAAGATAGCAATAAGCTTACACAACACCTTCTCTGTGCTACAGGATCAACACAAAACCATCATACCTTCAATTTTTCTCTACACAAAGACTCACCAACATGTCTCAAATCCTGACCGTCTTTGGAGCCACTGGCAATCAAGGTGGCTCCGTCATCAAGTCTATACTTGCCGACCCAGTCCTGTCGAAACAGTGGAAGATCCGTGGAGTCACTCGCGACACCACCAAGCCAGCTGCGCAGGCATTAGCCGCCAAAGGAGTTGAACTCGTTTCGGTAAGGCTGTGCTCACCCTACGCACTGAATCCTCGTAAGTCATTAACACACTCTGACAGGCCGATATGTCCTCCACCGAGAGCGCTCTAGCCGCCGTCACCGGAGCCGACACGGTATTCCTGGTGACCAACTTCTGGGAGAGTATGAGCCGCGAGATCGAGGTGGCCCAAGGCAAGGCCGTGACCGATGCGTGCAAGATCGCCAATGTCAAGCACCTCATCTTCTCATCCCTGCTGGATGTCACGAAGATCAGCAACGGCCGCCTTCCTAATCTTAGCCACTTCGACAGCAAGGCTGAGATCGAGCAGTATATCCGAGACAGCGGCGTTCCAGCGACATTCGTCCTGGCGGGTCTGTATACGACCAACTTCTTCGAGATGTTGAACAAGCAGGGTGATGTGTACACCTTGGCCTGGCCGGTTGATATGGACAAGGCGCAGGTGCCGTTGTTCGATCCTGCTGAGGATACTGGTATGCGTCCTCATCGTTATTCCGTTGAATGAAGTGTGGTACTCATGATCTTGATTGCAGGTAAATTTGTGAAAGCAGCCATCAAGCACTTCCCAGCGACTGCTGGTCAACGCATACTGGCGGCAGAGGAGTACTACTCACCCCGCCAGATTGTAGAGGAGTTCCAAGAAGTCACGGGCTACAAGGCTCAGACCGCTCAAGTCCCTGCAGATGTGTTCAAGTCGTTCCTGCCAGAAAATATCGCACAGGAGATACTGGAAAATATCCTGCTGCTTGAAATCCCGGGGTATTATGCCGGCGAGTCTCTCGCCCCATCGCGCAAGCTCCTCGATGAGGATGACAAGCCCACCACATGGAAGGAGTTTGTGGCGCGCAACAAGGGGAAGTTCTGATGACTATCATGGATTGTTAAGTTATAGTATGTGAATTGTTATTTATTTTCCTAGAAAAGGTGGTATATATCCCCCCCCCAGTGAGATATACCCAGACAACAAATTGAATCAATCAAGTTTTTATTATGTCGTTAGAGACGCGACTGCTTAAAAGTCAGATGTGGATGAGTCGCTGCTTGTCCCATCATGCCTGTAATCAGCATCATACAGTTGATCATCCGTTTCGCCACTACCGTCTGTCTGGTAATCCTGATCACCCGCATCAACATCATCCGTGTTGTTGGTCTTATCATCGGACATATCGTCTGATTCATCCAAAGTGCCGGAATCCCCATCCGAAGTATCAGATGGATCCGATGGATCCATTTCACGGGAAGTATCGACTGAGCCAACTTGTTCATGCTTGACATCGCTTGACCTGGGTGGGGCATGAGGCTGTTCATGTTTGACAGCATCTGCGCCGTGCGCATCTTCAACCCGTCCACCTTTGACACCAGCGGAGATGTCAGAACCAACTGATGTATCCGTCCGGTCACTTGAGACATCATCCGAGACATCCATTTTCTCATACGCATCATCCGAGTTCTGAGAACCACCCACTTGCTCAGAGGCGTCATCAACCTCTTCTCCTGCACCATCAGTATTCACGCACCCACCGAATAGTTGCCCACCAAGACCCCGTTCGACCAGTCTGGTGAACCGCACCACCACCCCGAGCCTGCTCAAGAGCACTCCCCCATTGAACGCCTCCACCCACCGGCCCCAGACTCGCAAAAGACCAATCCGCATAAGCCGGAACCTGCTCTCGCAGTATAAAGCCTATCTCGGCCGCCGAGTCATCCAGCCGATTGGCCGCTTGCTGCATCGAAGCTCTAGCTGCCTGCAAGACCGTGACGGCTTCTTGCAAGCCATCCGTTGCCCCAGGGAGTCTCGGTCTCGGCCGTGTTCCCCCTGGGTTAGCTTGCATGTAGTCGCGCACTCTCCTTGCATGCGATACCTCGGCTGCGGTGAATTGTAATACTGCACTCATCGTCCGGAAGAGCCTCGCCCGTTGATGATATTCTTGCGCGGAATCTGCGTTCGACATCTCAAACTTTCGATAAAGGACACAGTGTGATCCAGTGCGGGTGAATATGTAAGAGTATCGAACGGAAAGGAGGAGGGAGGGGGGTGGTAGTTGAAGGGATGTCGATGGGTTTACGAGATGCAGACCCCGTTCTATATAAGGGCTGTCAGCGCAGAATGATCATGCTATGAATGAAAATTTCGGCCTTCTGAATCTGAAGAGCAAGCAGTACAAAGGATTCCCTGATTTCTTCAATGGAGCTTTTTAGAGCTCACTTGGAAATCAATGAACCTGATCAACTCGGTCGGGACTCTCCGCCACGCTGATGGCAGAGTTGTATCCGCGACTCAATGTTTCTGTACCAGATACAGCAGGGATTCATTACTGCAGAATGTACTACAGGTGGCTGCATATGGCTCAACTCGGTGGTTTCTCACATATGCATCTGATTTTCTCTATATAACTTCATTTCTCTATGAGCTTTGTGCGTTCCTGGTGAATAGTTGCTTCAACGAAGCATCCCCATAGTTTACTACAATTGGGCAGGCTCAATCACGTAATTACACTGTGAATGAGATTGTATATGACGCAGGCGAAGAGTGTTGGGAAAGGGCCACAGCACAAATCCCCTGATCTAAAATTAGCTTGGTCAGATCGAGAGTAGCCCCTAGTCATGCTGGTCTCTTCTGCCGGCCTGTAGATCGCGTATAGAGCTCAATGGTAGACGCACGGTTGCTGCATACGCCGGCTAATGCTCGATCCACTGGGCCACATAATATCTGGTTTTCCTCTTGCTTGAAATTGTTATTTACTGAATCTCCAATAATTTGTGGCTTTATACCTTTTCTATTATTTGTTCATGATAAAATATGCCACACACGTGTCATTGACGAGCTGATGTGGGAGTACGTGGCTCATAGCCGATAAACGCCCTCAAGTCATCGTCGAATCACCGAGTATATCAGTGTTGGTCACCCCCCTGCTCATCTGTTGGCTCAGGCTCACCTTCAGATTGTGCGGTAGCATCGGTTGCAGGGACCGGTTGCTCGATATCTTTTAAGAGGAATGCCAAATACTCTCGAACCTCGTGATACAAGCTCTCTTCTTCATCCGAGACGTTATTACTGTAGAATTCCATCGCAAATTGATCCCACGATATTGACTTGGTTGGTCAATTCGACGAAACTGCATCTGCAGATGTTATGCCTGTCATAGATGCGCCAGACATCCTGCTCGTCGTCCGCCTTCTCCATGTCTTCCAAGAGAAGCCCAGATGCTTCTAGATTCTTCCGGCATTTGGCCAGCAGGTCCGCCACTTTAATCTGGTCAGCCACCTGTGGGGCTCGCTCTTGGAAGCGCCGCAAACTTTCCAGCACTTGTTGCTCGTCAGCGTGTTGCGCCTCTGTCTTCTCCTGGAGCTGCTCTAGCAGTGATTTGTCCAGTTCGTCCAGCATTTTCCAGATGCGGCAACTAGCCTGTACTTCCAGGTAGTCACGTTTTGTAGCTCGATTGACGAAAGGGCAGGCTGTTGGTATTGGGGTAGGTCAGGTCGCGTGTTGGTGTCGGTGGGATTTGAATATGATCCGGACATGATTTTCATCCTTTATATATACGGAGCTCTGCCTCGAGTGAAAGGCCACGAAAAGTCGATTTTCATTGTAAGGCTGGGCAATGCGAACATAACAAAGAGATTTCAGGCCATTTTCTCTGGGCCTTTCCGAACCATGAGCTAATGTCCGCTGGCTTACGTGTATTCGATTAACATGTACTGTGCAAGCTACATTGTTCAAGAAGATGTGTATAAGCCCCGTTCATGAGAGAATAAAGAAGGTGCGGACCTAATTGTTGAAGAATACCCTCTACTTCGATTAATCCGGGAGAGGAGCTGTTTAATCAGAGACCCGGGACATGCTTGTACCCACATTCATGATAAGCAAAACGAGGAGAGGGCCGGAAAGCTAATGCTAACTGGAGTCTATCGTAATCTGTGCAGCAAACTTGTTATTCTTTGCCTTATCTTCGTATACACAACGATATCAGAGAGTCATCAGTGACTTTGAAAAACTTGGCTTGTAGTGGTGTATGTATAGCTGAATATGTGGGATCCGCTTAATCCCGTCTAATCAAGCTCTTCTAGCTTATACTGATAGATTGATCATATCATTTGTTTTCCGCGGGAATTCTGCTTTTCCTCTCCTTGCGCTTAATTTGCCGCCCAAGTCGGGTGTACAAGTATAGATGCATAGTTCGAATTACATAATGCTGGATAAAAAAAACTAGCCCGGTAATCTTGCTTCTAGAGTTTGAGCTTTAGCGCTAGCCTTGCTATGGTCTTTACGATTGGGATAGAGGTACTGGAATAGCAGTAATAGTAAGCAAGCAGTAGGAAGGGTTTGTGATTTACCGTGTTTTAGTAAGTGGAAATAGTGATAACAACTACAGACACAGCACCAGGATTCTCTCAGGGTCTTGCTACAATGAGACATCGTTGAGAATCATAGAAAGTAATGGATTACAGCAATATTTCGTGAGTAAATTGATATAAATACCTATATATGCTATAACACCCGAGAGCACATAACTGGGGCGCATGGAGACTATCAGAGACAAGTGATGTTCTCCACACTCAAGCCAAGGGGTGAGCATCATAACTATCAAGCAGCCGCTTGCGTAGCCGCTAAGCTAGTAGCTTAAAGCAGCTCGACCGTGGCATACTCATCAAGGTCACTTCCAGCTTCCATAGCCTTGAAAGTCGCTTCATCAACCTCCGTCACATGGACCGTCTTTTCATTTGCTTCCAATTCGGCCACGCGCTCGGACAACTTCTTCACCTGAGCCTCTAGCAGCTGCACTTGCTCCCCATTCTCTTCTATGGAGCCGACGTATTCTTCCAGAAAATGGCACAGAGCGATATCTATGTTCACTTCATACTCTGAATGCACTTTTCGCTGGTAAAGGAACTCCCTCATCTTCGCGCAGACTGCTAGCACGAGCCATGCGATTGTCCCTGCGCAACCTATGGTAGTGAAAAGCACACAGATACAGTCGTCAGACATCTTCGGGTTGGAATCGGAGCCTCGATGCTTAAATTATCACAGTCGAAAGAGGGAAGATAGAGGCGATGAGGGGTGGTGTTGGAGTCTTTGTAATTGTAGTGCGTTGGGGTGGACAGAAATTAGGCATGCTGGCGAACCTTGGACTTAAATAGAGCAGCGGACACTTGCATGTGGCTGAAATAAAGATAGCTTAGGACAATGAAAATTTAGCTGTATTAAAATGGGATAACGAAGCTAACGCAGAGACAATCAAATGCACGGTGTGATTAAAGTAAGATAAAGTGTCTTCCGCTTTGTGTACCGGGAGTGTTCCTGAGCAATTCTTGTACTCGGCTATTCTATGTTGGCTTCATGGATAAAGCTTTGATGATATGGACAATGAGCATTGTTGAAGATAGTATATTCTCTTTGTTACCTTTCTTTCTTATTCACGAACATTATTTACAGACACTGGAGTGTGAAAGGCGTGGGCACTGAGTTCTATGTTAGACTATTGTCTTTGAATGAGTGCCCATCGCATTTTTTACCAAATTAAATTGTAGATATAGGTTAGATCGAGGTAGCTTATTAATCTTGACAGGCGCTCGTTACTTGATCAAAGAATGCGCGTCGCACGGGTTTGTGGTTAGCCAACCCAATAGCCTTGCTTGAGGGACTGAGAGATATAACATCAAAGACAAATGAATCAAACCATCTTTGTACAGCAGCTGTGAATGTGCATCACAAGTCCATGTCAGAATTTCTTAGAGAATATGGCATGATTTATTGCTGTCCACTTGTGATTTCATTGTTCCATTCTGCTAGGTTGACCGTCTCTGTTCGATGCGTGCTATCGTTGGTAGTCATTGGTAATGCAGCGAGGATAACTCCTGTGTTTTCTGGTTCTGCCTTTCGCGTGAACAATGCTCTGCATATAATATGGGCTTTCGACGATGTTCAGTCAGGCAACGGACTTACCGTGTCACTCAGGATTTTCATACAGGGACGATTGGTGGCTGGCACCAATTCTGAGATTATGCCAGCGAATAGCGCCAATGCCATCAGTAGCACCGGTGTTGCGGAAGCTGCCGCCCTTTGCACCACCTCAAAAGAGAACAGCAGCAAGCGACGACAGTTCGGGATCTGATACATCGACCTTCCCATCTACTTGCATCCTTCACTATTCCCGGTAAGAATACATCACTGTTGGGTTCTCTGCACAACCACGAACAGCAAATGATCATTCAGCTCATACGCTACCCATAGTACCAGAAAAGTCCGTTCGCCGCGATCAATGCAAGTCCTCGGATGGTCCGCTCGCGCGGTGCCGGAGCTTAAGACACTGGAGATGCGGGGTAAGCGTATCAACTCGTCTCCCAGACAAGCGGATTTAACAACGGAGTTATAGCTAGGGTGAGGGGTAGCCTACTTACGAAAAGCATCCTGACAAAGAACAGTGTTTGGTGAACAGCGGTGCATTGAGTCGGGGCGGACTAGGGTGCTTGGGCCTTTTTTTTGTTTGTCTTTTGATGGATGCTGACAGGGTTCTTGCTGACATCAAAGAGCGAGATTTGCTAAGAAGAACAGGGATAGATTAAGTCATACTAGGATAGTCTAGCTTTACTAAACATCAAATTCAAAGTTGAGACAGAAACGAGCTTAGGACCTATTATGAACGTAGTAAGTCAGTCAGTCTGATGGCAGGTGTGCAAAGCGACCGCTGCGGGTGGCAACGCTGCTTCCACGTGCGGTCGGGTATCGTGCCGAGTGAGTCTGTGTTCCTTGCACTCGCTGCTCACAGTCAGCCAGCATAACGCTTTCAAGGATCATAACTAGCTACTTATGTTGTGATTCTGCTCGGAAACGATCAACCTACACGAGAAATTGTGGCCAGACCAGCGCGAGAGTGCAGCAACTGGTCAATTCAGTCTTGAAAGTGGGCCACTGACTCAGTGGGACCGGGTAAGTCCTGAACAATATCTCCCATAGGCTGCAGACAAAGCACTGAATCAGCGTTTCCTCCCCGGCCTCTGCCCTCAAATCAGATCCATCATCGAAAAGCCTGAAAACTGGGCCCTTAACGCCTATCCCCGTCCAACACATCTGCTGCTTGGCTTCACTTGCATGTCTGCAGCCACTTGACCAATCAGATCTGGGGATGGCTGCTCCGGCATTCGACATAAAGTCTTGTGCACATGCACAAGGTGGTTTCCAGCCGAAATCGCCGATAGCTCCTGGGTTTATGCATTGGCTTTATGCGGCCGACCTTTTGGCCCCGTCAACAGCTCATTTTATAAGAAACAGGTGTCGCTGTGCTTGGGCCTGCTGTAAACACTCTTCCGCTCTTTATCTTTCTTCTTCTGGTACATACTTAATTCTGTGGTAGTTCAGTCTCCTTCACCTTACTTGCCGCTCGTTACACTCACTCCTCTTATCACTATCTAACAATCGTCTTCAATCTAATCTCCATAGCAAAGAATCTCCGATTCGCGGAACATCCGGCCTCGAGGGATGGACGACATCGAAAGCCAACGGCGTCTTTCGGAGAAATCCGCATACTCGGGCACATCCAACGACCAGCCCACGCTAACAGAAGAAACACCCGCCCCGGCCACAGCGACACCACCGAAACCGCTGTTCCCTGAAACCGATCTGAGTCGAGGCATTGTGGGGTGGGATGGGCAGGATGATCCTCATAACCCCCAGAACTTCGCGAATGGACGCAAATGGGGCCTGCTCGCCCTGATCAGCTCCATCACCTTCATCTCGCCTCTCGCCTCGAGTATGTTCTCGCCCGCCGTGGGATACGTCGGGAAGGACTTCGGCGTGTCTAATGAGTATTTGCTCTCTTTCAGTGTCACGATCTTCCTACTGGGGTATACAGTATGTGCGACTACAAACCTCATCCTGCGCATCGCTAATAAGCAAACTAGGTCGGTCCTCTCTTCCTCGCCCCGCTCAGTGAGATCTACGGCCGTCGCATCGTCCTCAGCTGTGCCAACTGGTTCTTTGTCGTCTGGCAGATCGGCTGCGCGCTTGCTCCCAACATCTCCGCTCTGATCGTCTTCCGTCTTCTCGCCGGTATGGGCGGTGTAGGCAGTCTCACACTCGGTGCCGGCGTCATCGCCGATCTCTTCCCCGTCGAACAGCGCGGAATGGCCACATCCATCTGGGCCCTCGGGCCGCTAATCGGCCCCGTCGCCGGACCCATCGCCGGCGGCTTCATCGGCCAGACCATTGGCTGGCGCTGGGTATTCTGGATCCTGCTGATCGCAGGCGGAGCGATCTCCGCGGGCATCGAGGTGCTCAACCGGGAGACCTATGCCCCCGTCCTCATCCGATGGAAGACGGAGAAACTCTCCAAGGAATTGGGCCGATCCGACCTACGCAGCGCGTACGACAAAAGCGCGGCACGGCCCAGTCTAGGCGAAGCGCTCAAACTAGGTCTCAGCCGACCGCTGCTGCTGCTCTTCAAGTCGCCAATCGTGCTGCTGCTGTCGATCTATATGGCGTTCGTGTACGGGCTGCTGTACCTGTTCTTCACGACGATCTCGTCGGTGTTCCAGGAGGACTACGGGTGGACGACAGGGATCTCGGGACTGGCGTACCTGGGAATTGGGATCGGATTCATGACGGGGCTGGCGCTGATCGCGTTCACGAGCGACCGCATCGTGGGCAAGCTGACGGCGCGCAACGGTGGCGTCTTCGAGCCCGAGATGCGTCTCGTCACTATGATCTTCTTCTCGTGCATCCTGCCCATCAGCTTCTTTTGGTACGGCTGGTCCGCCAAGTACCACGTCCACTGGATCGTCCCCATCATCGGTATGGCCCCCTTCGGCATCGGCATGATGGGCATCTACATGCCTATCCAGACCTACGTCATCGACTGCTACCCTGCCTATGCGGCGTCTGCGAACGCGGCCCTCACTGCCACGCGCTCGCTGGTCGGTGCTCTGCTCCCGCTGGCGGGCCCGGCTATGTTCCAGGCGTTGGGCCTGGGATGGGGCAACTCGTTGCTCGGGTTCATTGCTGTCGCGTTTGTGCCTGTGCCCATTCTGTTCAATCGGTACGGGAAGGTGGTTCGCGAGAGGTTTCCTGTCGAGCTGGACGGGAGTGGCAAGAAGTAGGTAGGTTGCGAGTTCATGCTTGGGCTGGAGTTGATGTGGACAAGAGTGAAAAATGCTATAGAGTGAATAGAGGCCGAATAGACATGATTAGTGCTGGTGTTCGGTGTCAACATGCGTCGTGCCTCGGTCGTGGCTTCCACTGCTCGTCTTCGAGTTCTCACGCGACATAGAAGCTTGTAGAAAAAGGAGTATCGTAGTCTCAGCTCATGTGGGTTCACAATTCATGGAAAACTTAAGAACCAGAAACTTGGAGATGGGGGAAACGAGCGGGAGTTATAGGGAGCGCGATACGGCAGCCACGAGGATCACTGATGCTATTACATACAAGGAACCTTGAAGGAACATACATGCCCCGAGGAAGGAGCTGTGGACCATACTAAGGATAGAGTGAATAAGTACATATATGATGCAGGAAAGGAATGCTCTTGGGGAATCTACGTCTCTGGCTTCTCCCGGGGCGCCAATATAATAAATGTATCAACTTGCTCCAACAGAAGTCATAGTCAAGTAAGCGGACTATACACTTCATTCCAGGCGGTACAAAGCGAAAGAAGAATAAAGATAGGTATATTCAGGGTCTATCCTATATGTTTAGATTGCACTCAATGTGCAAGCGCTACACCTCCCACTCCTTCCGAAGCAGCTCTTTCCAAGCCTCAAACTCCATCTCCTCGCCATCCACCACCACCGCGCCCTTTGCCACCGGCTGCGGGCGTGGTGGCACATACACGAAGCTAGACACGTGGTTGCCGCTGCACCGATTGATGGCCATGGTGCCCTCGGCGAGCATCTTGGTGCAGTCTGCACAGAACGAGTCGAAGCAGATGGTGCACAGCGAGATATCATCGGGAACCGACCATTCACGGTGGCACGGCCCGTCGCATGTCCACAGACGCAGCTCATCCTCCTCCTCGTCCTCGTCGGCCGTCTCGCCGTCGGCCTTCTCCTCGCGCGCGCCCATAGCGTAGGCCACAGCAAGGATGCTCTTGGTGTCGCCGGCCGCCAGCAGCGCCGTCAGTAGATTGATCAGCCCCATCTGGTCATTCTCCGGGTCATCGTCGGACAAGATCTGGATACCGGCCTTGATGACCGGCCGCACCAGGGCGCGAGCCTCGCTGTGCTGCCCCTTCAGCCGATGGTAGACCGCGAGCGCGAGCCCCGATGCGCTCTGCAGGATGTACGCGAACGAGTTGCCGTCGCACTTGACCTGCGCCACCAGCTTCTCCAGCTTCGTCGCTGCCTCGTCCGCCTCGGGCGTGTTGGTCCCGGCGTTCACGGCCTCGGCAAGATAGTGCTGCGACAGCCGATGCGCGGCCTGCAGCTTGATAAGCCCGATCTGGGTCTCGTCCGCGGACGAGACATAGGTGTTCATGATCGCCTCCCACCGCTTCACTGCCTGGGCCTGGTCATGCAGGAACTCGCTGTAGATGCGCGCCAGGCCCAGCTCGATGTTGGCCGCCGTGACGGTCTTCAGCGCCCTGCGGGCCGTGCGGGCGGCCACCCGCCACGCTTCAACCATCAGGCTGAGCGTCCCCGTCTCCAACGCCGCTGCCAGCGCGAAGTTCAGGAACGGGTCATCGCAGTCGCTGTTCAGCCATACTGTCTGCGTCAACCGCGAGTAATCCTCGTCCGGGACCGGGGTGTCGGCTAAATGCCTTAGCAGGTCAATGATGGCTTGATGTTCGTGGGCCTTGTGATAATGCTCCAGCAGCGCGTTGATGCAGGTGTTACAGTACGGGGTGGATTGGTATGCCTTCGCGAAGCATTCATGCCATTTGTCCAGATTGCCCAGCTGTTTGTAGCTATCGCCTAGTCGCTCGAGGATGGCGTGGATCCCCAGCTTCAGGTCCATCGCCTCGGGAGCATCTGCGATCGCCTGGGAAATTAGCTTCGCGGCTTCCTCGTCGTATTCGATCGCCTGCTGGTAGTTATGTTGCAGTTTACAGGTCATGGCCATCCCCGGCCTGGTTAGCCACTCGTTCGGGTCGAGCTCCAAGGCCTTGGTGAAGTACTCCAGCGCCGAATCGAGATGTCCGACCTCGCGAAGAGCGATGGCACAGCGTCGGTACCACAGCGCGGTCTTCTCCATTCCGCCGAACTCAGCCGCCTCAATCAACTCCGCAGCGCTGGGGTCAAACGTTTCCAGAAAATCGACCTCTTTTCCCTTTTGGAGGCTCTGGTAGCTCCAGACTACGGCGGCAACAGGACAGGCATTCCACGTCTTCTCGCATAGCCACTTTTTGGCACAGAACATGACCACCGGCTCGAAGGTGGTGATCGGGTCTGCTTCAGTGGCAGAGATGAATCCACGCTCCTCCTCCGAGAGAGAGGCAACCACCTCCTCGTCCTCCCACCACTTCCGCACCGACCGGATGCTGGCGGTGGTGAAGGACCATGCCTGACGGCCGATCCACACGGCCATCACTTCCTCGGATCGGAGCACGGTGAGCAGCAGCTGTGCGATTTTTTTCCTGTCTTCAAGCGAGCATTCCGAGGGGGTGGTGCTAAGAAGATGATAGACCCAATTCTGCGCCGCATGGGTGAGCATGGCTATGGAATCATTTGCTTTGTCCGCTAATGTACTATCCGCGAATAGACGTAGGAGGGTCTTGAGGACGTGGGCTTTGGCCTCCCGATAATTCACTCCTACCGCCAGATGATCTTCTCTGGCAGATACCTTGCCCTCGGTCTCGTCACGGAAGAAGTCCCCGATGAAGGCATGGCAGAAGGTGACGGTCGTCGTCTGCAGATCGGAGTTGAAGTCGGTAAAGTTGTCCACATCCTCGAACGCCTCCTCGCTCTGGTCGGCCTCGTCATCCGATGCGTCGAAGATGCCCGGCTTAGTCGAAATGTTCTGCAACTCCGCCGTCGTGAGACTGTCCTCTCGGTCGAGTGAGAAGAAGGATGCGAACTGTCGACGAAGCGCACCTTCTAGATAGATCATGCCATCACCTTCGGGCGATTTCAGTCGGAGTAGATCGTCGACGAGGCCAAGGGTGAGCGGCTGTTGCGAGCACGCCACCCATTGGAGGATCTCGTTCAGGTACTCGAGCTCCTCCTCGTTGGAGATCATCGAGAAGTTGGCGAGCACGTGGCGCAGAATCTCTTTCAGACCCTTGGGAGGGTCGTCAAGGGCTTTCCGCATGCTGCTTTCGTTGCGCTTCTTCACCAGCTCCTGCAACATCAGATTGACCCACAGAAACATGCCCTCCGCCCCGGCCGACAACTTTTCTACAATCTCCTGGCGCAGCTTGGCCGACACCCGGCGCAGCACCACCGACTTCTTGATGCTGGCGTGGATGTACTGGTTAATGTCGTCCGAGTTCTTCTGCGTCGTCACGTGGATGGTCGGAACCTCCACCTCGAGCCCTTCCAGCAGCTGGTCGCTGATATGGGGCCGCCCCACGATCGCCAGCTGCAGACGCACCGCGTGCGGGCTGTCGTACAGATCCTTGGCGAGGCCTAGGAATCGCTTGCGCTCTTCGTCCGAGGCTTCGTCCACTGCATCCAGGAGGATGTACACGCGCCCGTCGACGTTGGGCTTCTTGAGGAAGTAGTCAACAAACAACCGCCGCCACGCACTCTCCAGACTGTTGATCATTTCGTATCGCTCAACGCTCGCGATGTGTCGCTGATACACGGGATCGCTCTTGCTGATCTGGAAGGCGAGATCGCGCAGGGCCGCATGGATGGAGCGGGTGTCGGGGTTATCATCTTTGAAAAAGAAGTACCCCACGGAGACAAGCGATGTGCTCTGCGTCCCCAGGGTATACTGTTCGCGCAGCAGGCTGATGATGTTGGTGGAGAGGTACGATTTGCCGGCGCCGGGGTTGCCAGACACGAAGATGACGGGTGTATCGCGGCGTAACCAACTCTGGAAGATCCCCTCATGTCGCACCCAGTCGCCGGTGCCGGGAATGCGCGCCTTGTTGATCTTCTCGTACCAGTCCTGGGCGTAATCCGTCTTGGAGGGCCGCAGGATCTGCGCGACCAGATCGTGTAGCGTCTTGTCGCCGTCCTGGGCTCTCTCGCCGGCCGACACCACCAACGTACTCAGCATCTCCTGCACCTCGGTAACCTGGTAGCTCATCTGCTGCACCGTCATCCCGGTCTCCGTGACCGTCGCGTTAGTGCTGGTGACCGTGACGGCGAGTTCGTCGACGACGCGGCCGGTGCGTTTCGATTCAGTCAGGGTCTCCGCGCCGACCAGCCGCGCCTCGACGCTGGTCAGCTTATCCAGTTTACCCATGGCGGCTTGGATCGCATCGTTGCTTCCGAGGAGGATGTTGCGGGTGAACTTGAGCAGACGGCCGCGACGGATGGCCTTAGTTGCTAAGGCGAAGATCTCGAGCAGCGTGACCAGGATATCGGCGAGCTTATCGCTCAGGGCGTCCGAGATCGCTTCCTGGCTGTAAGCTTTGAGTCGAATCGTGAAATCCTTTGATGCAGTTAGCAGACACCGCCTAGCAAGCGTCAACACCCCACAATTGCCGAGTAGGGTGACCTACCTTCAACGTTCCCATCAGCCCCTGAATCGCATCATACGAGGTAGAAACCCCCTTCGCAGCACCCATCAAATACGTGACCGCACCAAAGACCAAACTACTAGGCGCGAACACCATCGCGGCGCCCCCAGCCGCGAGGTTCCCGAACAATTCCACAGGAACCAGCGCAGCCTTAAGCACATCAAAGAGCACCCCGCGCTTCTCGCGAAACTCACTGAACTTGGCATTCTGCACATCGATCGCACTAATGAGATCATTAACACTCCGAATGGAAGCCAGGACCTCGACATCGAGAGTCTCATCCGTGATCTCGCGGTATTTCTGAATCGCCCGGTCGTAGATAGCGGGTATCTGGTTTTTCGGGCCCGCCATGACGGACAGCTATAGTCCCGATTCACGGTGCCTGACTGACTTGAATTGATGGAGGGGTGTAGCATTGTATTTAAGACTGATGATCACGGGTCAGCTGAGGCGGGGATGTCAGCTTTCAGTACAGCGATAAGACGACAAGGCTGTCTGTCTCTGTCACACAACCTCATCCGGCCCCACTCAGCTGAAGACTGTTGCGGACACTTCCGCTGATTAGGGCTGAGCCATTGGTGCTGCTGTTCCCGTCTGGTCCACTTATACGAGGTACCTTACCTAGATAGATACAATCATACAATGTACTGTACTAAGTAAGATGCAGGGGGGATAAATCCAATCCAATCGGATCTGATCTGATCAGGCAGGGGGCGACCGGGGATGTCTGTGCGTGTTCAATGAGCGATCAGGAGTGTGCACTGTGCAGGGGCATACCTAACTAGAGTACTTAACTGCTGCCTTACCAAAGTAATGACACCGAACCAGATGAGACGACCAAGCAACAAAGCATTTCAGTAATGTGACAACAAGAACAGTGACAACTTGGTGCTTTTGGGATAACCATAGTCGTACTCTCATTTTTCCCACTGGTACCGATAGAAAGATTTGGAGTGGCCTTGCTGCGGTACCCAGTATTCGCGGAGAGTTAGTCTCTCGTCCCTGCCTTAGCTTCCTCCAGTGCCAACAGAGATGACGCCACCATCTGCATGTAACACATATTCATTGCGGAAAGAAGTTGTCTCTTGAAAGAAAAAAGAGAAAAACATACAACAGAAGGGATTCGCTGGTGGTCACCCACCCAACTACTAACCTCCCGGCGTGTGGCTTAAGTACGGCTGAGCGGACGGGAAGCCCTGTTTTCCACACCCTGTGGTCGTATGTGCTAGAGTTACCTTCTCTACGCATTATATCGAGCAAAAAGAAAAGAGAGAAAAAGGACCATCACCATCGATCAAGTGGGTATATTGCAGCATGTACCACTTTTCGTTATATGAATTTATGTATCCTCAATTCTTTTTCCAGTCTAATGGTCCAGACTCGGAAGCAAGTAAGCTGCAGCGGTGCTGCTCACTCAGAGACTATAGCCCGGTAAAGGCGCTCCACCTTGTAGTTTCCGCGCAATATATATTTAGCAGCTGGGAATATGGTAACGTTCACAGCAATACTGATTTGTGCCAGTTCTCACCACTTCGTGGCATTCCGTTTAATCTCTCAAGACACCTTGTTCATCGGCTCAGTGACATGAAACTGAGCTGGGTGAAGAGAGGATTCACCACTCTCGCACTACTCCCCAGTACACAGCTGAACTTCATCTTATGTAGGTCACCGTACGACAATCATTCCCCTGAGCCAGGCAGCGCATCCAAAGTAGGCCAATGAGGTTTCCGGGTTCCAATCCTAACCGATGCAAGCATGCTGACACTCTGCTCATAAGATTCCGACAGCCCATTGTTGGGCTGGGAGATCCGATCCTGCGACGACGAACCGTCAATCCAAACAGAAACCTGAACTCGCGGTTCAATGCTCCGGTAATCGAATCGTTCTCGCCCGACTCGTCCCCGTAGCTCGATGACATAAAGCTCAGGCTGGGCGCCTGTCTCGCCAGGCTACCCAAACTGTACTCGCCATCCTTGAAAACCGGCCAGATGGGGCCCCTGCTCTCCATGGAAGACGAACCTCCACCCAGCGACGATGCATGCTGCCCACTGGAGTCTTCGCCGGACGAGAGCAAGTTCTTCACACCCTCTTTAGCCTTGCGCTGTGCAAAGCTCTTCGCCCCTCTCTTGACGGCCTTGACAGCTATCTTCTTCACTGCCTTCCCCGTGAGCTTCTCCCCCCCTGACTTCGCGGCCTTCATGATAGCTGCCGACCCGGCTCGACCCAGCGCCTTTTTTTCGCGCTGAAGACAGCGGTCTTCAATCCCCACTTGACTGCTTGTTTACCGAACTTGCCCCCTAGCCCACCGATTGCTCCGCTCAGCGCGCCGCCGCTGATACTGGCCCACGTGATTTGATTGCCTTCCACCAGGTCGCCCAGCGCACCCGCCGTGACTTCGACAGCAACCCCAACCGCCACAGCCACGCCGACCTGCACCTCCAGGCTTGCACCACCGGTGAGAACCCCGAGTGCAATGCTACCTGCGACGTCAGCGATGGTCGTGATTAGGTCCTTCCACCCGAACTCTATGCCGAAAAGACTGAAATAGCCGCTGGGATCCAGGCGGGTGATGGGATCGTCCAGGCAGTGGACGTAGGAGTTGACCTCGCCCGAGGTGAAGGGGCTCCAGGGATCATCGACCTGGAGCAAGGTACAATCAACCCCAGTTGTTGATTATCTGTCTTCGTATCCGAATAGTTGTTGTCGGTAGGTCCTGCCGTACCAAGCAGAACATATTCTGTTGCCGCTAGGGCCGGACGAACTGTTTTCAATGCGCATTGTAGGCATGCGAAAACCCTGCCCCATAATAGAGAAATCTAGATCTGGTACGCGAATAGTATAACTAATGCTACTGCCTGGGCTTGCATATCATCCTAGAAGATTAGGTGAGAGAGCAAGACTGTCACGGGTTCCTAGAATTTATGCCCGTGGTAACTTGACAACTGATCATCCCCTGATTGATCTAGCTACAGAATGCCAGAATTCGTTCAATTCTTCAACAAGATCCGATGTGGTGTAATGGTCAACATCGCTGTCTCTCACACAGCAGCTCGGGGTTCGATTCCCCGCATCGGAATTTTTTTTTGTCCTTTTCCTTTTTCATGGCCATCTTGCGAGTTGAACCGGTGGAGATGCAAAAGTCTGCAGCGGGTCTCGGAGATGTGGTTTGTGCGCGGGACTACCACTTCATCGGGCCCAATCGGAACCCGACCAACTGCCGTGGACCCAGCAAAGAGTTTCAATGTTTATCTGAGGTGGGTGGTGTCGAAGAACACATTGATCATGTTGGTTTCGTTCATGAATGCGCCAGGCAGGACCTCTCGTCTGATCTTTTAGGATGATATGCCCCCAGACATAAATAATACCCTATAGCATTCACAAAACAGATCTAGAGTCCTTTGCTATAGTTTGCGAAGAATAACTCGAACTAGTGAAAAGATGTAAATCCAAAAATCAATGCAATGATGTCTCTCTCCATGTACCAATTGATGTAGCAATTATGGCAGCGGACTGTTATGATGTGGGTACAGATTTATTTATCTGCTTGAACTACTCAGCGTCGAAAGGGAGATCATCTCTTCATCAAATAAGCAGCCACCCGTATCTGAATTTCTATGGCATACACTAAGGCTTTCAAAATTGTAGGGAAGATGTTATCACTACATTGCGTATAGATGTAACCGCTTTTTTGAGGCCGAATGTATTGTGTGTCAGCGTATTATATCAGGGATTGTCTACAAAGTTTGTTATATCAAGTATGCATTAGAGTGTTGTATATATGAAAAAAGTCAATATCAAGGTTAGTATAAACCTTGATACTACAGCCTTACTCGGATGGCATAACAGGGTGGTTATCTATACGAGAGGTAGGTAATTATAACAACTTCACAGATTTAACAAGTCCGGCCGAATCCTCCGTCTCCGAAGCACTCGTAATGCTAAAGTTACTCAAACAGTACCAATTTCCTATATGACTCAAAGACACAAGCAAAAACACAATCGACTAAACCCCAATCAAACCCCTGCTCAAGAACCCCTCTCCTCCAGCGCCCGCCGCAACGTCTTCTGAAACCCAAAAACATGCTCCGCCGACAGCTTCGTATAATGCGCGCCCCCAACATCATGGAACCTGGGCTCCGACCGCGCAAAGTCCCTCCACTTTACCAGATGCTCATCGTACCACTCGCGCTTTGAAGAAGCCACACCGACAAGCGGGACACAGTAGAAGCAATCGATGGCTCCCACCGACCCCGATGGCTCATACTCGACCGCCATACTCTGCAACCCGAACGCAAGACACGCCCATTTCAGCAGCGCCGGCCGCGAGAGCGCCAGCTCCGCTAGCCGAGTCGCGTTCGCATTCTCCCAGACGATCTCAGCGCCTGCTCCTTCGACGTATCGTCCGTCATCGTAGTCGCGAGCTCACTCGCGCGCACCTCGCTGATCAGGTCCAGGAAGTACGCGAGGTGGAGTAGACATTGTCGGAAGTCCAACTGGCGCATCCGCGACCGGATGTGCGGCGGGAGGTTGAACGAGCCTAGAAAGCCCACGGTATCGCCGGTTTGCTCGAGTAGCTTGCTGGTTTCGAAGGCTAGCATCGCGCCGTATGAGTAGCCTGCGATCGCGTAGGGGCCGTCCGGCTGTGTTTGCTTGATTGCGGTGTGGTATGTTCGCACTGCTTCGTCGATGCTGGTGAATGGTTCCTCGGACTCGTTAAAGCCGCGCGCCCGTAGTGCAAAGACGGGTCGGTCTTGTATGTATTTCGCCAGATTCAGAAAGACGAGAACCTCGCCGACGCCGGGGTGGATGAGCCAGAAAGGCGTCTTGCTGCCTTCGTTGTGCAGGACCACTACTGGGTTGTGAAGTTGGGGTGCGGGGTTCTGCAGGTCTCGAAGGGAGGCGCTGGGGGCTCGGATGGTCTGGTTCCTCAGTAAAGTGATCATCGGGATCTCCTGCGACAGGCTGAGACGCTCTTCGATGGCCTTCTTGAGCTTGATCAGCTCGATGGAGGTGACGCCCTGGTCAAGGAGTGGACTTTGGACTCCGAAATCCTGGTGCTCGAGCCCCAGGCAGTCAATGAAGATGGGGAGAAGTGAAGATCCAAGCTCATCTGCAGGAGCTACCTTGGTTATCTTTCGATAAATCTTCACCATTTTGATGTTGAAGTCCTGGTATGGCTTGTACTCGCCTCTCTCGTAGCTGGCCTTGATATGTGCGCGAGATAGCTTGCCCAAGGCGGATTTCTGGAGGAGGGGCTTAGAAAGAGGAATTACATGTGACCGTGCACCAGTGCAAATCATCAAAGTCTTGGAGATGGCGTCCGTTGTTTGCACGCGGGCATCCATGTCATTTGGTTGATATGTCGGTAAGTAGACCAGATAGATCTCTTCGGTATCACCTCCCGGGGGTAAAGAGCAGAAGCAACAGTTGTAGCTTGGCACGAGGCCTGGAATACTCCTTGGGTATAGTCCTTTTGCCATGTGAACGGCAACATCCTCATTCGATGCGATGAAGTCAAGTATTGCCAAACTGAGTTTCAAAGCCATCAGAGTATGACGAGGTGGCGGCGAGGGGAGTTCCAGACTTGAGAAAAAGTTGTTGTTGCTGTACAGCACATTACCAGCAAGACAAAGTCTGAGCTGGCCGTAGGATAAACCCTTGATATTTTCATTATTGTCATCATCTTTCTCGAGTTCAGCGACTGCCTCTCGATAAACATAATCCAAAGCTTTCAAAGGAGCCACTTACGCATGCATCCTCAGTCTTCTGATTGGGTTTATCATACCTTGGTCGGGAAGAGAGCCACTCTTTAGACTTCCTCGGGGAGGCTTCAGAGTGAATCCAGAACGATGACAGGAAGTTTTTTAGACTGATTTTATCCGGGCTCCTAACACCTATGGTCAGAAGAAGACATCCAGGGTGAAACCTATCGGTCACATGAGAATCTGCACATGAGTGATCAATAAACTGAAGCCCATGACTTCCAGTGAGTAAATCACCACTCCAAGTTCCATCGGCAGTACAGAAATTCCGTTGCAAAGATAAATCACGGTGTAAGATTCACAATAAGAGAGCCATGTAGTGAATGAGCCTGAAGACAAACGTCATCAGCAGAGTGTTACCACCCCGGAAATCACCTCATCCTGTCCCAAGGACGTTGTTACTGTAGGATAATAAATAGAGCTTCCAAGCCCTTCACATCGAACATCACGATCTTAACCTCTTCCCCATCCCAAACGTCTTTCTCCTCTTCAAGAATTTTCTTGGCCTGACACATCTTTTCGTTCGTTGCAACTCTCTCGTTCTCAAACCCCCACGCATTCTCAACATCTTTCCTTTCGTAAACATTCTCTCGTTTCAACTCAACCCCAGGCTCAAGATGTCCGCGGAACAGGAACCAGCCAACAACAACGCGACTCCCACTCTGGGCGTAGCCGACGGACGTACCATCGACCTTCCACTGCGATCGATGTGTCAAAGCCCTGGTGACTCACGTCGCCTGCTAGACCTCGCAGCCTCCATCAGCACCGCAACAACCAAGATGGATGCCTATCTCAAAGAGCGCAACCTTCCATATCCTTCGTTCGAGCCCAACGCCCCACAGACTCTACCTCGTGAGCTTCAAGATGCGAAAGACTCAATCCTGGACGCGGCTTCCGAGCTCCATGACCTGCTCACTGACCCGTTGACTGCCTTCTTCGAAAGCGCGGTAAGTAACGGGACCCTTCCCTTTGACGTCGAGAATGAGACTGAGAGTAACTTTCCCCAGCCCGTCGGCTTCATGAGCTTGATGTTGATTCAACGCTTCGGTATTGCGGACCTCTTCGGACCCGAAAAAGAAATGAGCTTCGCGCTCATCGCAGAGAAGACTGGGCTGAGCGAGGGGGTGGTTAAGAATACTATTCGTCATGCGATGACCATGCGCGTGTTTCGCGAGCCTCGGAAGGGGTTTGTCGGGCATACTCCGCGGTCTATGGCGATGAGAGACGGTGACATGGCTCGGTTTATGGAATTTGCTATGGAAGAACTGACACCTGGTGTTTTGAGTGTAAGTGTGATCCTGTGCTTGAGGTACGAGTTGTAGGACAGACTGATCGTCCTTCGCAGGCCGCCAAAGCGTGCGAGAAATGGCCACAGTCGGGTGAGCCTAACCATACCGTGAGTACTGGTGTCCACTTGCATTCCAACTTCGAGACTTATCCATCCGTTCAATCAATGACTTATGTGTATATGATAAAGGGGTTCTCCCTTTCCCAGAACACAGACTTATCGCTGTACGAGACTCTTGCGAAAGATCCAGTGCGGGCCGCTCGCATGGCCAATGCAATGCACGTGTGGGCCACCAGCGGAAGCTATCCAGCCTCGCGGGTTGTTAACGAGTACGACTGGGGTCGCCTAGGAGCGGGGACTGTTGTGGATGTCGGAGGCTCACGCGGACACGTTGCGGTGGCTATTGCGTCGAGGTTCCCCTCGCTGAAGTTCATGGTGCAAGACCTCCCAAGCACTATAGCCGGAGCCGAGGCAGACCTTCCCCCCCAGCTCGCCGATCGCGTCAGCTTCATGGCCCACAACTTCTTCCAGGAGCAGCCCGTTGTCGCTTCCGCGTACTTCTTTCGTTGGATCTTCCACAATTGGTCGGACAACTACTGTATCAAGATTCTCCGTGCTTTGATTCCTGCATTGAGACCTGGAGCGCTGCTGATCGTGAACGAGATTTGCATGCCTGAGCCAGGAGAGATTCCGGTGTGGAGAGAACGATTGGCGCGGTATGTTGCCCTTAACCCATGGATGAAAATGAGAGTGGGAGCTGACTGTGTTTTACAGGACCATGACCTTGGGTATGATCAGCATGTTCAACTCCTATGAGCGGGATCTCGATGACTGGACCCGACTTTTCCAGAAAGCGGACCCACGTTTCCAGTTTGTCGACATTCAGCATATCACAGGCACTGAAATGGCTCTGATTGAAGTCAAATGGACTGGAGAGTAGACAAGTGTCTAATGGTTCAGGCCAGGGAGCACATCGAAGACAAACCTGAGTCAAGGATAGGAGGATAAGGATGGCAGAAATGGATTCGCATAGACTGGGATATCGACCAAGGTCTAAGATGGCATACAAGGAAACATGCTGAGGCATAAGAGCGGAAAGGCTCGTGGAATAAGCATAGCAGCAAATGTACCATTATGAGATTGAAATTCGATGAGTTCGGTTTCAGGAGTATGATTTCTATGACCTCCAGTATTTGTACGGATTCAGCAACTCCACGCCACCCCAGAACCACCACTGCGATCGGGCTTCGTCATCAACCCCAGAAGGAGCAATGGAAATCTCAATAGCCTTGATTGCAAATGCAGTGGTCAACCCCCTGTTTCTAAGTTTCACCCCTGTGGAGCCATACTTATAGATCCATCCAGCAGGCCAGCCGCCATTAACGAAGGTACGAGTCAATGGCTAGAGCAATTTCACCGGGCTGGATTGCGCATCTTTGCACGGCCAGAACAGGCCATTCCATCCGTTATCGAGCCTTTCAGATCAAGTATAGTACATGTATGCGACCCGTCGCATACAGGTGCAGTCTAAGTATGGCGTACTTTCATGATGCAAGGGCCTTATGACTGCCCGTCTGCAATGCAACCCAATCCATAGGATCATGTCTTGGCTGGTATAGTATATAGCTTAGGCGAGACAGGCTAAAATGTATCGCATACATCGCGACCTTTCGGGGAGCAACTCAATTTTTCTCAGACCCTGCATTCACCTACTTATTTTCATACCACTCCAAGCCAATTCGACTTCAAGTACTCACGACAAGTACCAGTACTCCGGGTTATTCACGACTGCCTGGTTCCTGAGGCATCAACACACAATTCTACCTCCACGATTCTACCCCAACCCACAAACAAAGACCATACACCAACAATCACCTGTACCTCGAAACAACACACACCCCCTGATACTCCTCCCGACCAGCGCGCAAAGTCTCCCCGGCTCTCGCCGGAAAATCCCACGCCGCGCCCTCCATCTCCCAGTCGGGGCTGCACTCCACGGGAAACAAATGCCGAAGGATCTCACCCACGACCACAACCATCATGCGTGTCGAGAACGCCCTCGCAGACGGACACTTCATCGTCCCCACGGCAAACGGAATCCAAGCGGACTGCTGCGGACCGAGTAGACACGATCGGATCTGGCCGTCGGGGGTGAGGAACCGGCCCGGGTCGAAGCGGAGGGCGGACGGGCCCCATCGCGCAGGGTCGCGCTGGATGGCCTCGATGTCGATGGAGGTGGTTTTCTGGCTGACGCGGCTGATGCGGCGGATAGGCGGGTAGAGGCGTAGGGATTCGTACGCGATGGCTAGGGCTTTGGGATCAGGAGGACGGACTGCTGGGCAGTCTCGCAGAGCGAGAAGGTGCTCTGGTTTGCTGGGGCCGGGCTGGAGGATTGCCAGGAGCGTGTATAAGGTCGTGCGCCAGGGGGCCTCGAAGGCCGGGAGGAGCAGGTTCAGGGGGTTGAAGTCGTCGGGGGTCCCGGAGATGGAGTACAGGAGTGTCTGGGCGAGCTCGGTGGATACTCTCCCATTGGTGAATAGGCGCTGGAGACACTGAATTACGCTGTCTGCGGCACGGCGCAGGTCCGCGGGGATTTCATGCGGGTCCGCGGCGGTCATGCAGTGTCGTTTGCCATCCATGGTGACGCGGTGAATCTCGGATCCGAGGTAGCTGAGCGTCTCGTGCGGGATGTCCTCCATGTCGAAGAGCGCTTTCAGCACGGCTGCGAGTGAGGTGTTGAGGCTGATATGTCGCAGGTCGGCGGTGACTGTGCAGACGTCGTCGGGCGCGGTACGTATGGAGAGGAGCGGTCGGATGGCGGTGGCAACGGCGCGAGCGATACCTCCCCATGCCCTGTCGTCGACCTTGGCGGTGGCCTCGTATGTGGCTCGTCGGTAGGAAGCCTGCATTTCGACCGAGTCGGACACGAAGGGGTTGTTGAGCCGCCAGAGGTTCTTCAGGGTCCGTGTTCCGCGTCTCGCGGTTCGCATGGCGAGGGTGGAATTTCTCAAGGGAACGACCGGGTCCTCGAGGACGTCCATCTCTAGATTTGTCTTCTCAGACGTCCCGTTGGCGGGCTCATATGGGAAGAAGAGAACATAGCTGAGAAACACTCCCATTAGGAGAGCATACAGTACAAACTCTTCGCTCATGGCAGGATATAATGTGGTTAGCTCAGCCACAATCTATGTGATCATGACAGCTTAACAGCAGGAGAATTGCCTATATAAGATAGGTTCCACAAGTAGGGGATTTGGTCCTATAAGCTAGGCTACCCGGTAAACGGGACGCGATAGCATGAGGTGATGCTACAGGGCGGTGCAGAAGTCTTGAATCAAATAACTTGAGATTGTGGATATCGTCAGCCTGATCTTTACATCCTTCTTCAGCACGTGGCTAGCTTACCTATACTCCACGCAGCCGACTGGGACGTCATGGCAATCACGTCTTTGGCGGGTGGCGAAAGCAAGCAGCTGAGGTGCATTATAAGCAAGGCGGAGATGGCGTCGCATGGCCTCTACAATGGCTACATACAGACCCACATGCAATATTTCTCGTGTGGAACAGCCTTTCGCTAATATGTCATTGGGGAACGAGTAGAGAGTTTATGCGCTTGCTGCTATTCGGGGTAGGTATCACAGTAGTACGGGATAGCACATATCAAGCCTCAGAACCTGCGTGACACCCGAGGCTTGGCCTCATACCGTCCAATGACAACCCAGCTATACAGAAGGTACTTTCTCCAGGTTCTCAAAAATGTATGACACATGAAGCCACCGAACTCGCCGGGTAGGATGGTGAAACCTCCACATTGCCTGAGGGATGGCAGTCAAGCGCTGGCTTGTGCTTCCTCCCCGTCTTGAACATGTGTTGCCTGGTGACACATTTGACCACCCGATATTCTCAAGTTCGATAATCCAGACTTGACATTTTCAAAGGGTCAAACATGTTAGATAAACTAAGAGATAAGTCCATGCAGGGAAATAATGATGACGCAAATCGCTCAGTATGCCGCCCTACTATGGGTGATAAGTGAAGTCTAGACATGCAGTGCGGTGTTTCTGATAGTATGTAGAGATCTGCTCAACGGACATTGCTACTGAGTCATTTGATGGCATCATCCGAAAAAATATAAATTCTCCATCCCAGAAATACAGGCAGCTGTCCGTGCAACCTGTTAATGGCTGGGCACCATCCGACACTCTCATCTACAGGCGTAATCGAGGATGAGAAGGAGAAGGATAATGAGACGCTGACCCAAGGAAAACCCCGTGTCAGTTTGTTGGCTTGGCTATGTGCATGTTACAATCAAAAGCGATACTATCACACAAATATTCTCCCTTCATTGCCACTCTCTCAGACAGTTCCCTAGCAGTCCTCCTCATCCTCCTCAGTAGCGGTGGTAGCAACAGTCTTCTGAGTAGTAAGGGTGGTGTGGGTGACGCTATCGACGGTAATGGCGGCAGACCCGCTGCTTTCATAGCCCTCGACCGCGACGATCTGGTAGTTGAAGGTGCCGAGCTTGAGGCCGAGCTTCTCCCAGGCGTCGAAGTGGTTCTTGGTGGTGACGGTGCCGCCGACACGGGCATTGTCGCGCACGGACCAGTACTGCTTGAAGGTGTTGGTGCCCTGGATGGAGGGCGCGTTGGTGCGCGTCGACTCGTAGATCTTATACGTGCTGCCGTCGCTGGTCACCGTACCCAGCTGCTTCAGCCCGCTCGACGGGTTGTACTCGCCGTAGTGCTCCACGATGTAGTATTCCACCAGCGGGCTGGTGGTCCAGCCGTACACGGAGAGGTAGCTGTTGCCATTGTTCACGGGCTTCCAGGTGCCGGAGTAGGTGATGTCGCTGGATGGGGTTGTTAGTTATATGCTTGGGAGGAAGTAGGAAGACAGAACCACATACCGCGCGCTACCAGTGCTCCAGCCCTTGCCAGCAACGAAGTTACCGGCGTTGTTCCAGTCGACAGAGTATTCACCCGCGTTGCCGTTGTTGTAGGTCACAGAGCCCTCGTCATTGGTCCAGAAGGAGTAGAAGTAGCCGTTGCTGGTGCCTTGGTTGGAGGTGGTCATGCTGCGCTTGGCCATCTCCATCAGCCCGAGACGGTTCGGGGCCGCCAGGGCACCCGTGGCAGCCGAGAAGGCGAGAAGAATAGAAGAGAAGGCGACCATTGTGGTGGTTTGATAGTAAAGAATGTAGTGGTGGTGGTGATGGTAGTAGTGAGTGGACGGAGAAGCGCAGCTTGAGGCGCCGAAATGGATCGCAGACCAGGCGTATAAGTACTCCTGTGGCGACTGCAGACAATCTGGCCAAGGATCGAATAGGTGAGACAACGACGTCTGTCGTAGATTAATTCCCGTGGTTGCGGAGCCGGGACATGCTCCTGAATGATTTTAGTCGCCCGCGTGTTTCATCTTGAAATCGGCACCCACTTTTTCTCAGGCGGCCCGTCGCCAGTGCGTCTGGCTTCACCACCACTCACAACCTCGCATTCAGTTCTAGTCTCGCTTTGACTGTGGTAGAGAAAACACTGGTGAAGAAAGTGGAGCTGCCATTTTGGCTCGGGTGAGTATGGCCGAAGAAATGACCCTGTCCCTGTTCGTTGTGGCGTTCTCCGACACAGACGTCAAGCAGTCTGGAGCCCCTTCAGATGCTTATTTTAGCACATGCACTGATGAAGAATCTAACTGAAGACCCGGAATTCTAGCGCTGTCGGGGCTACTGGTCAATAGTTTGTTGAGTATATTAAGAATGACACCCACCTAAATCAAGGCAACCGAGGTTCCGAAGACGTTAGACTCAGGGGCTGAATGGCTTGATGCAGTAACGAGCCTAGAGCTGTATCTGAGAGCTTCAGTGAAAGATAATGCACATAGGTACCTCAAGCACTAGTAGCCGGGTGCGCGGGGGTATTTCAATCCTGAACTATCTGCCACTTACATGACCTGATACACTGCCCGTGTCTAGTACCCTCTATTTCTCTTCAACTCGCCAACTTCCCTGCCCTTTCCTTTGGCTTTCTTGAATAATCACACCACAAAGTATCTCATTTTGTTTAGTCCTTACTCAGAGATTCTTGCTTTGAGCTCAATCGCCCTCGACAGCGGTCTTCCCTACCATCCTAAGCATAAAGATGTTTCAACGCACCAGGAACATTGAATCTTGCTCGAGAGTAGCATACAGCATACTTCAATCTATGCGTGATAGCTGGCCAAGCCACAGAGGTAAGGCTCTGCTGAAGAGCCAAGGCATGATTCACTTTCAACTGTAAAAACAAGAGAAGGAAGTTGTAATTATCACGCATATCTATAGCCAGATGGAAACAAGCGGTCCAGCTGACATCAACCTTATGTAGCACAAATCACGGCGCATAGCTAGGGTGTTTGCAGGGTTTGCGGGATTTGCATGGGTTGTCTCTGAGTTCCACCAGAAGCTCTTATCGATAACGGACTGTAGACATGCCCTTCCACGACAATTTGTGCTTCTTCTGAGTGAATGGACCGAACAGAGTATAAGACCATTGTTGACTAGGTCACAAATATCTATTATTCCCGCTGTGGTGTCATAATATAGTCCAACCACAGAGCTTGCCCCGATGTGTCAGTACTACAAGAGATCTCAAGACAGCGAACCAAGCTATATAACTTAACATTTGACCTCATCAATCGTGTTTTTGCTTGCGGATCGAACACCGTGACATAAGTACTGCAGGCGGTAACCACAGATTCTAAACAAGCTCACCAGTACACAAAAAGGAACATGCCACAACCTTGCATTAGATTGGAGAAATTTAGTAGGATGCAGTACTTACTAACTTGCACGCTATCTTGTAACCTCCCTCCCTCCTTCCCGAGTCTGAACACTGAACATAGACACCCCGCCCCAGGCTTACATCCTCCGCAAGCATCCTACAATCAAGGGACCCATAATCATCGCCTACGCCCTACGACGAATCCCCTGATTCCACCCCCGTGTTTATCATAGCACCAACATAACACAAACCACGCGCCTCCCGTATGGGGAAGACTACAAATCCACGACCTCCCCGCCGACGAAATCCTCATCGACATCCACGCGACAGGAGTCTGCCACACAAACCGAATGCTAATGACCGGCGAACTACCAAGCCACCGACCCTGTGTCTTCGGTTACGAAGGTACCATCTGATTGATCCCTACCTGCACCTGTACCCTTCCAAACAGAACTAAGCCTTCCTCTCCAAACAAAACTAACCCTATTTTATCAAACAAACAAACCCTACCTTATCAACTCATCCAGACTAACCCCCCCAGGACTGAGCTAACCCTACCTTACCGCACAAACTAACCCGACCCACAGTATCTATAGGCGCGACATCATCCGCAATAGCCCCAGAGCCCGTCCGCCCAAATGACAAATTCTTCCCTCTGTCCTTCAACCTTGCACCCGGTATAGCAACTGCGACGAGTTCGCAGAGCGGAATACCTCTAGTCAGCGCCGCTGTGCACGATAGCAAAAGAAGAGGCGATGTTCAGCAGGTTCTTCGGACAGTCGTGTTTCACGCGTGGCTGTGGGTATGGCGGGCGCGGACCCGATTGTGGCGGTGGATGTGCGCGACGACAGGTTGCGGGTTGCGGCGGTGCTGGGGGCTACATTATGGTTAATGCTGCTGCAACGGATGTTGTGCCGCCGTGCGGTTTAACCTCTTTGCGTTTTTGACCGGTGGGAAGGAGGATGTTGGGTGTGTGGAGTCTATCCCCCTTAGATATGTTGCATCTCACGCCGGCGTGCGGTGGGTGTAGGCTGACCGGTGTGTGTAGTTTGTTCCGTTTCTGGCGGAGCAGTATGCTCGGGGCGAGTTTCCTGCCGATGAGCTGGGCAGAGTGTATAAGGTGCAGGATTACGAGGAGGCGTTTGCGGACGTTCGTGAGGGGAAAGTGATCAAGGCGGTGTTGGATTGAACTGCATCGATGGGATCCTATCAGTATTGTCCATTGTCAATTAACCGTGCGTGTACAGCATAAAGGCCGGGGAAGTGTTGCTGTGTTGCAGCGTTGCAGCATTTAGTCGGGATTACTGATCGAGTGGCCTGACACGGATGGCGTTGGCGGGATTTGAACTGATTCTCAGGTCTGACAGACTGGTTGATGTAGTTTATATTAAGTCACTGCAGCACGGGAATAAGACTTCCGTGATCTCCCGGCTGGGCAACGGGCCCGCTGCCTCACTGTGGGACGGGGTTTGAGTCTAATTGCTGAAGAAAACCGCCGAGGTGGAGTAGGCGGGGTTATCGTTGCTGCAGATGGTCACATCTACTAATCAGTATGCGTATCTATACTAATTCTGAATTCGAGAACCCTTGATGCGCCCGGCCTGGTTGCACCCACTAATCACCACTGCGTTTCTCCGCACTACCAAACCCCGGGTCATGGCACGATAGAGCCCCGATCGAATACTGTCTACGACCCTCACGCATGTTACCATAGCAGAGCCCGAACACGTCTGAGCCGGATCAAGTGAAGATGAGAGGACTTTGACAGTCATTCAGACGTGAGATGCGTTACCCTGCGCGGGTATAAAGAGGGCGCTGTGTCGCTGTTTTCTCTCTTCACGAACAGCATCACCAACCCAACAATCCAAGCCAAAGCATCACAGCTCCGCACCAAACTCATCCATCACCATGGCCCCCGTCCTCAAGAAGTACAAGGCTGCCGCCGTCAACGCCGAGCCCGGCTGGTTCAACCTGGAGGAGTCCACGCGCCGGACCATCCATTGGATCGACGAGGCCGGCAAGGCAGGCTGCAAGTTTATCGCCTTCCCTGAGCTGTGTACGCTCCCCTCTCCCTAACACATCAGCCTACAAAAAATCTAACGCTGCGCAGGGATCCCCGGATACCCCTACTGGATGTGGAAGGTGACCTACCAGGAGAGCCTGCCTCTGCTGAAGAAGTACCGCGAGAACAGTCTGGCGTCAGACTCGGAGGAGATGCGACGGATCCGCGAGGCGGCGCGGGCCAACAAAATCTTCGTGTCGCTGGGCTACTCGGAGCTGGACCTGGCCAGCCTGTACACGACGCAGGTGATGATCTCGCCGGAGGGGGAGATCATCAACCACAGGCGCAAGATTCGCGCGACGCACGTCGAACGCCTGGTCTTCGGCGACGGCACCGGCGACACCACCGAGTCGGTCATGCAGACGGAGATCGGCCGCATCGGCCACCTCAACTGCTGGGAGAACATGAACCCCTTCATGAAGGCATACGCCGCCTCGCTGGGTGAGCAGGTCCACGTCGCCGCCTGGCCGCTGTACCCGGGCCGCGAGACCCTCAAGTACCCGGACCCGGCCACCAACATCGCCGAGTCGAACGCGGACGTATGCATCCCTCCTCTAGGGGCATCGCTTTTCTGGATGTCTTATACTGATCAAGAGTGCGCAGATCGTCACCCCCGCCTACGCCATTGAGACCGGCACCTACACCCTGGCCCCCTGGCAGACCATCACCTCCGAGGGTGTCAAGATGAACACGCCTCCGGGCAAGGAGCTCGACGACCCGAAGATCTACAACGGCCACGGCCGCATCTTCGGACCCGACGGTCAGAACCTGGTGCCCCACCCCAGCACCGAATTCGAGGGTCTCCTGTTCGTCGACGTAAGTACTCCTTGGATGACTATCAACCCCCCGCACAGCACACAAACTAACCACCGATCAAGATTGACCTCGACGAATGCCACCTGTCCAAGGCTCTGGCCGACTTCGTAAGTCCTACCCAAAATTTCTCACACACAGCACATACTAATCTGGACAGGGCGGTCACTACATGCGCCCCGACTTGATCCGCCTGCTGGTGGACTCCAACCGCAAGGATCTCGTCGTGCGCGAGGACCGCGTTAACGGCGGAGTCGAGTACACCCGCACTGTTGACCGGGTCGGACTGTCGACTCCGTTGGATGCTCCTGCGCCGGCTGAGGAGAACTAGGGGAGCGCTGAGCGGGCTTGGATGACTCTCCACTCTTGTATAGTATGAATAGAAATTGAATCTGTTTGATGTTGATCGGGTAATCGTCCAGAGCCGTGTGAAGCATGCGATGTCGTGAAACAGCGGACTGACTCTGTGGCACAGAAGTATTCTGAGCTAGCCGAAAGACAGCGAAGGTGGACGTTCACAATGGGAACTCTCTACCATAACGACGTTAGCCCACATAGTCGGTACCTTGATGCGAACCCGCTACGCAGAGTCACTGCCTCTCCCCTCCAGCATCCGTGCATACGCATCCAACGCCCGCCCAATCATGCGTACCACGTCCCAAACCGCCTCGCCGCTCAGCAGCTTCGCCCAGACGCGAACCACCCGCGTACAAAGGTCCGTGCGGAGCGGGCCCGCCTCGCCCGCCGGGTCTGCCTCGGCCACCATGTCGGCGATGTACGCCCACAGCCGCCGCTCCTCCTCCTCTTCCCTATCTACGTGCTCTTCATCCCCAGTCACGTGGTTCCCAACTCCATCCCCATCACCTCCAATACCAAATCCACGGCCCTCTGTTCCCCCCCTCCCCCTGGCGCTTCCACCTCCCCAACGCGCCTGCACGCCCATCAACCACGAGCTCAATACCACCGCACCCTCAAGTGCACAAAGCGCATGCTGAAGTGACCAAGCAAACGCCTGATTCTTCGCAACGATATTCACGCCGATCTTAACAGGGATACTAAGCGCATGCGCAGAGTACAGCACCGCGCGAGTGAGCCGGCGGTCGCGCGGGTGCGATACGGCATGCGCACAGCAATAACGAAACATAGCGGCCGCCAGCCCGTTGGGGTCGTGAATGATCAGGGCGCGGGCGGGGCCGACGTCGACAGCCAGGCGGATGTAGGCCATGCGCAGGAGGGCGGTGGCGTTGAAGGAAATTGGGCCGCGGGGGCCACCGGGTCCGAAGAATGATTCTGGGTCGCGTGGCCAGCTCTTTTGCCAGGTTTGGAGGGCGCGTTCGATGGCGTGTTGGTCGGCTGCTTGGAGGGTTTGTGTTGGGTGCGTCGCGCGGACGAGGTAAATGTGTTGGATGAGCGCTAGGATGAGCGTGTAGCCACCGAGGGAGGTGTAGGTGATTTCTGGGGTGGTGTCAGTGGGTTGGTTGGAGAAGAGAAGGGCGAAGGTCGTTTGGAAGGTCGGTTCGACTCGTGTCTGCTGGTCTGGGGAAGCGTAGCGCGTGGTGGCCGCGGCGGTCCATTCGGCAGCGCTGGCAGCTTCCCACTCTGCTTCGCGCGACGGGAGGCGGGTTTGGAGCTCGGAGTTGAGAATCGCTGGCGGGGTGTTATAGACAATCGTGTGAAAGACCAAGAAGTCGAAGATGATTGTGATCGTTCGGTTCATGCCCTCGGCTTTGATCCAGGCCTGCCAGGTTGCGACTCGCGGGGGCGGGGCCTCCAGAAGATCCTCCTCGCGGATGAAGTTGGTGAGAGTGTTTTGAAGGCCAACCGCCTCGTTGAAGATGGCCTTCGAATTTCCCCATGTTGCCATGGCCATTAGCACGAGCAGGGTCTGTGCGATGGGGAGGGGTTCGAACGCTTCGTCTCGGGTCGTTGCACCCGCAGTCCACGCTGGTTGTGAGCCCTCAGGAGTGTGTGGCTGTGACCGGGCTGGGTTCACTCCTGAGTTTTTGGGCACCCACTCTGCCGTCGGAAACGAACTTTCGCGTCGCTGGATCTTCCTACAGCGCAGGCGCTCCTGGACGATCGCCAACGAGGTCCGGTAGAACATAATCGCGTTTTCGTGATCGAAGGCGGACTGGGCCCCAATGGTAGCCATGGCCAACACCAGCTCCACGGGACACTTGGTTGGTGAGAATGTTGGAATGTGTAAAAAAGGTAGATGGCGGTGGAAGCCAGCGAAGTAAGTGGTGATGTACCGAGTTATAGTATGGCGCGAGGGAAGAAAGAATTGCGGAGGTAGGACTGGCGCGAAGCCCTGGATTTCGACCAGAAGATGATTCCAATTCTCCTGTGTGATCCTCCACGGCTCTTGAATCGACTTGGAGGAAGGCTCGAAGGAGGGGAATGTTGATGTGAAATCGTCGAACAGCCGTGGAGCTGATGTATCTGTTGTTACTGGGTCAGATACACCCCCATTGCGGCGATGCACCTGGCTTCTGGCAGCATGGGAACCAAGAGCACCAGGAAGGGGGGTGGATGGTAATTGTAACACAGGCTGTTCAGTAGGTAGGATTGCACTGTTTGCGTAAGGTATGGCCATGCTGTCAATAAACAAGGCAAAGTCCCCAAAATTACTAGTGGGTTCTGCCCAGGACATGTGCAGGTCGTCAACTGGCGGCGCAGCGGGTGGAGCAAGCGGCGCGCCCAATGTGTCATTGTGCAACGAGTTCTCGCGGCTAGCGAGAGCTACTATGCCCGAGGATGACATGAGACCTGCATCTGAAGCGAGGAAATAAGGCAAGGAAGGACTCATAGTGATGTTCACGTCCCGGGTGCGGGTGGCAGATAGTGGTGTCTTGTCGAAGCCACCAGGCACAGCAGTGCCACGTTGCAGACTACTATCATTGCGACTGGTCGGAGTCTCCAAGTTGCCATCAGCCATGGCATCGGCGTGAAACAGGCGAGTATGACGAGCCAGTAGATCGCTATTTCAATCACATTAGAATGAATTGGACATTGTAGCCGAAGCCAGATCATACCGTCGGGTAAATCTCTCCGAGCATGCTGTGCAGCGGAACGGCTTTTCCTTTGTATCTGACAGGTCATAAGTACTGTGTATCATCTATGGACGTCTTGGGAGACGTACGTAATCGTTCATGTCGTTGTAAGTGTTCATTCCGGAGAAACTCCTTGGGGCAGAACTGGCACCGGAATGCTCTCTTCGCCTTCTTGGCTTCGGATGGCTGTTCCTCTGGGTGGACAGTCTCTTCCTCGAGCTCACTATCTTGACTGTCCGTCAGCCTCGATTTCTCTTTTCTTAGCGGTGGCATTTCGAATGTTCAGCACAGGGGGAAGAGAATTAAAGCTGCGACTGCCCATTGAAGACATTCTGTCGCTGAGTCATACTTGAGTCATTTCTAGGTCGGCTTAGTAAGCTCATCGAGAAATGGCTAATTCAGAGCATGTCATTCAAGCAGCACTATATCATATCGTATCATGAGTGATATGCTAATGATACGAGTAGATGTCTCTCTAGTCTGATGAGGGATAGTCTGGAAGACGACGACGCTCAAGAGACCTCGAGTATCTTGATCTTCTACGGCTTATGCATAGATCATACGGATAGCGGGAACAACAATCACAATCTCAACATAGGCTCTTCTCACATGATGATTTTATCATTCCCTCTCAAGATACAATATATGTGCAGTTTCCGATAGCCCTGAGCTACCTGATAACCCAAACCCGTCCTCCATAAATCAATAGTCGCAAGACGAACACCAGCAATCACCAGCATCATCATCGCAGTCGCCCCAATCACGGCAAATAAACACTCATCTCGAACCCATTAGTGAACGGCAGGGTCATATTCTGGAACCCATTCTCCGGAGCACGCAAGAAAGCCAGCAGGTCCGCGTAACCCTTGGCCCCAGAGATAGTATTATCAGTCAAGACGACGGCGCCGCGGCGCATGCGCGGCAGCACAGTCTTGAGCGTGGGCAGCGCCAGCGCAGACCAGACTGGAGTAACCATCATCAGCCATTATCATCACACCCAAGAAACCATCCTAGCCTTGTGACCAGAACGCAAGAAAAGATGGGAGAAACCTACTATCAAGCAACAACAAATCCACCTGGGGCAAACCCTCCTTCAGCGTCTCCAACAGATCCCCCTCGCGCAAATCAATAAATCTCTCGACCTCCGGCCCACACTGCGCCCAGTACTTCCGCGCAACAGCCGCCTTCGCCTCCTCCTTCTCTGTGGCAATTACCACCCCTGACTTCCCCGTCGCGGCAGTGGTCTTCCCCACCGCCAGCGCGAGGTAGATGGTGCTCACGCCGAAGCTGGTGCCCGCTTCGACGACGTTCGTGGCCCCCATGGCCGTGATCAGCTGGTACGCGAACTGGCATTTGTCTTCATCCAGTGCGATGAACTTGTCGAGCATGAGACGGTCGAATTCGTCTTGTGGGTTGGCGGGCGCGGCGCTGCGGCTTTTGTCTTCCAGTTCGCCGAGAACCTCTGAAGAGAAGACTTTGCCTTTCTTTGAGATCTGGGCTTCTTGCTCTAGGGATTTCTTGTGCAGCTCTGTGAGGAGCTGCTGCACGTGCAGGGGCGCGTCGACGGGGTTGGGGGAGGACATCTTGAGATTTGAGCTGTTGAGGTTTAGTTTGCGTTAGAGTTGAGTCAAACGGGTCTGGGAGGGATGTATCGCTGATCGTTTTGGGTATTTCGAAGATGAAATAGTTTGAGGTACGGAGAAATGGAGACCGGCTAAGGTGAGGGGTGACGTTTCTTGGCATTTTGGAGAAGAGACGACAAGGTAACGGCACTGCAGAGATCAATGTACAGTACAGTACCACGAAGACTGAACCGAAACCATTTCTTACAGTACAGAGGTTTAATTCCCTTTTGAAATCAAAGTAGATCAGTACATGTACAGTGACGGCAAGAGAAAGCCTACAATCTCCACTGCCACTTCCACACCCCACCCGTGCGCTCAAGCATGAACTCCATCCGCGCCCACAAGACAGTCACAGTGGAAGCAAGCATCAAGGCACCCACAAACACAGCCATGTACAATTAACTTTCCGGCACCATGCTCCCACTCAGTGATCGAACCAGAACACCCGCAACCGGGGTGCCAACCAACCCAGCCGCACCCTGCAGCATGTACATAATCCCTTGCGCCTACATTCGCATTTGTCTGGCGCATGTCAGAACGATTTAACGGAGCATGTTGTAGTAAATTACCAGTCAAGCAATGGTTGTGCAATCTAGACTCCTATAGAAGATACCCTGTTTTTCTTTTCCCAATGATATCTCCTCCCCAAGAGATGTAAAGCGTTTTAGCTCACAAGAGTATACTCACTCAAGGTGGGCTGTCGGAGATGGGCTGGACCTCCCCGGCGAGCACAGTGCTCTTGGCATTTTGGAGACCGACTCGAGCGTCTATCACCGAGGTACGCACATCGACAGGGCGTGGGTGCCCCTCATTTCCGCAATACTGATCCTGATTTGTCCCTCACGACAATGTTTACTATGCACTTGATGAATAAGAAAGTTGTTCTAATAGATGTCTTCGACCTCAGCCTGTCTTCAGCTGCGAGTTTGTCAGTGGCGGAGAAATCATTGGAGTAAGGGCTGAATATCGCATTGTTAGTCCCCGTTAAAGATATTAAAGTGGTACTTTCGATTGGTTTTGCACCAAGATTTCAATGTCGCCATGTCTTGGACCGGTGTAACTGCATTTCCGACGACTCCCATCGGCACAATTGGCAAGACACACCTTGGATACCAGAAAGCTTAGCCGAGAACGTGGGTGAAAGAATTCTTGGTGAAAGCTTGAAATTAGCGCCCAGGGGGAACACTTACAGCACGGCTAAGCCACTTTCCATGTGAATCGAGGAAATACAACCAGGTACGGTAATTCATGGCTATGACTGGTGATCATCCTGCGTCATTTCAGTATAACGGCTGCCGGCTAACCCATCTAGATCCTAGCCACATAAGTCACTGTGAACTTCGTCGAGTCAAGGCTTGATGCTCGACATGCTACCACTAGATCTGGCGTGAGCTCCGAAAATCCCTTGCAGCCGAAAAGGCAGCCTGAGGTTCCAACCTACCGCTTTCTCTCTCCAAGGTGCCAAGTCTTCTTCCAGCTTCAGCTTTGTGCGGGTAGACGCGGCTTCAGCATGGCGTGTTTCTCGGATCAATATTAGGAATCGAGGATCTGGAGCTTGTAAATCTCTTGGCATGCGCTTCCTGAGAGCTATGTGTCAGATAATCTCGCATAAAGAGAGGGAAATGATTCAAGCCAATTCAAGCCGTTCTCCACCAATCCTAGCCTAACATTGATAGCACCTGGGAGGTGGACAAGGTAGCGAGAGGTTATGCTTAGTCCTAAGGCTGTGTCCATTGATGAGTTATTGAGAAACAGCCATGAGAATAGACCCACTCTTTCACAGAGCGTTTACACTAGCTCAGCAAGTCGTTCCGCGACAAATGTGTACGCTGCGGTGCTGTCTTCCATTCTCGGGTATCTGCGGCCTGAATGCCTGATAGCATGCCTGAAATCCCAGGAACCAGACACGGCAAAATCTGTGTCCATTTTTGCCTTTCGAAGGGGCCATTATTCATGCAGTAGCAGACCCCAGAGATGCCGGAGGATTACCATCTCCTCGGGATTTGCTTGTGCCCCACTCTCAGCGTTCTTCGGCCAATCGCTATCCCCGAAAATCCGATCATACCACCATCGATCTCGGCAAGGATCCCGAACATCGAATCCTTTTGCGGGCCTCGCGTGGCACAACTCAAACCCCGGGCTTCGTTTGGCACGACCCGTTGATTACGCCTTTCCGGGATTTGATGGCATCGACGGGATTCTCTTCCTGCCCGGGAATTGATGCCCATATATCCCAACCCCTGGCCGATATGACTAAACTTTCGCCTTTTGACACCTTTGCCAGGATATTACCACTTGTGCATGAGCTACAAATTGTCGAGCAATGGATACTGTCAAAACAATACCCGACGCCACACGTCCGGGTCATCGGAAATTCAGCAAACCGCCGGTGAAAGTCGCTTGTCTAGCATGGTATGTCAGCATTTGAAGACAAATTTCAGGAAAACAGCGGAGATACTGATTCTAGTCGCGATAGTCGCAACCTTCGCATCCGATGCGACGGGCTCAAACGATGCGGGAACTGTGTGGCCAGAGAGACGCCTTGCTGCTATGTGCCCAGCAAGCGCGGGGGCCCGCGGATTCGCAAGCGCAAGCGGGCTTTGACGCCGCTGTCCGGCTCAATGGACACGTCGCTGAACTCGAGGTCGACTGAGGAGATCGAGGTAGATGTGCTGGGAATGCAGGGGTCGGACTCGGGGCCGCCCTCGCAGATGTCGCTGCCGCAGGAGGAGGAGGATGAAGGTGTGTCCCCCCTTTCTGGCGTGTTGGTGACGGGGCTAATGGGTTCAGTCTGGCTGGGCCAGCTCTTCACCCTCGGGGCGCCGGGTGCAGGACTCCGGAGCATCGAGAGCTCGGTCTCGGAGATCGAGCAGATCTTCGACGAGATATTCGCGGAGGATAGTGTACGGATACCTTCTGAGGTGGAGGCGGAGACGGAGGTTGTGGAGCTAGATCTGCTGCAGGTGTATGCGTCGGATGAGGATATGTACGATGCTTCGACCGACTCTCCGGTGTGGTGAATGTGGGCTGACGAGTGACAGACTGGACGCGTACTACGTCTTCATACACCTTTATTCTCCCCTCCTCCCTCCACCCGAGCGACTCCCTGTGCGAAACAAGCCCGTGTACAGCGCGTCGACCTATCGGCCCTCCAGCCCGCTGGCGCTCGCTGTCTGTGCTATCCTCGCGTTAATACCCCATCCGGACGTGCGGCAGCCGTCAAAGGCGGAGTGTGTGAAGCTCCGGCGGGAGACGGCGCACTCGTATGCGCAAGCCGCCTTGGAAGCCGTGGAGGCGGATCTGGAGCTGCTGGACTCAGCATCGGATCCGTCGCGTGCGCTATCGGAGGAAGTGGCGCAGTGCACACGCGAGCCTTTTCATGCGAAGGTGCCGGTGGGCTTAGAAGCGGTGCTGGCTCTGGTGCTGCTGAGCAGTTATGAGTACGCGCAGCGGGGGAACATTCAAAAGATGTGTAATCGTGCGGGACAGGCGTTGACGGCAGCGATGAGTATGTCATTGCACGAGACGGTGGAGGAGGATGGGTTTGCGGAGGCGAGACGGAGGGCGTGGTGGATGACTGTAGGTCTTCTTTGGTCAAGGATAGGGATTGAGCTGATGAGGATAGTATATGACGGTGTGTCAGGGGTCGATTGTGAGTGGGATGGTACGTACGCTCGTCCCTTTCTGTTTCTATTGGGAAGGCGCTGCTGACAATGACAGCCTCCTGTGATCAATGTGTACGATCCTCGCTTTGTGACACCATATCCCAAGGTGGGTCACCTGATCGCCGCTACAGTGTGTGTGTGCAAGCTGACAACCCCAGGGTTGGAAACTCCTCATCGAAGCTCAGCAGACTATCCTTGAGGCCACCACCTTCGTTCATGACCTCAACCTTACCATTAAGTCGCAGTACAACGCGCCATGGATCGCGAAGCGCATGATGGACCTCGACAGCCAAATTACCTACCTTCTCCACCCATGTCGCGCTTCCTCGCCATCCATCGCCCGCTTCCCACCGATCCCCACGGACTCACCTGAAACAATTGCCTTGCAGAGCATGAAATACATTGCGGAGATCAAACTTCACAGGTAGTACCCATGTGCAGATTGTCTGTCTTCCTGTTCCTAACAAATCCATCATCAGCGCGCGTATCAAAACCCACCGCTTCTGCGCGTTCCAAGACATCGCCATCTTCCGCCGGCGCCACTGCGACCTCCACGCCACCAGCACCAGCACCAGCACAAGCAGCGGCACCAGCACCACAAGTACAAACACCTCCTCCCCAACCTGCTGCAGCCTCCCCCTCGCCCTCCCGCAAGCCCAGGCCCAACCGCAACCGCAACCTCGCCGTATGTCCTTCCCGTTTTCAGGCCACGTCTCATCGAAGGTCTGCCTCCACGCGGCCCTAAACATCACCAACCTTCTCGACCACCTCCCGTACCCGAACCCGAGCAACGAGATCCCGCTCACCCGGCCACCGTACCTGTCGCGGCAGTCGCGCGTCGAGATCCCGCGCACGATGCCCTCGTTTGCCTGCTGCGCGATGCAGGCGAGCTACGCGATGATGATGCTAGGGGTGAAGGCGCGGGCGAGTGCGGAAGGCACGGGGCCGGGGCCGGGGCCGGGTAAGTCGCTGGAGGGGTTTGTGGAGGAGTTGCGGCAGAATTTACGGGGGGTGTGGAAGGTGTTGGGGAACTATGCGATTGCGTTTGAGGCGGTCGGGGGGATGCGAGGTATGATTCTAGTCTTTTCTTGGTACTCTGGGTGAGTGGTGTGCTGATGATGAGGTGTTGTAGATGAGATTGGGCAGTCGATGGGATGCTTGGAGTGAATGGCTTGCAATTGAAGGCGTGGCCACAGCAGAGCCTCCCTGAGGTGGCCTAGTCATGTGTTTGATTTCTGTGGTTGGGTGGTGGTATCTGTTGGGCTGAGTGAATGGCGCGATTACGTTGCACAAAGGCTCGTTCGCACACATTCACCAGGTCCGACACTGAGAGCGGCTGTCTACCAATGAGGCTCTAGGCAACGGTGGGCCAGTCATCCCAACCTCCGCCATAGAAGCTTATCAAAGCTTCATGTGTGAAATTCACTCGAACTGGCTTCATCGAAACGAGCCTCCAGAATGTCTATTTATACCGAGCTGAGGGAAGAGATGATCTTTCGACTTCCGCCCTCGCACCCACTAAACAAGCGCCCCCCCCGTCCTGATCACCAGCTGCATCTTCACATCATTGAAGGTCCATCTATCCAGACAGCCATCTTTTCGCAGCTATCGACAAGATGCAACAGCCAACCACAATCAAGAGCGAGGGCGAGCCTGAGTACGGTATCTCAACCTGCGAGCCACACCCACCGCACCACCCTGCGAACCCTCCCTCCCCTCCACAGCAGAGCGCACAGACACCAGCGCATCGCTTCCCGCTGAGCTACCGCAAGAAAGATGACCAGTTCGAGTGCACGGTGACGATCGACGGACGAGTATGCCGACGGCGCTTCTCTAGCGAACGCTCCCTCCGGGCCCACCACCGCGGACTGCACGACAAGACCACGGATCCGTGCCCGTTCTGTGGGCAGCGGTTTTTCGGGCAGTTCTCGCAGAATCTGCATCTGCGCACGGCACACGGGTACAAAGAGTTTGGGGTGGATGGCTATGGCAAGGGGGAGGTCGACGAGGAGATGAAGCTTTTGCGAGAGGTCTCGCACGGTCATGGATTCACAGATGTGTTGGCTCGCAGCGGATTTGTTCAGACACAGACGCCAGAGGCCCAGCAGGCAAACTATACTTTGTGGGTGATGCGGCATGATCTGGGTCTACAGAGATGAAAATCAACAAGGAGATGTGTATCTGTATGACGAGTAATGAAGATCACCACCGTACCCCAAGGAAGAGAAGATATCCGTACCACACTCTATCGAGGATAGTATGAACGTTTGCCACAGTTACATACAAAATAGCCTAAAGATCTCTACCAGACTCCGTCGACGGATGGTATTGTATTTCTCTACCACAGTACATGAACAAGATAGCCTGAAGATGCCTTCTACCACAGTATATCCAAAGAAATAGCATAAAGATGCCCTTCTACCACACTACAACAAGAGATAGCATAAAGATCCCTCTACCACAGTACCATATAAACAACATAAGCTCTCTACCACACATCATAAGAAAACAAGCTGAACCCTCCTCTAAATACTAAACCCAAACAAACAACAATCCCCAAAAACATCCTAAACCTCCCTCCCTACGACAACCCCCAAGAAAACTTCCGAAAAACACCACTACCACAACCCCAACGAAACCAATAGCAAAAACCAAGAAAACCCGTCACACCCCAAATCAACCCACCCCCCCTCTCCTCTAATATCCATTTAAAGACCCCGGCCGCAACAACATAAACCCCAAACTCTCCCACCTCACACTCTCCCCGTTCCCCGGTAAATAACCCCCCTCTCGCCACTACAAAACGATCCGACCATCCCAACCAGACCGAAATGACACTCCGAAAGCTATCCACCGCAGCATCTCACCCCAATCTAACCCCCCGCCAAGCCAAGATCCGCAGGGACCATGAGAACGTACGTCGGGATCCCGACGCGTATATGGAGGGCTTGTTGGCGCGGTTGAGGCGGTGGAGGGTTAGTGAGCCGAGAGATGAGGGTCTCTCTCTTCTGTTGTTGTTGGTGGTGCGCATACGGTGGATATAGAGGGGACGCGGAGTGAGTCTGCGGGTGCGCTTGCTGCTGGTGTGGGAGGTAAGGATATCGCGTCTGTGGGTGCGCTTGTTGGTGGGGTCGAGGGTCTGTGCATCTCCTCTTCTACTGGTGCGCTTGTTGACGGTGTGGAGGGTATGAGTTTAGGCCCGGGCTCTGCGGATGCCTCCGCTTCTGGTGGTGCAACTGTTGGTCCCGAGGAAGGGGAGGCTCGGAGTGCGGACTTCGGTTCAGTGCGGGCGGATGAGTATTGTCCGATGGATATCGATGAGAGAGTCGAGGGCGATGATGGTGCACACCAGGCTGTCGGAGAGGATGGCGCTGGTCGGATTGAGATGTAGCGTAGAATTCACTCCAGTAGGATGAGGATGGTTAATATAATACTACAATCGCAATACGAGTATATGTATGTATCTTTGCATGAGAGTAGACCAGTGAGTTCACAGTATGCACCATTCAAATACCACATGTAGACGACGTGCTCCCATCTACGCAGGCAGCACGCCCTGCGGATTATGAAAGACATCATCCGGATCCACCGCCGTCTTGATACGCTGCAGCCGCGCCAGATTATCCCCCCAGTATGAGTGACGTGGGTCCTCGAGCCGCGGATCGACATAACCGGGGTAGACGGCGTCGCCGAGCCCCGGGGTGTTATTCCGGATCACCTCGTTGATCCCATCCAGGAAGTCATACGTGGTCTGACCGACCTGGCCGAGCGTGACAGCGTACGACTGCATCCAGAACAGGACATCGCGGTGCGCGAACCCCGTCTCGCCCATGGGCACATCATTAATCGCGCCGCCCTCGAGATCGAAGATCACGAACCAGAGCAACGCGCCCGTGTGCGCCGTGTCGAGATACTCGAACAGCTGCTGCACGCCGTCAGCCGAAATCGGCGTATCCTCCCTGAACCCGAGACACCTAGCATAGAAATGCGCGGGAATATCACCCGTGAGATCAAGAATACTCTGCTCAGCCCAATGCGCCGCCAGGCCAAGCCAATCCGTAAACACGAGCGCAGAGCTATTCCCCGGCGTCGCGCCGGGAAACCGATCCGCGAGCCCGAGGGCCTCGAACTCCGCCTTGGACCCGAAGAAGGTGCCGGAGATGACCACCGAGCCCGACAAGATCGTGATGATGCTAGCCAGCTTACGCGACAGGTCCTTCTCAGTGATGAAGCCCTGCCACTGCGCGAACAGGTCCGCGCGCTCCGCCGCGCTGCCCAGCAGGTCAAACGTGTACGTATACTGCACGGCCTCGGCGGGGGCCGCCTCAGTGCGCAGCACGAACTCGGTCACCACGCCGAAACTCGCGCCCGCGCCCTTGATCGCGAACAGCAGATCCGCGTTCTCCGTCGCCGTCGCCCGCACCACGCTCCCGTTCGCAAGCACCACCTCCGCCTCCACCACGTGGTCCAGCTCCATCCCCCATTGTCGCGCCGTCGGCCCCAGCCCCCCGATCGTCGCGTGTCCCCCGATCCCGATCTGTGGCGATGTCCCGTGTGACACCGCCCGGTTGCCTGCTGCCACTAGGTGCGTGTCCAGCTCCCCGTTGAGCATCCCTGCGCCTACGGTCGCTTGCTGTGTTGTGGGATTGTAGGTGAAGAATTTCATGTGCTGCAGGTCGACCACCACCGCCCCGTTGGTGCCGCCGAGTCCTGGTGGGTGTCAGTTCCGTGTGGTGGCCGGTGTGGAACCTTGGGTGAGGTAGAACGGGGAAGAGACCTACCGTAGTTTGCATAGCTGTGACCGCCGCTCTTGGCCTGCACCTTGTATCCTAGGGTGCTGGCGCACTGCACGATCTCCGACACCTGGGCGCTGCTGGTCGGGAAAGTGACGGCCGCCGGGGTGACTGGGTAATTGAGGTTGTACGCCTTGACGGCGAGGGTCTGATAGAGCAGGTCGCCTTTGAAGGCGGCGAGCGTGGCGTCGTTGTCGACCGCCGAGAGGAGACAGGATCGGAGGCTGGAGGATGCGGCGGCGGTCAGGCCGAGCAGGCACAGGAGACAGACCATGAGGGGAATTGGGAAAGCCATGATGGCTGTGATGGTGGTGTTTGTTTTCAACGGCTCAGCTCACATTCCTGCGCGGGAGGGCCCGGGGAGGGGAGGTAAATAAATACTAGCCCGGACTGGCAGACCGGACGCGCTTGTCCCACACAGGATCATCCGAACTCGGCTGATCTCTCGTTGCTTTTCTTGAGGGTCAGCAGTGACCTGACTCGGCAGGGATCTAAAAAGTGTGTCAAATTTGTCACTTTACGAGTGATCGGCGGCGCCGGCAAATGAGGATGCGCTGTGCCTGGCAATCTAGTGAACTTAGCGCTCCACCGGTGCCCCTCTCACGGTTTGGGTACAATAGCACAGGGGAGAGGGCTGAATAGCTTACGATCACAAGGCCTGTTCTACAGACTTCTGTTTCCAGCATTACAGAGTCTGCATTGACCTAAGTAGCTAGCCTCAAGGTTGGACGTCAGGTTTAGACTGCCAATGTCGGGAAGTATATTTGGCACATCAATAAATGCTAGGGAAAGACCAATGCCGACTACAAACCCAGGAAATTTATGCTAACGTGAACATCTTCCGTCAAGCCATGTTTTGTAAAGTTTTAGACTATCTTTCACATCCAGCTCAGTACTCGTTGCTCAATGCGCAAAGCCCCACGGAAAAAGGCAATCGACAACCAGCATCATCACCACCGGGCATACGAATTGTCAGACAAAGTTCCCGGGCATGGAGTACTGTACACAAGGGTCAACCTAGTTCGTCCATAATAACCCTACATAAGCCTACAGCATACCATGTGTCCACGCTCCTGCATGCACAGTCAGAGTTGAAACCAGGAAGTGTCGAGCTCAAGTAACCGTGCAGCACAGTTGTAAGGTCTGTCCTATGACAATCGATGCTCAAAACAAACGGCTGCACCCAAACCATCAGCTGGATGGATTGATAATAACCCTCTACGGACCACGGAACCGACGGGCGTGCCATTGTCACCCGCCTCGACCGTGCAAGGAACCCCGGTTGCACCAAGCTGGGATCTAGCCTCGTATAGCCTACTATCTAAGCCCCCAGGCCATTCGCGCTTCAGAACTTCTCGTACAAAATGCCATAGTCTATAACCCGAAATCTAACCACGAACCAGCCCATCGCAGTTACCCACCTCAGGATACAAATCTATCTTCCCACCCTCCTGAATCACACCCGTCCGATCCAAGCACGTCCGACCCCTGAGGAACGGATCCAGCGCCCAATACTGCTTGCGCAGCGTCTCAATGGCCTCCGTCCTCTGTACCGCCACCGTCTGAGGGCCCTCCGCCGCCAGCCACTCGCCGGTCAGCCGCAGCACCACCCCGGCCTGATCCTCGCGCTCGGCCAGCAGCCGGTCGCGCGTGGCCGTCTCCATCATGCGCTCGTTCTCGCCCGCCACGGGCTCGACGTACTCGTAGTCCCAGTCCTCCGGCCCCCCGATCTCCTTGAGGATCTTGTCCGGGGCGATGAATTGCTCCAGGTCGGCCGTAGTCTTGGTGAAGTGGACCTTGGAGACGATGACGGGGTCCATCCACGACTTAACAATCTTCCAGATCCCTAGTATCGTCTATCAGCCAAGCACATCACACAGATTCGAGGAGCAGAGGGGTACGAGGCGTTCTGGGGGAGAACCCCCAGACCCCCCTTTTGTTCCACCTTCCTGGGAAAGCGCAGACAGGAGCCGAACTCACCAGTAAAGATCCAGGGGGCGTTATGTATGATCATGGCCCCCAGGTACTCAGGGTAATTCTCTTGGAAGCAATCGATGACGAATTTCACGGGCGCGTATTCCTATTCCCTCCCGTCAACCCCATGATCCGAGAGCGCAAGTCAACACGCGCGAACTCACCATGTTCGAGAGCGAGAACCCCGTCATATCGAACAGGATCGTCTAGCCCACACAAACCCGTCAGCGAATGTATCTCAGCCCTTCTCCATGGGGAAACGTACCGCCGTCTCTACCGGATCCACCAGCAGCAGGCGCACTGTCTCGATCATGTGCAGGATATACCGGGTTATGACGGCCTCGCTCTGCTGGCCCGGCTGGTGGAGTCGCACGCGCACGAGCATCACCGGTCGGCCTGCGCGGTCAGTGCCGTGTACGAAGGCCTTGCCCATGCGCATCTGGTCGAGGAAGGCCTGGCTGTCGGTTGCGGTCGATTGCACGGTCGCGACGACGACGCCGGGGATGGGGGGTGTTGAAGGGGGCTGGGCGGTGGTCGCGTACAGGGCGTCTAACTCGGTGTTGGCGATGATCTGGCTGTCGATGTCCTGCGTTATGCGGAAGTGGATGGCACGCAGGAGCATGGCGATCGCGGCGGCGACGGACCATTTGCGGGCGCGGAGGAAGCGGAGGAGGAGTGTGTCTGGGGAGTCGTGCTTGGCGAGGCTGAAGAGGCCGGCTTGTAGAGAGGGAATGGGGTGGCGGGGGAGAGTGTCGAGAATGGGTTGCACGGTGTCGAGCGGCGGGAGGTGGTGGGATGAGAGGGCGGAGGTTAGAGTGGCGGCGGTCGGGGTGCTGCTGGAGGTGTCATTGTGGTTGTGGATGAGATGGAGGAGGATGGACCAGGCTTGATGGAGCTTGATGGTCTGGTCGGAGTTGAGGTTGTGGATGTAGCCTGATGGTTGTTGAGGGGGAGTGGATGAAGGCATGGTGGGGGATGGGGAATCGGAGGAGGAGAGAGGGGGGAAGTGAGTGTGGAGGTTCTTATGGTGGGAGTGAAACACCACGGCCAGCAGTCCGATCGATCGGTGGTCCCTGACTGCGATCGCTCAGGGCGGCACTGGCCGAGCCGAGCTCCTCTGTGGGGTTAGTGTTAGTAGCCTTCTGGCCAGATGCGTCGCTTCTTGGCTGGAGTGTGTTCATGCTTCAGGTTCCAGTTGATTTGTGTTAACACCGGATTGTCATGCTCAATTTGATATGAATTGCTCTTGAGTCTTGGGATCTACGATCAATCCTCTACAGCAACCAGCATATCCAACCCAAGAACATACAGCCAAAAGTCTCCAGCACACACTCTCTAGTAGGTAACCCACTTCCTCCTATTCTCTCTATAATGAGCTCCTACGAGCTATTTGTACCTTCAAAGCGCACACCGACACGCCAAAAGCAATACACAATAGAAACACAACCAAATCCAACGCACCAAACCACCCCGCCCCGGACCCGGACCCGGACCAACATAAATCCGCGGTCTCTCCCGACCCTCCGATCACACCCGTAACCCGCACCACACCAAATCCCCGTCCCGCAATCTAGCCCAATCTCGCCTCTAATCAACCAACCAACCAACCAGCCCTGCAATACCACCACAACCACGAGGTACAGGCACCGATACAAAAGATGGGGATTATCGACTTCCTCAAAGAGATCCTCCGCCCAGGGAACGGCATCGACTACCCCAAAAAGGGCGACATGGTGACCGTGCACTACCACGGCTACCTGCACGATCCGACGCGGTCGTGGGGACGGGGACGGCGGTACGTACCTGTCCTTGCTTCATTATCATCGGATATGACTATGCCCCTCAACCCGGTTGATGCATTCTACCATACCCGATATTCCCCAATCCCAGCCATTACCAAGGTGAAGAGGGGCGGACAGTAGTGCTGAGCAACTTAAGCAGATTCGACAGCAGTATCAAGCGCGGATACCCGTTCACTTTCCAGATTGGGATGGGGACTGTCATTAAGGGTATACATACCTCTCTTTCTCTCTGAGTCTCTTCTTGAAGGTGTGCTGGACTGGTGGGGATGGTAGCTGACGAGCGTAGGATGGGAGGTCGGCGTGCTCGGGATGAGCCTGGGTGAGAAGGCGCTGCTTACTTTTGGACCGTGGGTGCTCCCTCTCTCTCTTTTTCAGAGTTGAGTTCGGATTGAAATGTTGCTAACGGGCTTAGGCACTATGGGTACGGGGAGAAGTGAGTAGATTGTACCGAGAAGTAAGGAGAATGCTAATGTGCCAGGGGTGCGCCGCCGTTTATCCCCGGGAATGCGAATCTGGTCTTGTAAGTTCTTCTGCGACGCTGGTCGATGGATGCTAATCTGGCAGTATGGTGGAACTATTGGCGATCAATGGACGCGGGTTGGAGTCGGGGAGTGATTCGGAGTAGCCTGGCAGGTTCGTGTACGATAGGATTGTCGGAACAGTGTTCACGTTGTATACGTTGCTCGAGCTCGATTTCTATACATCTCGTCGTACTGTACAGTACAAGAACCGCTAAACTAACAGTACAATCGCACCAGATTAGGCGTCACAACAGCCAAAGACGTGAACGAACAGTGCGCGTACCCCGCGCCATCGCCGACCTCTTTGCCTGGGTGCGGATGCGGGTGCGGATAAGGATACTCCGTCACCTCGGGGACCTCCTCCACCCCCTCTCGAGGGATCTCCCCCCACATCAAGGGCTTCGTTGCAGCGCCCTCATCCGCTGGAGGCGGATGACACGCCGCGCTGATGGCCGCGCTACAATGCGTCGCCAGCGGCATGTGCGACTTGAACTGCCGCGCGCCCACCGCGAGCAGCAGCCCCAGGCCCAAGAGCCCGACCCAGAGCGTGATGAACATCGCCATCGGGGAATAGCAACATCCGCGGGAGGAACCCTGCTCGTCCTCTTCGCCGTACACGTTGTAAACCTTGATGTTCACGAAGAAGATGCTCTGTGAGAGGAGCCAGTGCAGCGTGGCGGACAGCACAAGGAGAGGACCGCTGTACTGATACGGCAGGCTCAGATAATAACTGGACTGTTGCTGGCCGCGCGGCCACGAGACACGCAACGGGCGACGGTGCCGCGCGTACCCGTCCCATTCGGCCGCCACGTGCATGCAGGTCAACACGCCGTTGACGAGGAAGTAGAGCATGGAGAGCACTATCTGCGGCGTATTGGCGAGAAGCACGAGCGCGATCATGTTGCGTGAGAGATACTCAATCATGGTGCTTGCGCTGGTTTGCGCGAAGCCGAGGTCCATGGCGGAGTCAAAGTCGCCGGCGCTTTGGACGACGGCGTAGCTGACAAGCCAGATTGATGTGGTGATGCAGGCGACAAAGCTGCAAGGGATTAGCGGAAGGTGAGGGTTTGATCAGGCGCCAAGGGAAAAACATACAAGGTCAAAACTACCGTCCAGCGTGTCCAGCTGGCCGCTTGGTACCATCTTTTGCGCGGAGGGAGAACGAGGGGGTAGATCTTTGGGGTTGCCGGTTTGAATCTTGGCGAGAGGTCGTCCAGCGGCTGCGAATCTGGGCTCGGTGCTCGTTGCTGCAGTGTGTATCCTGTCGGTCGACCGAGCCTGATCGCGGAGAGACGCCAGGCTTGCGGCCGACGCGTGACCTCGGCACGAGAGATCAGACATCGTCCAAGAGTAGTAGGATCAGGTCGGGTAAGAAATGAGGCCAGCGCATCGCCTACTCTTAGCAAGAGGTCAGTGCGCTTGACCCGGGCGGTCAGCAACATGCAGATGACTTTGGTGATATTGCAAATAATGACGACGATTGCGATTGGAGGACTGAAGAAGAGCTGGCAGCGCTGTTCCTCTTCTTTGATGAGGCAATGAGATACAGGGACGTCTCGCGCACCCGTCTCATCGATGTATGTGTATTGAGTGAGGATGCCAGTCCCGTTTAGCTCGAAGGTGATCCCGGCTGCCCAAGAGCTGTTTTTCCAATGAGACGGGGTGTTCAGGTACTCGCGCAAGGCTCCCTCAGACGGATTATAGGCAAGATTGAATTCCGCAAGGAGCAGCAAGTCGTTGCTCAAGCTGCCGTTGGCTACCGCGTATATATTGGAAAAAGTGGTATCGCGGAGATTGAAGTGACGGACGTAGTCATGTCCGTCATATGCAGGATCAGGTAGAGAGTAGTTCCACACGCGATAACTCCAATAACTATCGACCAGCGTCAGATTTCCTGTCTGGATCTGTTTGGCCTCAGTCTCATTTTGAATACCCTGCATATACTCGTAGACAGAGTATAGACCAAAGCTCGATCCAAGGTATCCCGCCGCCTGATAGCCCTCCACCTGCAGGCTGCTAGTGTTGTGAAAATATTCTCGATCTGCAACGTAGATGAGCGTGCCGTACTTCGTGTTGTGTTCGACATTGTACTTGGCAATGCAATCCGCAGTCGTCGCGTTGATAAAGGTGCCATTGAAGATCTGGGCTCGGACGACTGCAGCATCGGACCCAACCTCCGACAAGAAGGTGTCGCGGCTGGTGGTGTCGTTGCTGATCAAGGATTCCGTGGGGGAAAGATCGTTTGGAATTATAAACATCCCGTACTCGAGGGTTGAAATGGATGAGAAGATGACCGAGTTGTAGATCATATGGATGGGGGTGGAACTGATCAGAAGCAACACCCACAGAATCTTCCGTCGCCGGTCCATGACTGCAAAGTTGCGAAGGCTGAATGTCCCAATATCAAGCCAACGGGCCTTAGCATGAGCCCGATCGACATCGGCTCGGGACGGTGCCCCCAGGCACTGCATCACGTAGTTGCTAGCCCCAAGAAGGATGGTGCTCAATGCGTTGATTACCACGTGCAATCCCGTCGCCCAATGGCTGGATCGCGCGCATTGCCCGCTATATAGTTCCGCCATTTCAAACTGGGCGCGGTTCGTCCGTCGGTTCGGTTGTTGGACATATGCAATGAGTAATGCCGTGATCGTCATGATAATGTTGATGACTAGAATCGTGCCGGTGATCCAAGTACATATTACTGCCCCTTTGATCCATTCGTTTCCCCCCTCTGCTTCTGCAAGAATTCTGCGTGGGAGTAAGAGGTCTGTCCATCGTGGTCGTCTGCGCTGATGTTCACCAGGAATGGTCGAGTAGCGAAACTGCTCCCGCCAGGCGGATGGCGGCCTGGGCACTTCCACCGTTACCTGTACCAGATCGCTATTCGGACCCATTGCGTCGGGCGCGGAGACATTGGCAGATTTCCTTAATGAGCGATGGCGTATGCGAAACAAAGAACGGATCGGAGACAAATTTTGGCGAGCCGAGACATTGGTGATTAGGGGCTTTTAGACCGGTCGGCGGTAGACTAGTAGTCTAGCACCCTAGCACCCTAATAAAAACTGGGTCTTGGCTGGGATTTTGCGCCTCAGTCTCTGGGTTAGCACGACTTAGCGATTGCTCCACTTGGCGCGGCAAAACCGCAAGGAGCTGTCAATGCCTTGGCAGCGGCAGCGGCTTTTGTTTCTCTGGCTTTGATCTCGGGGAATGAAGATCCTTCCACATGTCATCGTGATCAATGCCACGCGATCGACAGTTGAAGGATTTGCCAATTAGATGAAAACGGGAATAGTTGCTGTCTCCGTGCCTCCTTTGCCACCAAAAATGTTATCTTCTGTACGGCAGAGCGGGTTGCACCTGTCGAATCCTGTCAAATTGTCCTTAAGAAGCAAAAGCATCGCCCCATGGTAAAAGTTTATGAAGGATGGCGCACAGACAAGGGCTGTCTTGACCAGCTGGGAAGGGTCTGATATCAAGCTCAGCTAAGACTTCTGTCGATATCATAGAGCAAGCTGACGAATTGGACCCATCGTGTGCTCTCCGAACGAGGCAGGCTTGTGTTTCACTCGTGACCACGAGGATATCAAGCTTTGCGATCAATTACATTGTCTCCGTCGAACAGGCACAAGCATCCATTTTAGCTTCTTTGTACCGACGCCGATTATTACAGTGGGGACCGCCTGGTGATAACTCCTTGAAGTCGAATACATGCGCCGGCTATTGTGTGGTTGCCTCGCTGATTGCCAGGCTGAGCCAAGGGCGGCATCAGACCTTTAAAGTAGCTTTTCACGGTCGCAGGAGGCAAACCCCGATCCAGAAAGCAACAGCAAGAATTTGTAGATGCCCAGGGAGGCAGTTGCATGTCTGGGTAGCGGGTTTGAGGACACGCTGATAATTATGTGCACTCATATATTGACATAGAAGTATGCTCGGGAAGCTAACGGCAACCAAGTCAAGCTAAGAGGGGAATAGGATTTTATGTAGATTCAATCCAAATTAGTGTAGGAAATTGTTCAAAAGAGTCACTAAATAGTCCAAGGAAAGCTTTAATGTGTCGACCTACCTTACCTTGTGATGATAACCTTGAAGTCAAAGGATGGTCCATGCCTCTCCCTGGCCTTCCTGAGATGAGGAAGTAGGCGGCTCTGGTTCAATGCTGACTTCGCCCAAAGGGAAGCAAACCTGGTTGTTTATGGCCCGAGATATCTTTCTGCGAGGATTATATTGCACTGGAGGATCATATCGCACTTCGATCTCGTTCCTCCTAGCGACTGCTTCCGTAGCGAGGGTTAAGCATTCTGGTGATGCTTGCAATCCTAGTTCAGTGATTTGCTGTTTCCAGAACCGCCAACGTTCTATGCTGTAGCCAGGCTTTCCCCCTGTTTCACAGGCCTCACTGTAAAAAGGACCAGGCGCCCGCTGGCGTTCTAGCCTGGCTCTCGCATATACATTTTTTCGTGCCTCGTGTAACGGCAGAGGTGGATATCTCGTATAGATTGTGATTCCTGCATGGACGATATATGCGTGCGCGATGGCAACAGCAAAATCTATATCCGGCATGTCTTCATCATCATCATCATCCTCCTCCTCCTCCTCCTCCTCCTCCATCCCGTCGTCACTATAGTGGGTTTCCCAATCACTCCAATCGACTTCATCCCATTGATTGGATTTTAAAGCCCATCTGAGCAAATCAAGCGGGCGGTAAGTGTCCTCCAACAGTCCTCGTTCGATCAGTTGCGCGGTGAGAATATAGGTGTTGAGTGCGTCTTGTCGCGTCGGTCCCCATGTCGGTATAGGTTTCTGGATCGAGGCGAATGATTTGAAATAGTATCTTCATTGTTGAAGCCGGTATCCCAAAGAACGTACTTTTTATACACATCGCTCGACGACGGTCCTTTGTATACTTTGTCCAGAAACTCCCTCTCTGGTAGCTGGGTCAAGGCTTCCAGGAAGTCGACCAGGCGTGTTACAACTGTCTCGTCATCGCCCTTAGGACTGCACACAATCTTTGGAACTCCAATTTGTAGGAAAAACACTTCTCGACGAGCATACTTATAGAACTCATCCGGATCCCGCTCTTCCCAGTCATGGAATAGTTTGTCCACCTTCCGGGCTGCTTGCCGCGGATCCAAGGGATCGTTGGCCTGCGCGTCTTGAATCATAATACCAAGCCCGGCATTGCATATCTCGGATCTGTCCCTATTTATAGTGAGGTGAGTTGCTAATGTTGTTAGTGTTTCGTATACCGCAGTATGAGATGTCAGTGAGGTGAGTTGCTGGTGTTTGATCGAGCCAGACAGTCACCCTTCTCCTTAAGTCCGTGAACATGACTAGTCATATGTTTTGTGTTGCCGCCGCTATTGTCATAATTGTTAGACAGCTTGAAGCATTATATAGCCTTCACGCTACCGTTGGCTATCTGGCGCGCACCACATACACAAGGAAATGTCCTTTAAATATTGCAAGTCCTCTGACGCTCTACGGAAAATTACCATCTAGTCCATTCTCGTGTGAATGCTGTCGAGAGGTTTCTCTGTACATCACTTTTGACCTTTGCGCTTCGTGAATATGGAGCGAGAACTCCCGTCTTGTCATCATCGTATGATTCACTATCACTTTCTGTTTTGCGGCTCTCGCCGAAGGTCTGCGAGCCGGTTATCCAAGCCCTGCTCGCAGGCTTGGACACCTCATCAGACGTATTGGGGATATATTTGCTCCTTATAATAATAGCGGGGGCAATGCTTTGATCATTCATTACTACAGTTACTATGAATTGAATCAAAGAACTCTTGATCGCATCTGGTGTTCTGATTCACTGTTGGCTATCTAGCCATGTTGTTTTGTTGGACTGGACTGTTTATTGGTTACATATGAAAAATTGCATTGTATTCTCTTTCGCATTTCAGATTTCAGCCCGCCTTCCACAAGTAGAACAGAGATAGAATCTCTTCTACCGTACGAGAGCCGATGTTGGATTCATTCAGCAACATGGGATCGTTACCTCGTGGACAGTAAGGTTTGGTGGTTCCGACCGGGATCTTGATACGGACCCGGCCCGGTTCGCGTAGACCGTTCATGGCGATTTACGGAACCATGGATGGAGATCACCCGCCATTATGGAGTGTGGGATTAGCTCCCCTATCCCCTACTCAGTACTACATCTGAACTCAGGGGACGAATAATTGAGCTCGGTGGTGTCGTAGAATCGTGGGGGAAAGATGCGGGGTGTTCAACTTGTGAAATGACAGATGAGTTACGAATGATGTCATCGGGACACGTTTCCGCTTCAGGCTCGCGCGCCTGTTGTTGTCATCACGTGCTTCTTAGGTGTCTCGGGCATCAATATTACAGTCTGTATGCCCGAGCAGGCAAAATACCTTAGAGGTCCCTGATGGCAGAGCACTCCATATTGCTGCTCCCCACCGACTCAGCGAGTCTAGATAGAAGCGGCTCTTTAGGTGTAAGACCCGAGTCCAGCTTCTCGTCATTGGCAAGACTAGCCCAGTAGCCATCTCTATGACATTAAGACATGAATAGCATCATCGATCGCCGGTTTGTCCCCATACCCTCTCGCATTCCCGCCCATCTCGCTGTCTCGTCGCTCTTTGTGCCGCTCCTCAGCCCGCGCTCCAAAGCATAGATCTACTTTGCACCAGGGTTTCCTTCAGCAATCATATTCATGTGCCACCCAAACAGTAGTTTTCCCACGTGGTATTCGACTATCGCGGACATCGCGGGCTGCCCGTCGCGCCGGGGCTTCCGACGTCGGCATTCCTCAGACGGACATGAGGCGATCGCGTCTAGGTATGGTATATAGTCATAACGTGGATACTGCGAGGCTGCCGGGAGGAATCTACATGAGGATTAAATCATCGACGTTCGTAATCTGCACGGTCGGACTATGGTTGGAAGGATGCGGTCGGGCGGGCTAAACCCGTAATGTCCGTTGGGCGGAGGTGCGTGCTCGCGGAGACAATGGCGTTCGTCTATGGTGTGGAGACGATGCACAAATGCTGCAATTCAGGAACAAAGGGAGAATTGAAAATAAAAGGGCAGGACGGTTATTGAAGGTCACTCAGAGAGGAATCATCCGTTGTGAGGCAAGAGATGAGAAGAGAGGCCGGTCAACCAGATGGACGCGGGGGTGGGGTGTGGTTTCCTTCCGTCTCCCCGCAACAGTGCAAACAAAGACAACAACACTACTCTACTCTCCTTTCAACCTTGTCTGTGTTTGTTGAAGGCGGAGCTATTCGACTATTGTTCTACTTTTTGACCTCCTCTACAATACTAGGAGCTTAGCTCCTGTTCAACGAAGTCAATGCTATGCGCTCCACGGCGTGTACAACACTTCTCGACATGTCAAAATCCATTCCACTCAACAAACAGTGTAACGTTCATCAAAACAATCAGAGCGTTTTTGTGTGGCAAGCACCTTTCACAATTGACAAAAGCACAATCTCAATAAGTGACAGCACTGACTCATTCTCTTGTCTTCACATGCAGGGACCCAAATCACTCCATCACTGGCCAGGCAACATGGACACCCTATTCCACATCATACTGTTCTGACAGCTTCGCACATCCAACCTAAACGTAGCTGACGACGACCTCGCTGCTGGAAGTGGAGACAGAGGTGAGAACATTGTTGTTCTGCTCGATATCGATAATGGTGGCGCCGGAGGGGCCCACGGTGGAGCCGCTCTTGGTGGCATACGCGTTGGAAAAGGTGACAGTGCCGAAGTTGGCGAAGGGAACGAGGGAGGAGTTCTGCTCGAAGTCCTCGACGATCCACTCGGCGTTGTACCTGTATCACGGGTCAGTATCACGACTTCACGGATAATGGGAGGATGACATACTCGCAGAGGTCGCCGTCGACACCACCGCTGAAGGTGTGGGTGACGGTCTTGCCCTTGGTGACGTTCTCGACGGTGGCCGTACCGGCCGTTTTGCTGCTGGCATCAACCGTAACCTTGACGACGTCGCCGGCAGAGAAGCTGATGCCGCTGAAGTCGTAGGCATAGTCGGGGTACCACTCGTACCAGGCGTCATAGCTGACGGAGCTGCCCTCGACACAGAAGTCGAGACCAGTCTGCAGGATGGCGGTGCCACAGGTGTCGCCGTCAATACCAACCCAGGCGGAAGCACAGTACTGCTCGCGGCTGGAGCCTCCAGAGGGGACGGAGGGGGTCGGGATGGTGAACTCGGCGGTGACGGCGGTGTAGCCGGTGCCGATAAGGACGGCACCAGCCCAGTTCGATGAGTACTGAGCGTTCTTCTCGCCGGTCAGGTTGATAGCCTCGCTGGTGCCTGGCTTGAGAGGGGGGTTGCTCTTGCGGTTCGTGGCACCTCGTCTGGCGGCACGAGCGGCCTTCTCAGCCTGGCGCTTCTCGGTGAGGGGAGCGGCCAAGGCAGCGGTGGCCAACAAGCCAGCGGTCAGAAGAGTAGAGGTTCTCATTATGATGATGTGAGGATTGGTGGTCGAACTTGGACCGAGAGAAGAGTGAAGATCACGGAGATTGAGCTTTGAAGATGAGGATGCTTGCTGATGAGGAGGAGGTGAGTTCAAGTGGATTCCAAGTCATTCTTATACCTTTCTCCCCTCCCCTTGCTGGGAAATCATAGGGTTGACTGAGGAGACCAAGAACAGGACTCCGACGTATCTCGCTGCAGAAACAATTTGCAGGTGATAAGGTCATATCGGGCGAAAAGTCGCGCAAGTTCCTATCAGCGCGCAGACATCGAGATGGAATAGATAGTGGCTGAAGAGCCAAGACGCTTAAGCAACGGGTGATGAGGGCTCAATCACTCCTGCCGCTTAGTCTTTTCTTGGGGGTGGCAGACATTGGCATCCTCGGCGAAAGCTTCAGTCGACTCAGCTTGCTGATAGTTGGTCGTCTTCTTTCAGAGTCGTCCAACTCGATCAACACTTCAAGCGCAAAACGGGCAGACATGATTATCCTGCTACCATGTGTATCCAGTGATAGAGAACGGATGTGGATAGCAGATCCAATTCTTCAGGTACCGCAACTCCTGTCTATCAGTTCAGTTGCTCCGCTTTTCCCTGCCGAACAGCCGATTAGTGCCTGGTTCCGCTAGTCTGCAACAGGAAGGTTATGCTCAGATAGATCCCTAGTCCATCTGCAACCTCGGTCTTATGATAAGGCAGTATTTCCAAATTGACTCCGAGATTAATGCCCCCAAGGTCGCTAACTCATTCTGATGGAACCAGAGCGTGCTTTGATTGATGGGGATTCCTGCGGATGCGATGAGGTTGTATCCCGTGCCTTCCCAGGTCCATCGTCGTTTTCGTTGGATCATAGCCTTGACATTAGGTTCTGCACCCCTCATTCTCCCCGCACCTGCAGGATTGCTGCCAGCCGCCGGTATTCAAGGCGGGCCTCCGATGGAGGGTGTGTAGTCCGTGCTTCGAGAAGTTCTCCATGGTGACAACACAGTAAGTACTTTCAGCCCACCGATCCAGACACTTCTGAGCTTCCAAAGTCATCTAGCAGGAGTTATTCACCGGCGATAGACCCTCTCTCCTTGCATGCGCTCACTGGCAATACGGGTGGAGATACAGGATGTGTTGCAGAGCAGCCACCGAGATCGGAGGAAACACCCGTGCAGGCAACGCAACCCCGCCGCGGCCGGACGACCGACGGGATTTCCGCCATCCTTGCCGCCCGCCCACTCTCCCCCCTCATCCACTTCTCTTCTCCATTCCGTGTCCTGTCAAAGCTGGCAGTGCCAAGAAACGATCGTCGTCACATCTCCGTCCTTATCATCGCTGATCCCCGAGTCTAATATAACTTATCTGCGTCTGAGATTGGCGTGCGAAAGGCTGAGAGGGTGTCAGGTTCAACAGAGAGGCGGGTGATGCTGCCCAATGTTCCACCATCGCCACCGTCGGCCAGCATGTCGCTTACGAGCATGCGCCCTATGTAAGCGTAAGCGAGGTTCTCTCACGCAGGGAGCAGAGCAGATCGTGTACCTGAGGGTAACCGAACAAGGCGTCGGTCGAGGAACCGAGAGGGTCGGGTAGTTGTCAGTGGTTCCACGGCTAGCATCATGTGCACGCTTGCGTGAGTCTCGCCCGTCGAGTGGGCTGGAAGCGCTCTCGTGAAAACCCGGATAAAAGAGCTGCGGTGGCGAGCGTTCTCAACAACATTCTTAATGGGTAAGTTGACTGGTTGAAAGAAGTCAAGAGACAAGAGGTAGTTTCGGGCCCAGTGGTGACTCGCTCGCCCGCCTGGGTTGCCAGTGTAGATAGTTTCTCCATACATAGTGGCTTGATAGCCTTCGTTGCGAGAGGTTGCGGTTGGTTACAAAACGGTTACTGCTTATTACTTACTAGTAACTTACTAATAAATATTAATCAGCTAGTTTTAAATAATTATACAAAATTTAAACTTAATCTTATAACTATAGTAAAGTAAATTATTATTATATCTTTATCTTCTAATAATTTTAATATCTTTTAGAGTTTATCTTCTAATAAATTAATAATATCAAAAACTTATCTCTTTACTCTCTTTTTTAATTTCTAAACTAAGGTAAAACTATAAGTTTATATTTATTTTATTTTATAAGTATTATTAGTTTATATATTAAACTATATCTTTTTATTTAGTTATTAATATCTTATCTCTTTTTCTCTATTTTTATTTTATTTATTATATTTTTTTTTTCTATCTTTTTTTTTATCTCTACTTAAATTTTTTTTTTAATTTTTTTTTTGATCTCTTCTTTAATTTTTTCTTTAATCTTTTTAATAATTTTTTTTTAATCTCTTAGTTAATCTTTTCTTTAACTTTTCTGTTCTTTATTTATCTTATTTAAATTTTTATATCTAGATTAATAACTTAAATACTTTATAATTATAGTATCTAGTTTAATATTCTTATTTTATAATTTTATTAATAATAAAATCCTTTTTCTAAGTATTTTTTAATAAAATAAAAATAAATTTATAAAAAATCTGATTAACTAGAGTCCTGGTAAACTAAAATCCTTTTATAAATAAATTATATTAATCTATTCTAATTATATAAATACTAAAATAACTTAATTTATAGATACTTAAATAAAAGATCTACTAGTAAAAATAATTAAGACTAAATTAAATATTTTAACTACTTTAAAAAAGATATTTATAAAAAAGAAAATAATAGATTATCTATATATTTTTAATAAAAAGAAATAAGTTAAGTAGCTTTAGTTTAATATAATTAAGTCTTTCTAGATTAAGCTCTGGAATAATTATATAAAAATAATAAGTTAAAATAAAAAAAATTTAGGTTTAACTACTATATAAAAATAGATAATAAAAAACAAGACTTAAAACCTAGTTAAATATATTTAAAGAAATTTATAAAAATATAATTAGAAAGTACAGAATTATCTAATAATATTTATAATCTAAATAAAGTTAATAAATTTAAACTAGAATAATAAATTATTCTACTAGTATAGTTTTACTAAAAATTAAATAGATTTAATAATTTAAATACTTAAAAATATTCTAAGTAGTTTATATATATTATTATAAATTAATAAAAAGAATAGAGGGACTATAATCTTTAGAATATAATTAAATAATAAATCTTAGATCCAGATATAAAAAACTATTATAAGTAGATTTATATACTAATAAAAATAAATAAAAAAAAACTAGAGAAAAGAGAATATTAAATAAAAAAAAAAACTATACTAGATAAAGCTAAAATTAAGAAAAAAAATTAGAATTAAAGTTAAGTTTAGACTTAGATTAATAATACTAAAGCTTTAGAAGAAGAAAAGTTAATCTAGTTTAATATAAATTTATCTAAAGATAAGAACTAACTATAAATAAATAAATTTATTAATAAATAAAAAAAAATAGTTCTTAAATAAAAAAGTACTAAATATAATATTAAGAATCTTTTCTAGTAGTATATACTAATTATAGTAGTTTTAAATATAGTAAAACTAAATATAATTAAAAAAACTAAGAATATAATCTTAACTAATAAAACTAATTTTTTTAAAATATTTATATTAATATTAGTACTATTAACTTTTTTAAAATACTAGAAAAAAATAATTCTAAGTTTTAAGATAATTATTTTTTATAATATCTTTAATATAAACTTTTATAATAAGATAAAAAACTTTAAGTAGAGATATAAAATTAATAGTAATAAAAATAAACTAATTATATTAATTCTAAAGTATTTTAAGAAAATTAAAAAACAGAACTAGTAGTTAAATATTATAGAATTTTAATTTAAAAATTATATTAAAATATATAAAAATCTAAATATTAAAAATAAGAAGAAGTTATATATACTAGAAATATTAAAAAATATATTAATAAAGTTTTAGTAGCTGGTTACTATTAATAAACTAGTATAAATTTAGAATATAAAATTAATTATAAAAGTAATTCTAGCTGATAATATAAAATTAAAAAAAATATAAAAAATAGTAGTATTTATTCTTTATATAAGTTAATATTAATTATTTAGTAAAAGACTTTTATAACTAATATTATATAAACTATAAATATATTTAATAAGAAATATAAAGTAGCTATTAATAAGAATAAAAAAAATTATTTAAAAATAAAATCTACTTTAGTAATTATTTCTCTATATCTAATTAAATAATAGATAAAGAAGATATAAGCTATTATATCTTAACTAAATATATAAATATATTATAATAATAATTAATATTAGATAAAAATAATTAGATTTATTTAAGATTAATTAATAAAAAATTATAATTATTTCTTAGGATATCTAAAATATACTAGAATTATAATTATTACTAATTATAATATCTTTAAAATTTATTATAATTTATAGAGAGTTAAGAATTAGTATATAAAGAAAAAAAAATACTTTAACTTAAAATTAAAAATAATATTAACTAATTTTCCCTATTACTTTATAAATATATTTAAAATAGATATATTTAATAAAGTATATTATCTTTATAATAATTTCTCAGATTAGACTTTAGTATATATATAACTTAAAACTTAGTTTAATTTATTATTAACTATAATTCTATTTTTTAATAATATTAAAGATTTTTCTAGATATATTAAACTATTATTACTAGTATATAACTAAAATATAATATTTAGAAATAATATCTTTATATTATTTACTATAAAGTAAAGTAGTATAGAAAAATAATATTTATATAATTAAGAATTTATTAGTAATTATATTTTTAAGAAAAAAATTAATAAAATAAAGTATATTTTCTATTTTTAAACTATTCTAATATATCTAATAATTAGATATATAAAAACCTTAGAGATACTATTTAAAAATAGATATAAAATTAAATTAGATATTCTATTATTAATTAAAAAAATTAAGAAACTAGTTTTTACCTTTATTAAATAAAAGATTTACTATAATATTAAGCTTATATATTAAAAATACTTATTTATAAAAAATTAGAATTACTTAAAAAGATATTAATAAAATATAAAAAAATTATATATTTTAATTATAGCCTCTTTATAACTGGGATTTATTTATATTTAAAAAAGTCTAAAAAAAACTTATCTATTTAATATATTAAAATTAGTAAAAGCAGATACCTGACTTTCTAAGATAAAATATTCTTTAAAATATAAAACCTATCTAGTTATAAAAATTAATATAAAAATCTTTTATATATAATTTTATAATACTACTAGTATAGAACTTAAGATGAAAATTAAAATTAGTAAAAAAAATATAATAATTCTAACTAATAAATTAGAGTTTCTAGTATTTAAATTATTAAAAATTAAATATTTACTATAGTTACTATAAGAATAAATAATTATTAAAAATAAAAAAATATTTATTTTTATTTATTTTTCGGGAGAAGAAATCTATCTTTATACTACTCTTAATAAAATTAGATTTAATATTAAAATTCTATATTTAAAACTTAGCTTAATTAAATATAGTAGTATTATAAAAAAATTTATTAAAAATCCTAATTTATATAAGATTCTTATTATAAATTATTTTATAAACTTATTAGATCTAAATCTTTAAATAATATATTATAATATCTATCTTTTTTCTTTATTAATCTTTTATATAATTTTTAAGTAATTAATTAGCTGCCTAGTATATATTAATTAGATATAAATTATATATATTTATAAATATTATATTTTTATAAT